AGAAGAGTGCCTCTCTACATTTAACATCAACGGGACAATGGTCAAAGTACAGAAATCAAAGTTAGTTGAAAAACTAAAATTTGTGCCATTAAACCAAATCACTTATGACTGGCTATGCCTTCGGCGGAGGACAGGGAAAAGAACGATGGCTCTCACTACAGTTGGATTGGTTATGCTGATAGTGTTTTTTCCCTTGCTTTGTCAAGGCACAGAAGTGCATCTGAAATCATCTTCGTTAACAATCCATATGACCTGGAGATGAGCATCAAAGGGCAGGGGCATCTTCCTATCTTGGGGGCACAAGAAATGTTTTTATTAGGAGGGAAGATAAGCTGCCACCTCCACAAGAATTTGCAAAAATTCTTCAAGAACCCAGGCAACAAAATACGTCTCCAATATTTCCTTAGAATTTTTTTCCAGCTTCCCAACATCAACTTTACTTACTCCTTAAGGAACAAATGCTGGAAGCTGCTAAATATTGATGAAAATCCAGAACTTAAAGAATTCGAATGCCATGACATAGAAGCAGATACAATCTTATTTTACATATATCTCAAATAAGAAAGAAGGATGCAGTCACTCCTGTTGTAATCGATGCCGAAGACACAGATGTCCTGGTTTTGGCTGCACACGTCACACACAAAGTAAATGGTATCTTGGGCTTGAAGAGAAAGAAGGAAATATATGAATGCGAGCAACTTTGCGCAGAAGAAGTATCCAAAATTATTGTGCCTCTTAATATACATACAGGAGCTGATGCTGTATCGGGCTTCTTTGGCCATGGGAAGAAATCTGTTGTTAAAAAAACGTTGATATCTTTAGATGCAATGCAGTTGTTGAAAGATGTCGGAGAAAGCTTGCCTGTAACACCAGAGGTAATAGAAAATTTGGCAATATTTACGATCAGATACGTGTATGGTGACAGAAAGAGCACAACATTGGCTGAGGCTCGAGCAGTGAAGTGGGAGAAAATGAAAAATAAGTCTACGCGCAGTATACCTCCAGATCTAGACTCCCACGACTTGAAAGCAAAGCGAGTTAACTACCAAGCAAACATTCTGATAAACTTTGACAAGCCTGATTATGCCCCTTCTATCGTCAACCATAGTTGGACTTTGGAAAATGGAAAGTGTCAAACGTTAAGATACACGAAGGCCCCATTGCCACAGAGGTTTCAGATGTCTGCAGGGCCGCCGGAGCCAGGGGGCCAGTGGGCCACGGAGGCACAGCCCCCCCCTGTTTGCAAAAAGTATAAGCAAGTGCCCCTTTTCGAAAAATATATTGCGTGTATTTTTTCAATGCCTGATATTCTGCCTTTAGAAACTAAGTGCAATAACAAAACTCTGGACGTTGTTGGAAGACCATTCACTGAAAATTTCTTAAATTTTTACTCGGTCTTGATGCAACATATTGCTTGCTTCACAACATTGTGTTCAATGTTTTTTATGAAGAAATGAAAAAGTTATGTCCCTGCAATGAGTACATGCTAACAAAGACTAACATTTCCTATCTAGGATTATAACATGATTAGAACGGTATGAAAGACTAGACGTACTGCAAAATTTGTTGTACTTAAATATGCCATTGATTTACCTAAAAAATCATCTGCAACAATAACAGTAAATTCCTGCCCTTTTTATGCTTCCTCTGACTGATTAAGAATGCAACCCTATTTTCAAGATTCTATGTCCCAGAATTCTAGCTTTTTTTGAAGTTTTTCGGAACTCACATGTAATAGGTTTGACCAACTGACTGAGCCCCCTGGGATCAATTTTAAGGAGAGCTAAAAACTTGTTTCGTGAGATAAACCTGATAAACTTGTTAAAGACTGATGAGATAAACCTAATCAATGTTGCAAATTAAATTTGCTATGGCAGTGAAGAATGTGCCCGCACCTTCAGCCGATTGCGTTAAGATGACTTAAACATATAATTTTGTAGCTTTTAAAGAATAGTCCGTGGAGGCGAACAAATTTGTGTTTAAGTGGGGATGGAAGGGTGCGAATACCAAGGGGGACTAAGACTAAATGATTTAAATGTAGAAGTAAGAAAATTAATATCATTATTCGAATAGGGCTGAAACTTTATTTTGAAAGAGATAGGGACTGAAACTCGCTTTGAAGTTTATAGAGACTAAGAATTCGAAAATTCCATTCAGTTCATATTTTGGGTTAGATTCGTTGGTATGTTGCAATAAATCTGAACATTTGTTGAGTATAACGCGCCTGCCACAAGTATGAAAGAAGGATGTGTGCCTGCTTCTTACCCGGGACCAAATCCACTTACAATGCAAATTATAGGGAAAATAAGTACAGCGTATTGTAATAGAGGTATAAATCATACATGGAAGAAAGATATACACTCTCAAAAAACTTTGAAGGCCATGAGATGGGAAGCTATACAATTGATTATGATCAAGTTTGCGTGGTCTCTAAATGGGGTACATAACCATGTCTGCTTTCAGCAAAGATAAAGTTCACTATGTCCAACGTGTGTCAATATTTTTATATATGTCTGAATTACCGTGAAATCTGTACCATTTTTGGCACTTACTAATGTTTCTGAAAAAAATATTCGTGCCCTCTTTATTTGTTTTGCCCCCCCCCCCTCCTGCTCAAACCTGCGTCCGGCGGCCCTGGTCTGTAATAACAGATATGGGGCAGAGAGATGACGATGTTGACAGTGCATCAGATACGAGCAATTTTTAAGATTACGACAGTGACCGGGAGGATGAAGTGCCAGAAGATAAAAATGAGAGTGACTTTGAATAGTAAAACAACAGAGAATTTTCTGGATTATACAGCTAATAAGTTTCAATACTTACAGAAATACACTGATATTACCTTTGAACCACGCTTTGTTTTGAAACAGCGCATTTGGACAATATTTGATAATGGTATGAATAAGCACAAAATGAAAATTATAATTGAAAACGAGGAGTAGGGTACAAACCCCCGTCATTTGTGCGAAAAAAAGTCATTTTGAGGATATTTTTACTGGAGGATGATACCTTGTCAGTCTTGACCTGTGGACTGGTTCATTTGATATCAATTTCGTTCCTTTTACGGCGTAAAATCGATTTTTATGGTGATTTCATGAAAAAATTTGGCCGATTTCAGACATTACCACCTGGCCAGAAACGCTCAAATTTTTGAGAGGGTCCCCAAAGCCCATTTTGTTCAGCATATTTTTTTGATCTAGAAAACACATTCAAAACAAGGCCTAGGAGAACTGGTCACGGATTCCTGGTATTTTACTCTACTACTGGTTCATCGGGTCAGCAGAGCGAATGAATTTAAAGTGTGCCGTTGGTCATGGCACCAACAAAACAGATGCGTAACTTATAAAACAAAAATCAAGACTTCTAAATTTAGTAAGATTTTTCAGCTCTATAGAAGGTATTTACAGATATTTCTTAAAATTTGTGACTTTTTTATAACTGAATTGATAACATTCTCAGAGACAGGGGGAAGAAATCGAATCTGGGGAGCTGAGGATCAAGTTTAGTGACGTAGGAGGACCCACCATGGTTGGGTTCGACGCGGAAAAATATTTTTTAAATCAGACGTTCTAGAAAGGCCAAAAAAGCATCTCCCAGACCAAGTTTAACAAAATACTGTACCGTTCAGGATAGACAAGTTAACGTTTCTTAGAAAAATACAGATTATTGTCTCTGAGAGAATTGGGGAGGGGGAAGAGTCACGTTTAAACTCTACTGACAGACCTTTGGCGTAGAGGGCACATTTTTTAGAAGTTGCTTTTTTCACAATATTCGCAACAGAGAATCGCATTTACTGACATTTTTCGCTTTTTTAAAATGTCTGTTTTCTATTCGAGAGCAAGCAATTTTTTCCTGAAACCATATCGGATTCGAAAAAATAAGGATGTATTTAAGAACATATTTAGGCTCAAAGCGAACATTTTCTTAGAAAAATCGAGGCTGGGAAAAATTTAATGCAATCCTATAATAAAAAGTGTAGTCATTGCCTCTTTCTTTATTAAATGCAAAGGTACTTCTTTATGATGTAGTACTTTTACGCAAATTAACACTTTTTCTTGCCTTTTGGCCTTGTTCCTAGCTACAGCTAAAAGCAAAACTCATCTATTTCTATGTCTATGCTATTTCTATGTCACTAAATGTGCAGTTAAGGAGCTTTTAGGACCTAGGTTTTGAGCTAGGATTTTTCTAAAAAGGCGTATAATTAATATATGTGTAATGTGGATTTGTCGAGATTTATAGCGACTTAAACGATTCTTGTCTTACATGTTTTTGAGATTTATTCAAGGGGTGACTGGCGGATAAAGTATTTGGGGCTAATTCCCCCATGGGCACCGTCACCGACTTGACACCACTCTGCAAACATAAATAACAGCCATCAACTTGACACCATGACAAATAGTGGCTGAGGTTTGTGGCAATAACCCAGAAAAACTTAGTTTGGTTCGAACCAAGCTACCAGGGATTCCATTCTTTAAAAGAAAATGACGATAATATTTTAAACAAAATCGTTTTGCTCCAGATTTGGGGGGGGTCCAGTCTCCCCTGCCCCCTGGATTTACGGCCCTGCCTGTAGAACTGATGGTGGCTCAGGCCCTTTGTCCTAAAAGTGTTCTTGGTATTTTTTGGATTTGTTTTATAGCAACATTTTTCAGATTGGATATGCATTTGAAAATTCAAGTTCAAAAATTTGATTCATGTTAGCTCTAGTTAGTTTATAACATGAAATTGAATTAAATTTTTGCATTTTGGAAAAATAGCACAGTTTAAAAGCAAAACAGCATTACATGCTTTATTTATAGACAATTATTTATAGCTAAAGATTTTGTTTCTGGTTTAGAGTTTCGCCGAGAAATGACGCAAAAATAAACATCCTGAGTGACATTGACATTTGAAGTGAGCAGCGAATGTAGAGATTTGGGCTATGTCCAAAAAAAAATAAATCTAGATAGATAGCATTCGTAAAAAAATAAAGATTTTACCAATGCAGTAGGCTGACTTACCGATGACAAAATCTAAGAAGCTTGCTATCATAATGAAGGGAAAACAATATTTCCTTTAATACGTGGTCCAGTTAACCATGTTCCTAGTTCGACTCTTTCCCGCGATTCAAAATGGCCGCCAAAACTTGCTTGGCCTGCGCACAGCGCCTTCGGTGAGGACAGTGTGATACCAATATGGCGGCATGCTGACCATCCAACGTTGTCTCGTTATCAGCAGCTCAAAAATAGTCAAGATGTCTCGAAAAGGACAAAAATCAAAGAGTAAATATACTTATGGAAATGTTATGCAGGGAAAAGGGAATGTCTGGTATCAAACAACTGTAACCCTTGACCCAAAACCCCGAGGGGTTCATGTCATCACAGACGTACTGCAAGGTAAATATCTTTTCCAGCCATTTGGAAGATGTCAGATAGATTTTATTTGTTCAAAATACGTGAGGAAGAAATAGGATTGACAAAAGATGCTTATTTGAAAAAATATGCTTTTATATGGTGCAGCCTTTGATAAATTACAAAACATTCAATGGCTAAAGCTTGTTGGATTGCTAAAGCTTGTTAAATGAGAAAATTATTCATACTTTTAGGGCCTATAGTTTTCGAGAATTTCTTAAGATCAGTGATTATTAAATGAGAAAGAGGACATATGCAGGTATTTTTGTACCTTTGCCAAAAGTTGCCATAGATTTGAGTGTTCACTTGCAAAATAAGAAAAAAATTGTTTTTTTTTGTGATTTCTCAGCTCTACAAGTTCAAGTCCCTAATGTTTAGGGAATACCAAATAATTTTCCATACATGAAGCTCGTATATCAGACACTGGGAAATTTAGCATATTATTATGTAGTTTTTGTAAGCCAACACAGTTAAGCCGCAGCTGAATAGCTGCAAACCTGCAGCCAAAACTAGTACGTAAGTATTAATTTGATGTTAAACATCAAACACTAACTGTACTAGTTTTCAGTTTTGTGAAGCCTGGAAAAATTTTCGAGATCAGAGTTTGTACTAATTATAAGTAGTTTTTCAGGACAATCATTTTTCAGATTTTAATGCCAAGTTGAAAATTTTTTTGGTGGTTACTTTTTTCAAACCTTGAAAGTGCAAAATTAGATTATTTTTTTGGCTTTTTTGAAACCAAGAAGTTTGATGAAGCCAAAAAGGTTGCATAATATGAACTAAAATAGATAAGTGGACTGTATATTCCTCAAATTTTCTGCAGTATTTACAAAAGGATACAGCAGTAAAATGGTATGTTCAATAAAACCAAAAACTTAACCTAAACCTCACTCCCCAGGCTGGAAAATTTGCATATGCTTGCAGCGACGCTAGACTTCTTGTGTTCGCACCTCTAGAGACTCAAATGCTTCCGCTTGCAGGTCGCAGCGTGTCCGCAAAATCATACATGTTTTCCAACCTGGCTCACTCCTTCACCAAAGTGTTTTGGTAGGGGTTGATGAAGCAAACAACATTTGTGGCTATGTAAATATTGACAGGTTTTGTCAGACCCTTTTGCAGGGTTTTATATATTGACAGCTTTTGTTATATCTTCTTTTAGCAATACCTGAATTGAACAATATGAAAATTGGTATGGCAAATTTGACAATACAGCACACATCTGCAAGTATAAGTCTAAATGAATGCTGGGATGGTCAAGTAAGAGATGATATGGAGATGATGCTTAACAGACTAGCACCTGAAAATGCTCCATATACACATACTTTAGAAGGCAGTGATGACATGCCTGCACATGTTAAATGCAGTTTAATGGGCTCAAGCATTAATATCCCTGTAACAAATGGCAAACTAAACATTGGTACATGGCAAGGCATTTGGCTTTGTGAGCACAGAAATCATGCTGGCAGTAGGAAGATCGTTGTGACTTTACAAGGGTGTGAAAGTTGATGTGAAACTTCCAAAATTCATTGTAGAACAAATTATGTATATTAGATAACTTGTATGGACTGTGAAGTTTTTATTTAATTATGTATTGATCCATTTGCAATGTAAACTAGATTTTTGTGTGGCTGTTATATTGTGACTGTCTAGCCAAAGAAACAGCTTAAAGCTCTTTAAGAAAGAGTATTATATAAATACGGTTTGTGGTGAAAATTTACATTTGTCTGTCATGTTTGATTCAACCATCAATCAGTAAAGCCTCTATTTATTCGGTTTTAGCCCCCCTCCCCCCTCACTTTTCTCAACTCTCCGTGGTGCCTTGTGTGGATTGTTTAATGTATATAAATTGTATTGCAACCAGAGACAAAAAAAAGGGCTTAAGTGCAGTGGCGGAAATTCAGTCTTTCATTTGGAGGGGCTCAGGCCAACAATTTTATGACCAGATAACATTTTGGGTCATGCCTAATTCTAAGGAATCTTTATCACTGCAAATTTTGATGAAAATAAATGATTTTTGGGCGGAAGCTTCATATAATATTTGCTGACCATGTTTTTTAATTATGCAACTAGAAGAACAATCCATCAATGATTTTTGATAACGCGATCAATATCTCATCTGATTGATAGTACAAGAGGTCGACCTATTACATTATTGACAAGTCGATCATGATAACAACATAATTGTAATTTTTGCATTCATTTTCTGCATTATATCTTGTTTACTTCAGGTGGAAGTACGTTTGAAAATAACTTATGTTTAGAAGAATCTGATGGAAAGTTCAGCTAATCTTTACTTGAAATTAGATCTACAATTCGCAAGCAGTTTTGATTTTTGTTCTACATCGTTTGGATGATTATTTAGTTCTGTATCAGGTATGTTCAAGGCACAGAGAGATTATAGAGTCCCCTAAAGTGTAAAGAGAAAAGGTGGATCACCTGCGAGTGACGCAATCAGAAAATTTTGGAAACATGCCCCTTAGATTAGCATAAAATACATTTCAGAACGATTTCCTGCAGTCATTTCGACAATTTGAACGTTTGAAAATTATCCGAAGAAGGCCAAATTTTCTGATGAGATCGCTCATAATTTCCACCACTGCTAAAGTGTAGATAATAGAAGGCTTTGGCTGCAAAAATGTTATAGATACAAAGTCCTTGTTAGGAACAGTTCGGCAAGAATGCATAGCAGAATGGGTAAAGATTGCAAATAACATTTTCCTAGCTTTTAAATCTATGCCTGCTTATTATCTTTTGTGAAGCTGATCACCAAAATCTGTACCCCATTTCAATCAACTGCTCCACACACTTCCATAAATCATGTTGATAGCCAATGTCAGCTGATCAATACTTTATCAATCAGCAAAAAAGTTGTTAGAAGGAGACAAACAGTTATCAACAATTTTAAAGCTGCCGTGCGTGAAAATATTTTTACCTCTTTGTATTTACAAACTGTGTATTTGCAAAAATTTTGTTCTAAAAAGGTTTCTAGTTGTATCTATTAAATCTTCTTAAAATCTAATGTTGTGTTTCATTATAAATCACTAATTAATCTTCATAATCTGTAGCCTCTGAAGAACCAAGTATATCATTTTCTGATTCATAATTATGATCAGATTCTGGGTCAGTCTGGCTTTGGTTATCAGACACGGATCTTTCATCGTTACCTGAATCACTCTGGTCATCATCTAGCTGCAATTCTGAATCAGGAACATCTGGCATTGAAGGTATTCTAACTTTTTGCTGACATTTTATTTTATAACCTTCTAATATTGGGTCAAATTTATTCATCACTTTCGGTCCAAATGAAGTGTAACTTTTCTCTGTCTCTTGGAAATTATCCTAGAAGAGAAAGCACAAGACCTAACATCAAATTCAATGAATCGAGGCCCCAAAGTGTCCAAAGTTACCCTAGGCTTTTAATCCACCGCTGGCATTTCTACCTAGATGCAACTTGATCATAATATTCTAGCTACAGTATATTAACTAACTATTTCTCTTATTTCTTGTGTGGGCGTGGTGTCTAGTCGTTTTTTTTTCATTTGCCCCCACCCCCTTTCCCCCCTAGCCTGTTCTCTACGTTGCGGTTTGTTTAGGACATAACAATGTACAGCAGAAATACGGTAATTTCTTTAAAAAACTTATCAAGCTCATCCGATAAGAAAATTCTAGTTTCAAATGGTCCGTTCTTTCCTTGTAATCTTGATTTTAATGAACTTGCAAGCATGTCTCATGGGCTTATATGAAACAGCAATTACGAATATAATTTACAAGATCCAATACAATCTTTCTTCATTGTACAGTAACTTGTATAGCAGCCGCTAGGGTTGCTTTTATTACCTGATCATTTTTAGACCCATCATCAATCATCAAATATTTCTGCTTATTCTCGTTAAATGTTTCTTGAAGATCTTGATTAACGATAGCATCGGCAATATTGTCACGATTACAAAGCCTCTTAACTTCTCTTTGAATAGCCTTGATCATCGTCAGATCGCCTGTGGGTTCTTCTCCAAGTTCATTGAGTGTTGCAGTCACTTCCCTGAGCAAACGAAGACAAGCAATAAATTTACGCAAAATGAATTGCCAAAAACCTTAAAAGAGTATCAATTTGTTATCTTGAGAAAATCATTCTTCTTTCTTTGCGTGCAGACAACTGAAAGCCTGAAGCAAAACTGGGAATCTTTGTTTACTGTCAGTTGGGCTTATGCTGAATCAAATATCGAATAAAGAAGGAAAGGTTGAATGTACTCTATAAAACGATGGTGTAGATAAGCCAGTTTCCTAGGGAAGCTTCTTGAAATCTCTTGAGGACCTTTAGGGTCATATTGTGGATATTGTAGTTTTTCGTCTAATCCTTAAGGGGTATCCCAAATCTGTTTCAATTCCTTGTAATGTCACACACCTGCCGATGACATCATAATTGCAGGGAGATTTGCAAACCAGAAGCCCATTTCAGGACGTAGCCCTTGCATACGTTCAAATGACACCAAGGCAATCAATCCAAAAGCTTTTAGCACTTGATCATCCTGTCCACGTTTAGGGCCTTCCCCTTTCAGTCTATGAGAGTTACTTACGGGCTTGTAAAAATTGAATGCAAATAAGTACCTTAGAACCATAGAATCTTCTTCAACAACTAGTCGATCTTGCAAAATGCTGATGACCCTGTCTGACTTAAGGCTCAAACTGCAAATGGCACGACAAGCTTCTGCTCGAATCGCAGCTTGTCTTTCATACCGTAGACACCAAAGAAGAACTTCCTGGACATTATCAGTAGGCTTTGCAACGAGACCAATTGCTGTAAAAAGTGTTCATTCATGTTCGACAACTTTTTAAAAAACCTGCCACAAGTGACTGAAAAACTTTTACTAACTTAGCATACCCTTTTGTTACAATAAAAGTTAAGCATACAAATAGCGGACGACGGTGAAACCAAAGCCATTGTTCGTTATGTTAATTACACAAAAGTAACGTTAATACCGCGTTTTAAGAAATATAAAACATTGAAAAAAGCAAACATTATAAAACATTATACGAATCGTAGTGTTTTGATCCGTGTTCTGATGTTTTATACTTTGAAGAGTGTCAGACGAAAAGCTTTAGTATGTTCTAAGATGTTTGCTATTCTCAAAGGCATTTTTATATTTTGTACCACAAAAAGATTGTTTAAATATAAAGTATTAATACTCTTTAGTTATTCATAGTCTGAGAGATTATGTATATGCTTTTTGTAGTCCACCCTAACTAATAGTCAATCATAGAAAGCTGGCTTAACGAGAGAACCCTATGTTCGAAGGTACTTTTTGTACGAGCCTGACTATGTATCAAAGTTTATTGCACCACTTGCCATAAAAAATAGCTAGATGATTACCTTTTATACAGTGAGCTTTCACTTTCCAATTTCTTTCTTCGTTTGCAAGCTTCAGAAGCTCATTAATAACTTCATCTTGAGACAAACGAATCGCAGAAACGGTCTGAAAATAAAGGTGGATACACATGTAAATGACAATTCAACTATCAACCCTGCCCTTGCAGCAAAATAGCCAACGAATCATATTCCTTATTAAGATCTCAAGGATGAAAAGCATACGAACTTACAGAAAGCTATTACCTAAAAAAACATACTCTACAATACCACATAGTAAATCAATTTCCAAAGCTGGTAGACGTAAATAGCCCATTCTACTTTGCTTCATCTTTAGTCTGGGCTCTTAGCACAGTATTTGACTTGAATTGTGCAAATTGTGATACCAGCATGAAAATGGGTACACCGGGGGTAATTTCACACGCTGATGACGATGCCGAACAGACACAAGCCGAAAAATGCCCCCAAGTGCTTTTTTTAGACTGGGGTACTTGGCCCCAGTCCTCGAATCGGGCCAATCTCCATATGTCATTACTGATTTATGTAAAAAGTGGGAAAAGAAAGATTTAGGTGCATTATCATATATTAAAATATATTAAGAGAAAAGGAAATGAAAAATTGCCCCTTTATGCTATTTTTAGAATATGAAATTGGTACCCACGTCTTTATTTAGGCATTAAACTCTAAATAATTACTCTCTTTTATATGAATATGAAATATAGCTTTCTCCATTCTTTCAAAAAACTGAAAAGTAATACGAAAAGATGTAATTGACAATCTTACCCCTTGATGCTATTTTTAGAATGGGGTACTGGAACCCAGTTCTCAAATTTGGGTTTTACCTTCATAGTCTAGGCTCTAAGCACAGTATTTGATATGAATTGTGCAAATTGTGGTACCAGCTTGAAAATGGGTACACTGGGGCAATTTGACACGTTGATAATGATGCTGAACAGACACGAGCTGAAAAGTGCCCCTAAGTGCTATTTTTAGACTGGGGTACTTGACCCCAGTCCTCAATTTTGAATTTATCCATACGTAGTTAACTAAAGTTTAAAACGGGCGTGAATGTATAGGTTAAACACAATTCTACACGATAAAAGTATAACACAGAAACAATTAAAATATTACCCTTGATGCTATATTTAGAATTGACTACTGGGGCCTAGGCCTCTATAAGCTTTCTTTTATAAATCATTACTATTTTTGGTATGAATACGAAATAAAGTGAATATTAAAACTCTGGATTGCTACTTCACCTCTCAGAGGCCTTCAAGAAAAGCATAGAGGAACTACCGATTGAAATTTGGAAAACACAGAGGCTAGAAGAATCAGTGCAATTCTATTATTGGTTTACTGTTAGAGTCAATGCTATTGTTGCTAGTTAAAACAATAAGGGAGTGAAATTTCCACATGTTTCTAATGCCCTTCATTAGATTTGTACCTTAGATGTTTAGCCTTTGTCATACAAACTACTTGCGCTGGCTGCCAATATAACATGAATCGTATTTGAAAGTAGCCTATAATTATAACGACTTTCGCCATTCCGAATATGTTCGAGTTTGAAAGTTCAGTAAGGGTACTTAGCATTTCTGCTACTTTGGATAGTCAGCATTTTATACAAATTGTATGAGACTTTTAGAAGTAGCGAAATGTGAAAGTCACATTTTCCTGAACATGTGATAAATTGCATTGACCTTCAGAGGCAGGAAACGCGTACATACTTAAACATATCGCTTTATGCATATATTAACTGCGTTTTTTCATAATATTTTTCGGTGATTGAAAAGTTGTACGAAGCTACACTTTAGTATTTGCATCAAAGTTATCGATATTTAACTGTAGATGAAAAAGTCGAATGAGCTTGGATCTAAGTATCCCATTCAGAAAAGAGAAACTAGGCGGAATTTTATCTCTCCGTCATATTTTAGTGTATCACAAAGTATAGAATGCTAGACTTTTTATGTTAAAAGCAGTAATGATTAATAACTTAAATAGAAACAAGTCTAAAAAATGGGTCTATCATTTGTAGCATCTAGAGGTAATATTCTACTTTTTTCTAAAAGTACTGTTTGGTTAACCAAAAAGGTAGATAGTCATACTATCATGTTTACGTCAAAAGCAAGTAATGGCTTGTAGAAGAGTGTTTACATAAAGGCCTAGAGACAACAGCCCTAATCTAAAAATATAATGAAAGGATAATATTGTTTCTTTGTTATACTTTTATCGTGTAGAATTGTGTTTAAACCTATACATTCACACTCATTTTGAACTTTAGTTAACTACGTATGGGTGAAATCCAAAATTGAGGACTGGGGTCAAGTACCCCAGTCTAAAAATAGCACTTAGGGGCACTTTACAGCTTGTGTCTGTTCAGCATCATTATCAACGTGTCCAATTGCCCCAGTGTACACATTTTCATGCTGGTACCACAATTTGCACAATTCATGTCAAATACTGTGCTTAGAGCCTATACTATGAAGGTAAAACCATAATTCGAGAACTGGGTTCCAGTACCCCATTCTAAAAATAGCATCAAGGGGTAAAATTGTCTATTACATCTTTTCGTATTACTTTTCAGTTTGTTGAAAGAATAGAGAAAGCTACATTTCATATTCATATAAAAGAGAGTAATTATTTAGAGATTAATGCCTAAACAGAGACATGGGTACCAATTTCATATTCTAAAAATAGCATAAAGGGGCAATTTTTCATTTCCTTTTCTCTTAATATATTTTGATATATGACAATGCACCTAAATCTTTCCTTTCCCACTTTTTTCATAAATCAGTAATGACATATGGAGATTGGCCCAATTCGAGGACTGGGGCCAAGTACCCCAGTCTAAAAATAGCACTTGGGGGCATTTTTCGGCTTGTGTCTGTTCGGCATCGTCATCAGCGTGTGAAATTACCCCAGTATAACCATCTTCATGCTGGTATCACAATTTGCACGATTCATGTTCTAACAGCCCAGACTACTTACCAAAGTGCATAGTTTCACGTATACACTCCTTGCAACCATAGGCAAGGTGTTCTAAGCACAACTGTCATTTGTAAATAATTTTCTATTAGAACACCTATTGGAAAAGGATGCATCCATGTCTTAGTCTTATAGAGATAAAAGATCGCTAATAATCGCAAAAATGTCTCCATTATTTTTAACCTTTCGCAAATATTATTTAACTGTTACAAAGCACGAAACTGCCAGGTGTACAAAAATCGCTAATTCTGATAAACATGAAATTATATTTACCTTATATTACATTTACCTCTATATCTGTTTCTAGTGGACATTAGAGCAAGTAAAATGGTTCACGTTAAATGTTGCCAAATTATATATTGAGGAAAAATACCTTGACTGCTTCAAGACGTATGGAGATGTAATCACTCTTAAGGCATTTCAAGAAAGCAGGCAAGAGTCTTCCAGTCATGATGCCAAGGTATGCTATCTGCAAGGTCAATTCAGCTTTAAGACCAACAAGTGGTTTATGCTTATTAGTGCTAATATAGTCTTCTCTTTCTTTTCATAATTCATCTATTCTTTGATGAGCTTATCTTTATTCAATATAATTGGTCTATTTAAGTCAAAACTTGGTATGCTTCAGTAAAAACGTCACAACAGATGAAGACAATGAATTCCTCACGAATCCTTATAACAATTATCATACATAAAGTAATTGTTACAAACAACAAGATTATTTTGACTCCAAAAGTCTTTTAGGGGATGAGACGGGTAGGACTATCAGTAGTGTAATAGACATGTATACAAATGGCTTATCAGTAGCTATCATTAGTGCCATGTTAACAAGTGGCTTTACGGAAGGCCACAAGAACCTCAACGATCAGGCTGTAGCCTCAGAGACATGGGATATTTTGTTATTGATGTTTCTGTATTACTCTAGAATTACATAACGCAACGAGAGCTGTATTGCTATTATGTAAGCTAAAATGTTACCTTTCTCAGGGCGTCAAGAATATTTATTTCGTTCTCATCGGTGAGCCTATCTCTGAGTTTATCGTGTACGAGCTGAAAAGAAGAAAGATTCTTGATAAACAAATGCTGTGTCATACAAAATACATTACAGCACCTCAGCATCAGCTTGTTCTTAGATTATTCTTGATTTTGACAAATTTTGAGACTCGCAAGTAAACATTCTTGCAATAATTCTACAAGACACTAACACGTCCCTGCTGCAAGACCACAGTCTTGAAAAAGAACGAAATTTTGAACGCTGCACCAATGAAAAGAAAGTTTCCTCTTACCCCCTCTAGCTCCAATCGAGGGGCAATTCACTTTTGCAAAAAGCGTACGAGATTTTCCTAAAACAAAAGGATTTCCGAGGATTTTTTAGATAAAACAAAAGGATTTCCACCAAAGGTGTACGAGATTTTCTTGGAGTGATTTGCCCCTCTAGCCTCAATTGAGGCAAACTTTGTTGACACTGTTTCACTTGTGCAATTTGGTTCAATGTATTTGTTGTTACTTAAAGGTTTAACTTTACAATTATTTTAGCTGATTTAAATATTGTAATTAGCAAAAAAGTGGGGAGGCAAGGGCCCTCTGCCCTTCCCTTCCCCCGTAGCGCGGGCCTTAACACATGTTCATATATTTGATTTGAGATTATATATTTTTGGAAATACAGCTCAAGCATTAAGCTTGCGTGCATCGACTGGTTTACAGAAATTGAAGTGAGTTGAGTTGAATTGAGAATTCACTCCTAGTTAGCAGTACTCTGTCGGCCTCCTTCAGACATATCAGGTTACGTGGAAAGATTTCCAAATACTTAAAATTTTATAGGCAGCACCAGCTCAGATAACTTTTGTCTAAACTGTGTGTGCAGAAATTTGCTGCAAAAGGTCTTGGGACACTCAGATGACATTTTTAAGGGATAATTCTGCCACCCCTTTCTCCCTGGAAACAACTTTGGTTTACATAAAACGTTGTAGAAGAATAGGAATCAGGGGCGTAGCTAGCGGGGTATGTCGGGGGTGTGACACAATGTGACGCAATTCTTCATGAGTTTGTCTTCAACTCATGATAGTAAATCTTCAGTTAGTGCAAAAAATCCCTGGTTTGTCGGTAAAGGCGTCTGCCAGCAGGTGAAATAGCACCTACATTTCTTTTTATCCATATCTTCGTCGGTAAATTTTACTACTCATGCCCCTTCACCCCCTCCATCCCCCTCCTACCCCCTCCAACCCCCCTAGCCTGGAAGGTCAAGCTACGCCCCTGATAGGAATTTGCCTTTTTCAGATGGCTTGTATAATAGTTTCTTAAACTATCAATAGGAGAATGAATTAAAAATATCAAAATTCAACACAAATGGTTGGGTGTTTCAAGTGATTTTTGCAGGCACGTCTAGCATTAAACATCACTATCCAACCTTTCCATTTCCGGTTCGCCCAAGAGCTCTTGCAGCCGCTGTTCTAACATCCTTGCTCCAATCATTCCACATCAAATGAGAGATCTTATTTGCAACATCCTGCAAATTGATAGCACTGAGTGAGACAAACATTTTGTCATCTGAGTTTTTACAATTATAAAAAATATCTAAATACCAAAAATGCCAAAAACATCTGAGTATATTCAAGTTACAGGACGTGTATTGACGAACAAAATATACTTGAAATTTGTCATTTGGTTGACGTTCAATTTCAGAAACTGTGGGGTCTGGGGGAAATGAAGGCCCATCGGCAGAGTCCAGGGTGTGAACCCCATGGACTCTTTATTTAACGAGTTTTGAGACATTTATCACTCTTTATTCAAGTTACGGGACGTGTATTGACGAACAAAATATACTTGAAATTTGTCATTTGGTTGACGTTCAATTTCAGAAACTGTGGGGTCTGGGGGAAATGAAGGCCCATCGGCAGAGTCCAGGGTGTGAACCCCATGGACTCTTTATTTAACGAGTTTTGAGACATTTATCACTCTTTATTCAAGTTACGGGACGTGTATTGACGAACAAAATATACTTGAAATTTGTCATTTGGTTGACGTTCAATTTCAGAAACTGTGGGGTCTGGGGGAAATGAAGGCCCATCGGCAGAGTCCAGGGTGTGAACCCCATGGACTCTTTATTTAACGAGTTTTGAGACATTTATCAAAAATGCCAAAGTAAGATCTGCAGTGTAAGTCAAAGAAGGTCTTGTTTGCACCCAAAGACCCTCTGTCTACGCCTTTGATATTTCATAAAGCTCAAAAGAAGTTGATCTTTCTAGCAGCAGAATATGCAAAGTATCTTATAGCAGAGCTTTATTTAGTTAGCAATATTTAGTTTACGGATCTTCTGCATCACTGTCGAACAGATCAATCAACATTTATTTTGTATACATATGCATAAACACTGGAAGAACAGGTGCAAGCGAAACTAATTGCAATCTCCCTTGAGCAAGAAAAATTTATGAAACATCCTGTGCTACAGGGAAGGACAAAAATTAAGAAATTATGGAAACTTGAGAGTAAATTATCCCCATAAGAACTGATAAAGATAATTGTGTAAAAAGCAGTTTCGATGTCGTCACAGGCGTTGAACTGTTTTACGTAGATGGAAACCTATAATAGAGTTGGTAGAAGTAAATTATAATATGTCACATAACCTTTTGAACCAATGTATCGCTTGTGGTGAGATAATTACAGTTTTCCGAAAAAAAGGTGTTTCGAAATCGTGACAAGTACTGTAACACTTATAGAAATCATGCATATTTTACAGTAGGCTGTTATGATATAGCTATATTGCAAAGTATAGCAAAACTATTGAATTAAGCTCTGTTTGCAGTCACACTCCTTTGGCAGTCAAAACTTTTGAAGCAATTTTTGGTGTGACTAAAAATCTACTGTATGCTAATTCTGGGTGTGGAAAAAACAACAGTTGGTAAATCTGGTACAACAAATAGATAGCATAGCATTGTCAGCTCTAGTTACTTATCATTGAAACAACGTCATTAAAATTTTCAGCAATCGAGTCTTCATGATAACAAGAATCGAATAACTGATAATTGTTATTCCCTGAAAGAACGAAGATTATCCAAGATTCGCCAGTATGCTAACGACTTGGGAGAGAGGTAGCAGTGTCACAAAACTGAAAACTTCGTATGAACGACTCCAACGACAAAGGCACGGTGTGCTTTGAACACACAATGTATACGAGCAAATGTCAAGTCAATGATTAAACCAAACTATCATTAGCCTGCGTGCAAACTTTAAGTTTCTTACCAGAACAGTTCTCCAGGAACTTTACCAGAATAGTCCTCTAAGTATTTTACTTGAACAGTCCTCTTAGTATCTTACCAGAACAGTTCTCTAAGTATCTTACCAGAATAGTCCTCTAAGTATTTTACCAGAACAGTTCTCTAAGTATTTTACCAGAACAGTTCTCTTAGTATCTTACCAGAACAGTTCTCTAAGTATCTTACCAGAACAGTCCTCTAAGTATCTTACCAGAACAGTCCTCTAAGTATCTTACCAGAACAGTCCTCTTAAGTATCTTACCAGAACAGTCCTCTTAGTATCTTACCAAAACAGTCCTCTTAGTATCTTACCAAAACAGTCCTCTTAGTATCTTACCAAAACAGTCCTCTAAGTATCTTACCAGAATAGTCCTCTAAGTATTTTACCAGAACAGTTCTCTAAGTATTTTACCAGAACAGTCCTCTTAGTATCTTACCAGAACAGTTCTCTAAGTATCTTACCAGAACAGTCCTCTAAGTATCTTACCAGAACAGTCCTCTAAGTATCTTACCAGAACAGTCCTCTTAAGTATCTTACCAGAACAGTCCTCTTAGTATCTTACCAAAACAGTCCTCTTAGTATCTTACCAAAACAGTCCTCTTAGTATCTTACCAAAACAGTTCTCTAAGTATCTTACCAGAACAGTCCTCTTAGTATCTTACCAAAACAGTCCTCTAAGTATCTTACCAGAACAGTCCTCTTAGTATCTCACCAGAACAGTTCTCTAAGTATCTTACCAGAACAGTCCTCTTAGTATCTTACCAAAACAGTCCTCTAAGTATCTTACCAGAACAGTCCTCTTAGTATCTCACCAGAACAGTTCTCTAAGTATCTTACCAGAACAGTCCTCTTAGTATCTTACCAAAACAGTCCTCTAAGTATCTTACCAGAACAGTCCTCTAAGTATCTTACCAGAACAGTCCTCTAAGTATCTTACCAGAACAGTTCTCTAAGTATTTTACCAAAACAGTTCTCTAAGTATCTTACCAGAACAGTCCTCTAAGTATCTTACCAGAACAGTTCTCTAAGTATCTTACCAGAACAGAGTCTGCGCGCAGGCTAAGGATAATAGGCATTTAAATTATGATCAATTACAAGGGGACCAGATGATGAATAATAAAAAACGATGTTGAAAGTACAATACAACGAATCAACAAAGTGAAGTATTATCGTCCAACTTGGATACGATCCAAATTCTTTAAACAGAAACCTTTGATAAGAGATCTCCAGAGTCATGTTGACGAAAAGGGTGTAAGGGCTTTGACAAATCTCTCCCCCCTCCCCCCACTAAGTGTATTTACACTGTGTATGTGTAAAACTTGAACCCAATAATTCGGCTTGCAGACAATTGCGAACTAATCTTCGTTATTATGCAGTTTTGCTTTGAGGCACTACAGTGATGCAATATATTCATCCAGGTCACACTAAAAGAATACAAAACACAGAACCGTCTAACGACACATCATAATTAGTCAAGAGGCCGTACCTTACTCAGTGGACCTTGCAGTGATGGGAAAACCTGACAGGCAACAACACGATCTCGCCAGCTGCTGCTGTTTAGCTGCTCTGCTAGCATAAATTGAACCCTGTTCTGGAAAGGAAATAGCGAAAATATTTCAACGTGAATGTTGGAACGTGAAAGGGTGGAAAAATAAAACTGGATATTTTCGAAATTAGGAATGAATGAAGAGACATGTGTTAATCTTTCTTCCTGAAAAATTCCTCAAGCACTGGATACTTTTTCAGCAAAGAAATGAAGTATTAGATGGGAATTGCTTTTGCATTCATTGGGCTTCATTATGATTTTTGACCGTATGACCGCAATGGTTCTTTGGTTCTGAAGACGATTTTTGAGGAACACGTATGTCATTGATCAATGGACAACCCCCACCGCCCTTGCTAAATAGTCAGTTTTATTTTTGCAATGAGATATTTTTCGAAAACAATTGGTTTCATTTAAAAATAATGCAGCTTTGAATATTCTTTTCTTCTCAAACTAATGTCCAGAATTGTTGTCTATGATAATAGTTACATCTACAATACACGAAATAAACTTTTCAATAGTGAAATAACCTTTTAAACGAATCTCTGACAATATTACTATTCACTTGCTACACCATAGCCCTTAAAATCTATAACGCCATAGCATCTTGATTTAATTTCCACTTTTTCATATATCAAATATCTTTCTAGTCCAATTTCTATTTTTTCACCTTGTTTTCTCGCTCCATTTAAGAATCTAGCGACCCTAGTACAGCATTCCAACGTTTTTTGTGCAATTTTCATTAAGGAACCTTAAGTATCACAATTCGATCCAAAGAGGTCCAAAAATAAGGAACTTCAAGAACTATGCCTCGGGCATATAAAATAAAAAGCGTGTAACTCCCGAAAAGGTCTTCATTCTTTAAAATCTTTAAAACCTTACTGAGAAAAATATTGAAAACAAGGACAACTGTACGACTATCACTATTTCTGGACACTGGGAATATGTTCCTTACAGCTCGTTTCTATCTAAATATGCAAATATTTTCAATTTTTTAGAACTTTCAAGGGCACTTGTCAGAGGAGTTAGAAAGTGACTGTCTGAAAATGTAAATGGTCAGACAATAATGAAAAAGAGTATCATGTTTATCAAAGGGATTTAATGAGGCGATTAGGGTTAGCCACGTTAAAAAAGAGTCTCTGAAATTTTATGAACAGATAAATCATAATGCAAGGTATTTATTTCCCTGTGGTTGAATAACAGCGCTGGTTTGACCTCTGGTGGTATGGAGTGAGCTAGGAAGCGGCAAAAAAGACTCTGAGAGATAGGTATCACGTAGCTTTAAACACACAAACGTCGAAAAATGAGTAGGTTCAGGTTAAGATGGGCAATTTCTTACTTTCTGTGGGGATAAACTCCTTTATGCACCCCCATCTGGTAAACGAGGAAAATTCCGATTAACAAGTAATGAATTCTGAGCATATGAAATGGCGACTTTACAAATAGGCAGGTTCTTGTAGCATAAATATCCCCAGGGTAAAAGACAAATAAAAAATTGCAATTATTTCTTGCTTAACCCAAGCTCTTGATAAACTGCCATTGTGGGAACAAACAATTAACGAAAAAGGGTGTATTGACATGGCTACCCTTTTAATACTCACTGACTCCTTACTTAGCCTCCCCAGAAGCTTAACTGATTTCGAATGCTTCACAAGGTCCGCTGAGTTTATGTGTTTTATAAGCTCATTGATAACAGCATCGTCATCAACACTAGCGTACGCAAGACACTGAGCAGCAGCCCATTTCTCTGGTGCGCCTCCGCTATCAAGGGTTTCAAGGAGTATTTGTTTTGCCTACAAAAGTAGAAGAATTATTGATTACACAATTTTATTTGAATTTTGTACACACATTTAAGTCATATATTGCTCGTATTCTGCTCATTGTAATAATGGCTGTGTAGAAAAATTAAGGCACCTATACTAGAAGACATAACAACCAAAACGACTTCATCGTTTTTGGCATCATTAAATAAGGCATTGTTGGCACCCTGAAAGACAGAAGACACCAATCTCATTGCTCGCCCTATGGGTGGCAATGTAACTCTCGGTAGAAACCCAGGTATGATATTACAGTTTTAATTAAAATTTGACGTTTTGTGGAAGTAATGGATACGGAAAATGGGAAAATGGGAAAATGGAAGCTCTACATACCAAGAGATTTGATACTAAACTAATGATATCCTAAAAAAAGTTTCGAAACGAGTGCCTCGTGACAATGGGTCCTGACTCGTTTCATTGATTTTGAATGATTTTGTATGATTTATACAATATTTTCTTTTGGTCTAGACAAAAACACCATATTAAAGTTTACATCAATTACAGAAACTTTTTCCCTCCAACTATATCATCATCCCTTGGCACTATCAAATGTAGTATAAAAATTTACATAAAAACAAATAAAAGTTTCCATGTCCTGAAAATTCAATGTTGAAAAGATTGGGCCGTACTGACATTCTTAGGGCCCCCGGGCCCATGCATAATTGGGTCCTCTCTATCAACTAGAGTGAAAATCCGAACAAATATTACTTGCAGAACTTGGGATTTACAAAATTTCATTAAGTATTGAATAATAATTTGAATACTGAAAACTTTGCCTCAGTAGCTACAAAAACTTCTGTTTGTGTCGAAAACATTGTTTTACTCGGTATGTGTAAAATTAAATCTATTGCTCGATTTTTTAGACAAGTACATCGTTTGCATTATAAAAGAACGTATCGGTTTATCCACTACCCGAGGAGGCACCGTGGTTGCTGTGGAAGTGCGCGCGGGTAGATTTTCGAGTTTGGATGCTTCCAGTTAGTTGCACTCCTTGGGGCAAATTTTTTACTATTACAACCTTTTTCTTAAATGAGTTTCTTCAGGTCGAAAGCTATTTCAAAGTTTTGATAGATTTCCTGGTGTCATTTTGCAACTTCATACTCTCTAACTGCTGCAATGTCTTAATATCTTTCCTTTCTACTGCTATTTTCGCAGAAAACTTCTGGGTTTGTTGGAAGTTTAACATGATTGTCTATTTTTTGTCTAATTGTGACATTTTGACAGGAAAGATTTTAAAGCTAGATTAACATATCTGAATATCTGAATATATCACAAGATTTCTTATTTCAGTTCTGAAGTCGTTATGTTGTGTTCAAATTAATGTAAAATATAAAATTTAAGGTTCTTACCCCTCCTATGAATTTTCCTATCTACGCCACTGATCGGAACTGACCATCCCATGAATCATTTTTAAACTGATATTGCTTACCACACCTTTCCCGCCTTTGGAAAATTATTTTCTTCGGAAACACTAGGGGAATTTTTATGAGAAACACTAGGGAAATCTTGCAAGAGAATAAGACTTCTAAAAATATCTATGGGCTCCTAGATGTTTGCGGGCCCCTTGATGTTTGTGGGCCCAGTGGGCCTACTGGGAAGTGCAGTTCTGGTATAGACCAAATTAGTTGAAAAAAGAAACTATTGAAATAAAGTGTAGCAAATAGTAACCAGTATTTTTGGGTATTTGTTAATGCAAAAATAACAAACCCAGCACTGAGACTTACCTTCTGGGTACCTCTGTTCAGTGCAAACAACGTTATTGCGGAGGCTACCTGCACTTGTCTGCACCTATCTGATAAACACTGTAAAATTTTCTCAAAAATGTCTGCAGACATTTGCACTTCTGAATCATAATCACTGGTGTCGTTTCTCAAAAGTATATCTGTGAAGAAAAATGGATGATGAGACATGTAAATGAATAAATTTTAGCAGCGCTGCAGAATGAAAATATTTGCTTGTTATGCTCTATTTATTTGCATTTGCTTCGATTTTGTTGCATAGAATCTGGTTCTAAGTTGCGATCATCAGGTAACTGGTAAAACTACTCTTTCTGTTGGTGCAATAATATTTAGTTGTTAAGTTCCTGTCAAGTCACAGGAAGAAACAACATTTCAAGAATACTGCTGGTGGGAAGAATAAATGGAAAGAGAAAGAGGGATAGACCTAGAATGATGTAAACAGACAACAAAATGGCTTGGACAGGAATAAATACAGTGAGGCAGTAAGAACAGCCAGACGGAAAAAGATGTAGAGCTACCATATCCTCCAACCCTGCAAAGGAGGGAACATAAACATGAAAGAAGAGGTTCCTGGAGGTATTGTGAGTTTCAATGCTCGTTGGTCTTAATTAGGGAGCAACTATGTAATTAATTACTATTCTATACCACTAGTTCACACTAATGAGAATGTAAATCTTCCATACCTTCAATAACATAACAACTAATATAATTATAAAGAGAGTAATTCAATCAGTTGCCTGGTAATCGGAGTAAGCGTGGAACCCAGAGTAGCAACTTAGAATCGTCCTATGTTCGATAAACCAAAGCGTGTCCTATGGAGTTATATTTCAGGATTATTGGGTTTCAAAGGTTTTGCCTATAAGGCATTGAGTACTTTATGACAGACCGGTAAACAGTAAAGGCACAGTCTCAAATTTTTGATGTTGACTGACATCAAATAGAAAATAGATATCATCAGGCCTTATGTTGTTATTTGTTCTTTTTGACGGGCTGATGTTTGCAATAGTAAATGTTCAACAGGCTCAAACTGGGTTCTTATAAATTACTAGACCTTGAAGAAAAAATAAAGAACGACAAAATGGACTGGTCAAAAACAGAAAAGAAAGTATCTCTGATCTAGCTCTGATATCGTAAAATAATTCTTTGTTGATAATTGTAATTGTGCTTTGAAAATTAAAATATGGTATGCACATATGAAAAGAAACTTCAAGGGCATTTTTACAAAATTTCTTGTTTTGAATGTTTAGTTTGATGTACGATATGCGATAAAATTAGAGACACATACGACAATAACTGGATGCACATTTCTAATAGCAGATTTTGGGAAGGTGAACCCCACTTTTTGAACTCTAAATAGGACCAAAGATATAGGGGTGTAAGCTCATAGATGCATTTTGATTAAGTAGCATATTTCCGGCCAAGTGAGATTCAAAAAGACTGTTGCTACTGATATTAACACTCTTTATCTCAGACTTTTTCAAACTTTCAGATTTTTGTATCTTTACAATAGCGAAATATCATACTAAGCCAGGCTTGCTTCAAAGCAAGGGTCAATATAAACATAGGTCTAAATAAAGAATTACGAATTAAGTACAGCAACATCGTAGAAAAGATTTGAGAAATAGGGCACTGGACAGTAGTAAAAAACCAAGAAATTAAATTGGACAATAACCATTTAACACCAAGCCCATACACAAAGTAAAAGAAGTATCCTGCCCCCCTGCCCCCCTCCCTAAATCCCTCTCGAATTGAATTGTGATAAATGAAATACGATTCATGATAATCCATACCAAACAATAAATGATTTTTAGCTAGTAGAGTTGGTCATCGCATGAAACTTACTTTTCGCTTGCTCCTTCGTCTCTACAATTTTTTTATTCAACAGTGCCTTACTGCATGCTGAGACAGCTGATAACCTCACGTGATCGTTTATGTCATTCATTCCATCGATAAGCTCTTTTGATGTGCTATTTTCCCATTTCTTTTCAAGAAACCACTTCGACCTCCATTCTTCAACTTGAAAAAAAGAATAAAGTTCTTATCAACTTTTGGTCATCACAAAAAAGAAATTAGATTCATAGTTGAAATGCGAGGCAGTCTTCACTGCTAAATCAACAAAGACCTTACTTGCAACATTCTGGAAAAGCAAATGATGATTTGATGTCGTTGTGTTGCTATTCGTGCAAATGATGGCTTAACCTAAATATATTTTCCCTCATATCTTTATAAACCTTAAAATCGCTATGAATAAAACGGATGAAGACCAATTATAAACAAAGATTCCAGATCAGCAAAGTTTTAAATTGAAACCAAATTGAAATCCAGGTGAAAGCTTTGTTGATGAAAACCTACCAATGCGCACTAAGTTTGCATCTTCTCTTTGTTTTCTAACAATTTTTGGGTCGAGTTCTGCATATGACTTTGTTGGAGTCACCGATTTTAATGATATTCGCTGAACATCATTATTCTACAATTAAAAGAGGAAAAAATATTTGTCTAAGAAGCACCACAAAAAGTATGCTAAAAACCCATAGATAAATGAAATAGCAACTCATTTAACTGACTATTGACTATTGGGGACCACTCACATAATCATTTTCTAAGGGGGACCAAGAGACAATTTTTTACACATTGTAGCATGAGAGTACGAGAAATAGAAAACTATTGTTGCCTTAGTAACCTTTTCTGAAATATTTGCAAAAGACCCCAGATTTTTTTTTACAAATTATGACTGAAGGCATGGACATTTGCACTGCAAGGGGATAGCATCAGGGACGCCTAAAGGACCAAAGGACAAGGGTCCAGGTCGATGACCTTTAACTGGAGGGGCCTGGAATGTAAATGAAGTTCCCCCCCTTCAGCCCCAACTGTGGTAATCATTTTGCCGATGCTGTTTTACTTGTGGACTTCAGTCCAATGTATTTGCTGTTATCTAAAAGTTTGTCTATAAAAATCATTTCATCTAATTTTTGTCTTTTAGCTAGCAAAGATGTGGGGAGGCCATGGCCCCATGGAGCTTTTGCCCCAGCTGTGGCACAGACCCTGAAGAGGGGTGGTTCCCCCCAATGCATAAGTGCTTGGCATTGGCTTAGTGATGCTATGCAACAAACAGTATTGGTCAACAACACATGGTAACATACAGTATTGTAACCTGATGCTTGCAACACTCACATCAATCACATCTGGATAATCTTTCCAATGGTGCATCCCTTTGGCCATTTTATTCCTTTTAGTTTTCTTGTGCTTCTTTGGATTGGAATCCCAGTTGTACCAGTTATCCGTTTGAGCAGGAAATGATGACTGGAGAACTTTCCCATAGATAGTTTTTAAATCAGTGTCCAGCACAATTTCATTAGGGTTGGATCTTTGCTTAAAGACTGGCATTGCACCTTGCTTTACTTGCTCTGAGTATAAACTGCTTTTATTCTTTGGCTTTTCCCAACAGTCCTCCACAGAAGATTTATCCTGTGTTTCTTGAGTATTTTCCTCCTTTTTATTTACAAAAAGAAAAGTATTCTACATTTATACTGAAAAAATCTCAAAGAATGGTTAACTGCAATCAAACTTAATGTTATTCTCTGAATCCTGACAAATTAACCGAGCTCAATGGAGAATATGGCACAAGATATATAACAAAACATGATTATAAATATGAACAGTTACTAGCCTTCACTTTACTTTCTGTTAATAAGTTCAGCATATTTCTTTAACTTTTTGTAGATCATTCCATATGTAAGCTATTGCTTTTAATGAATGCTAGAAGTTATTCTTGACACTTACAAGAAATCTTAAAGACCTGAATGTGCTTGTTTTACCCATGCTGCATTCAACATGTCTGACCCTGGTATTACCCTCCAAAAACTAACACTGCTGCCCCAAAAATTCCTTCATTTGTTGTGGTCTGAGTGGTGTTAATTTCTTCATTATAGAAGATTTCATGAACAGCCAATTCATAACAGCAAAGCCACATTACAAGATACATAGATTAATACTGCATCATACAGATGTAGCCAAATATGGAACTCAGTTCCAAACGAGATAAAGTACTCCCCTATTTTACAAATACTCAAGTAAAAAATCTCAGAATTTACATCGTTTAATTGCACTCGAAAACTCTAAAAATAGTTTTTTGTGATGTCACACTTGAGAACTCTATATCAAAAGACAATGCTGCTCATGTTTCTTTTGCCACATACATCATACATGCATATTTCATAGGAGCCATCATTTGCCCAAAACATGTTGGGTATGTTACACCAATGACTAAATTTCAACTTTGAGAAAAAAGCTTTTTAAAAGGACATCAACATCTGAGGGGAATTGCAGGGGCCAAGGCCTTCAAATAATTCTGTAAGAAACCTTCACATAGGACATTTTGCCCACTCCTTGAATCAAAACATATAAGCTACATCCACTACATCCACAAGCCTTTTTATGCCTCTATTTCAGCAAGCTAACACCAATATTTTTTACTCTTAGTTGACCCCAGAATGAAACACATACAATATGATGACTAGAGAAATCTCACTAAAAGATAGATCCGTTGATTTGACTCTAGAGGTATTAAAAAGAGTGCTGTCTTAAATAACATACCTGTACAGCTCCTGAATTGTCTGTTTGCTGAGACTTCGACTTGTGGATTCTTACATCACATTCTGGGGAATTCTTGATAATTTTGTTTAGCTTCAGTTGTTGGGGTCCTGAAGTGTACTCTTTTATAACCACTTCAGCAGTTTCTTTGCTTAAAAGTGTCATTAAATACTCATCCCAAGTCAATGGTACTTTCTTGACTGAAATATTTTCTATCTGTTTGTGGAGAACTTGCTTCTCTTTCAAACTTTCAATGCTTGTTTTTTGTGCTATTTTTGGCAATGATTTTGGTTGAAAAGTCACTTCACTTTCACTCGGCCCTTTAATGAAACATGGGTAATGTTTGGTGACAGCGAATCTTGTATCATGTCTCCCAACAAGGACAGCTTTCTTCTTCTTTTTCTTAAAACCTTTGAACGCATCCGGTTTCTTATCAAAGGAATAAGGCTTCGAATTTTTTACTCTTTCATCAATAACTTCAGAAGAGAACGAAAGTCCATCACTTATCCTTTCCAAATATTTTTCATCTAATCTCCCTTTAGATTTGTCCTTGAATCTTCTTTTATCTTTACCTGCGTTCTGAGCAGTTTTGGCTTGTACCAATGGTGCTGCTTTAGATTCTTTCTGAGGGACAAGAACTCGTGCATTGGAAAGAAAATCTGCACCAGAGCTTGCATCATTCAACAGATCTTTGCCTACAAACGGTATCTGGACACCTTTTGCCACTGGAAAAAGACTTGCACCTTTGCTTTCCATTTTTTTCTATTTTATCGCGGAAGTCTTGGCAGAAAACAGCAGGGCCTAGAGAGCTTCTCTGCGCTTGTCTTATAACACCTCTTCGCCGAAGTTGAGGACTTCAGCTTTCCATAAATCTGTCATAAATCTGCATTGCATATCAACAAGTTTACAATCCTATTAAAATGACCTAAGCAACGTTATTCATAGTTGCATACAATGCTTGTATAAAGTCATAAAATATGTATATCAGAATTCTCTTTCTGTAGTTGTGGTTTAGCCGCCATTTACGTCGTTTCCAAGGTGACACATCAACAGGGCAGCAAGGGAATTGATAATTTTGTATCCCTCCCCAGTTCATCCGCCTGGCCGAGGGGCAATTCACTCTTGCGAATAGCGTACGAGATTTTCCCTAAAACAAAAGGATTCCTAGGGATTTTCAGATAAAACAAAAGGATTTTCACAAAAGGTGTACGAGATTTTCTTGGAGTGATTTGCCCCTCGCGCCCGGCAATCTCCGCTGTTAAAATTTACACATTCCAGCCTTTAGCGAGAGAGGGATGAGAGAGTAGTGGATGTAGATGCTGTACACACATGCTACCAAGCATAAGACCCCGTTTACACTGTCCCGTGCAAGTTTGGAACCGTGACAAAACTGTCGCGGTTCGCCCTTGCGTTTACACTAGCACTGTGGAACCGTGACGATTTTGCTCTGCTATCCGGAACAGTTTTGACCCTGCTTTGAAAGCGAACGAATTTTGTACCGTCACGGTTCCGTTTTTGAACGGGACAGTGTAAACACCTATCCGAGACGATTTTGTCACGGATTCACAAAGAGGTCTTTTGTATGGCTGTTGCAGGTAATCGAGGCTTTGATTGTGGCGTAACTACGTTCTCAAATTCTGAAGAAAAGGAAATTCTGAAGAAAAGACGACCACAGAAAAGGCTTGTAGTGTTTCCCAGTCCAAGCCTTGATTGGACTTTGCAGTTTTGTAGTCTAAAATAACACTGAAAATTAAAGCCACCTTGTCTTTCGTCCAAGTAAAGTTTTAATCGGCCTTCCGCTCCATTTTGACTCACAATAAAAATTCGATTGTTGACTTCAGCGGCAAAATAAAAGCCTTGGTTGACTAAATACAGCTTCTTCTAAACAATGTTCTACCATTAAATTAAGGTCGTACCGGTACAGTGTAAACGGAACGGCTAAACGGAACAATTTGGAACCGCGACAGTGTAAACACTTGCGAACCGTAACGGTACAAAATTGTCCCGGGACAGTGTAAACGGGGTCTAAGTTTCGTCGTTTTCATCAAAGCATGTCGTCAGGAACATAGGTGGCTGGCTGCACATCAACCCTGATCTGTACGAATCTAACCAGAATCTGAAAAGACCTTTATCTCTTTTACATTACGTCTTGTACTATATGCCAGGAACCATGAGCACTTTTAAAGAATGGGTTATAATGTGCGGTTGCTAGAAGAACATGCATTTTTGTTTAGGATCTACGCCGTGTTTTATTTATGGCAAAGCACCATGGTTAGCTAAGGTTGAAATGTACAGAGAGAATTTGAAGAGTTCTAGAGTGGCGAAAAAGAGAAAGTCAAATGGTAAATCGTCTTTCCTCCTGGAAATTTTCTTCACTGCACCTTCATCAAGAAGAACAATTTAGGGCAGGAGCCGGTCCAGAGAAAATTTGAAGGTGGCAGTTATAGTGGGGGCGCAATGGCACGAACAGCTAGCTGTTCGAGTACCCTGCAACGGACGTGGCCTGGAATGTTAAACTGGGGCGGAGGGTATTTACAGAATCTTTGTGAAAATTTCGAACCCATCCTAACTTTTCAATTAAATTTTTCGTACCTCTTAAAAATATTTAAAAGTTGATTCAAACCCCTTCTCGGCTCTAACTGATGAAAATTAGTGATTACATTAAAATGGTCCACTGCTTGCATGTTGTTACGCCACATCAAAATAATCTGATACGACGGGGCGAACCTTGCCAGCCTCAAAATTTTATGTGTACTGTATCATTTCAAATCTGAAAAATGAATATTTCTGCATCAAAAATTTAAACTATACTTTAACCATAACTCGTGGTAATCAGCATCCACTAAAGAGTTTCTCGATATGAATTATTGTGAAAGCAGAGGAAGTGATAAAATACTCTTTTGGAATGGAATCTTCTTTGTGATGATATAAAATATTCTGTAAGCATTGCTGAATTCAAACGTAAACTTCTTGCAATCATACGACCATTAGGAAACTCTACTTATAACATTCATGACATTGACGGTGTTAGATCTTCAACAAAAAATCGATTGAATTTTAGTGCATTAAACGAACATAGATTCCGGCATAACTTTGACTGCCTAAACCCGATTTGTAGTTGTGGAACTGGAAAAGAGGACAATGAACACTATCTCTTGCAGTGCCCACAGTTTGATTTGATGCGTACAGATCTCTTTGGTCAGCTTTCAGAAAACCCTGCCCTGGACATTAATGATATGGATACAACAGCCTTGTGCGATCTCCTTTTATATGGCAGTTCACGATTGAATATAATTAGTAATAAAATGATCATGGATGCCACTATATCATACATTAAGACTATTCAACGCTTTTAAGTGAAACCCCAAACAGCAGCTACTTTAAGTGAAACCCCTTTTAGTTTTGTTGTATATATTCTTTGTAAGGGATTGTTTATTGTAAGTGTCCCTCGTAGTGGGAACATGATGACCTTGGGTTTTTTCCCGCTATGAGGGGCACAGTTGAATGTAAATATTAGAGTTGTAGTTGTTTTATGTTAATAATAATAAAAAAAGGTAAAATTGTTGACCTTTTGATTTGGGGAGACTTGGGGAGACTTGGCCTAAATGATTTGCGAAAAGATAATGCAAAAAAGTTTATTCAGCTTTCTGATTTAGAGAAAGATGCCAAACTTGTTTCAAGATATCATCAAAAAGCATTATTATGGCTTATTAATGAAAAATTGTTGACTGATAAAATGAAAGACAACATACAGTAGTGACTAACTTCTCAGAGAAATAGGAAAAGGAAGGGAACTCGTTTGAGTGCCAAGCCACAAAGAACAATTTTTCAGTGTTTTTCATCAACTGCCAACGGTAACTATTCAGCTTTATCTGATGAGTATGAATCAAGCCAAAGTAAACAGTCTGATGACTCAGCCAGCACGGCATTTGAATAACTACTTGCAACACGTGAATAAATACTTGGAACTTTTAAAGTAAGTACTTTGAACATTTAAGCAAATACTTGGAACATTGAACAACTATTTTACACAACACTAGGAAAAATGTTTTCAAAAACTGTAATTTTGATTTCATACCCCTCCAAAAGTGTCAATATTTATTTCATACCCCACCTTCAAGCACTGAAAAAATCCCGTACCCCTCCTAAATACCCTCCGCCCCGGCATAGCTCATACTTAATGACCACTCCCTTACCGGAAATTAGAACTTTCTGGAGGCCAGGAAAGTTTGTGTTTTGTGCTTTTGGTTTAAACTTCAATTGGAGTATGGCTGGATAGTTAGACTGTAGTTTAAAGTATGAACCTGAAATGTCCCAACGATTACCGTTTTATAGGATCCTAGGCACCGTTTTATAATAATTATGCTCCATAGTTCTATTTGGTTTGATTATGATATGAAGATAGGAAAAGTTTTAAGCGCAAGAAAATTAAACAAGGTTTGAATGAAGGCAGGTTTGGATGAATTAAAGAACAAAACTGTCCCAACAAGTTTTAGCCTGCGTGCAGCTTCTACGCTGCTGACAAAGAGGTAGAGACTGCGCAGCGCAGCTTAAAATTGCAGCGCAGCTTAAAATTGCTCGGTGGCCCTATGGTGACAAATAGAGCTGAGAGAATCTCAATGCCTTAATAACAAAGCAGTTAAGCTAGTTTTAAAAAAATAATTGTTACATCACGGCATCTATTTTATATTTACGGAAACTGTTATTCAATTCAGGCTGAAAAAATTAGCAACAGGTGTAGTGCAATTTGATATGTACAGCTTTTAGAAGAATACGTCTTTCAAATCAAACAGTATCGCGCAATTTGAGGTTTAGTAATTGCAACTTCTAGGAGAGTTGAGTTAGAAGAAAATGTCGACATTTTGCTTGTCTTTTCTTCTTAGAAACGTAATGAAAAAGGTCAGGATAGAAACTTAGTCGACGGGAGCGGTCTCTTTAATCCATGAGTTAAAATACATTCCCTAGAGTTTGTGATAAATACGTAATACTGACGGGAAATACGTATGTAGGCCATGATGTAAACTGTTGAGAAAAAGAAAAGAGGATCTTGATAGCGTGAATCATTTACTAAAATCTTCCTACATAGGTAAATGCGAGCAAACAAGAATCATTGATGTTGGATGGAAAACCGCATATGACACACCCAAAAAATTATTTCTCTCGGTTTGCCAGAAGAGATTCTCGGCCCAGATTGCAGCATAGCAAAACATAGCAATGAGTTGACAAAAAGTTCACTCTACACCGAAATCAAGCAAAGCGAAAATCCCTCGCTTCTTTGCCCTGCTCTTGGAATGGCATCGTTGGAAAATAAAAGTTTGATGACGCGTTGAGTAAAAAAGCTACAGTTGTTGTAACCACAAATTTAGCTATAGATCTCAGAAACGCTTTACCTGATTCTCACTCTTGGAAGGGGGCACACAGTTTCTAAAAAAGGGACGCCAGACATGCTTATACTCAGCAAGGGTAGGGGGCAACTGCCCTGAGATGTCCCCTTTGAATCCGCTACTGATCTAGAGTGAAATGTAAAATACAGCAGAATCTTTGAGAGACACTGGAATCAAATTCACTGGTTGAGACATCACAATGGGGGAGGGGGTTACGTAGCCTTCCCAATCATTTAAAACCCCCTCTTTAGAAATCCCCCACCTTTTTCTGAGACATAGTGCGCCGCGGTGCGCCTTTCTAACGATGTCTCAGGCAGGCCAGGCAGCTATGAAGCACTTAGAGCGTCTATTGATTGAGTATCTACTTATGGAAACCCAGTCATTGCATAATTTCTATTTGCAAATTTTTGATAGCACAGTATCCAGAATAACATTAAAAAAGAGCCTCCGTATCACGACCAAAAAATAGGGATGAGACGTTGGGGCACCTATCTCCCCTTTGAATCTTTTGGGAGATCTTTTAAAAGGAAATCATCAGAGGCAGTTTCGTTTTCTCCAAATAAGAAAACGATGACATAAATGTTGCTTTAAAAAGTCGAAATTATCTATCAAAACTGTTCCCATTTTATTTTTCAGATACAACTTTGCATATGATATGAAGCCATCTTAACAGCATTTCTTTTTATAGGGTCATCCCTTCAGTAGGATTAGAGAATGCTTCGAGCCAGCGTCTACGTTAGATTGTATTTGCGGTCTTTTTTGTTGCTTTTTGTGTAGCCTGTCTGTGTCTCCTTTTTACGACGTTGGTTGCAAAGAATATATTTGCGTTTTTCCAATAGATTTAGATATTCATTAGTATCAGAAATGAACATCGAATCCAGATAGTGTATTTTTATGATTTCCCATAATTAAAATTAAAGTCTTAATCAAAACAAACAATTCATTTTGACTTATTAAGAGTAAGTTAGGATACCATAAGTTTCTCAATTGATGGATTCGAGTTTTACGTCATCAATTTTGTATCTCGCTATCTACGGATCTTTTTCAAAAATGGACTTCAGAATTGAAATCTTCATCTTTAAATTAGTTTATACTGAAAAAAATCATGTTGTTTGGACCGTTCGGTCGCGTGTTACTTTGTTTTGAATATTTAGATATTTCTTTAGAGTTGACCGTAATTTGCTGCTGCAGTGAAAAATTTCACTACAGCAACAAATTCCATTGACATGTATAGGAAAAGCTAAATTTTCAAATTTTTTACACAGACTAATTTCAACATGAAGGTTCCAATTCTATCATCCATTTTTGCCAAATGTGAAGATAAAAATTGCTCGAATCCAAGAATAATCAAACGTTCCCTGCATTTCCCTTAGAAAAAAAGTATAATTTTTCAAGGTGAAGCGCCAAGCCGCAATGGTCATATGTGCCAAGGCGTTATCCATTCAACTGTCTATTATCAATTCATCGCATGACGTATTTTGTTGAGCTAAAATATAATAGATAAATTGTGACATCGGGCAAAAGTGAAAAACGAGGCCCTCTGCGAGCGGAGCGAGAAGAAAACTTTTGCGACCACGCCCTTCAGAATTGTTCTTGCATTCAGTTATCTGCAATGCAATCGTTGTCCCCCTCTCGGTGGCCCTATGGTGACAAATAGAGCTGACAGAAAGAAGCTAAGCTAGTTTTAAAAGAATAATTGTTACATCACAGTATCTATTCGTTGTTGTTGCCAACTTCAGATCTTTCAATTCGCAGGTACTATTTTATATTTACGGAAACTGTTATTTAATTCAGGCTGAAAAAAATAGCAACTGGTATAGTGCAATTTGATATGAACAGTTAATATTTATTGTCACCACTCTGAACACCAGAGGTTTCGATTACGCAGCCAGCCGACCGCCAGCCTGACCCCATTTCCGTTTTGCATATCATATATATGCTTTCTGTCAGTGTCCAGAGCTTCAGTGTGCGTTCTTTCCTGATCTTGAAGGAGCTTGAAAGATGGGAAGGCTAACAGTTCTTGCTCTACTTGGCGTAATATTGTGCGGTGGTTATGTAAATGGTAAGTAAAATTTTGTAGAAAAATACTTAACTTTGCGTACTTTGTGGATATCTTTTGGCACATGAAAGTCTCTTTTTGTGTACGAATAATGTCTACATTATTTCTGGGTCGAGGGGAACGCATACATGTATGTATGTATTTATTTATGTATGTATATATATATATATATATGTATATATAGACGCTTTTCCGTAGCTTTTTTGCTATGCAAGGCATGCTCGTTTCACTTTGATTAGTGTGCCGATTTCTATTGCTTGCGGCCACGAAATGATGATGACTCGACCTCATCAGCAAGCCAACGATCCAGAAAACTATTGTCTCATTGCCAGAAGGAAAGTTGGGACAGCTTTTAGCAGAAACAATCGACCCTTTGTGGCATCGTGTAATTTAAGATACGGTATAGCGTCAATAAAGTTTTGTTGGTAAAAATGTATTGCTATTGTCAATTTTGCCATTGTTTTGCTACGCATATAAGGGTTCTGTGCCCCTACCTTGAGGCTACCTCAAAACGCACTCAAGTTACTGAAAATCCAAACTGCATCCTAAATGCGTCCAGGTAATACTGGAAATAACACTAAATTAAAGCCACACTGCGCACCTTCTATGGTTTGACTTCAAAAAGCAAAAGCTCTGTCGAGGACTTTTACAGACAAGCTATCTAATAGTTTAATAGCCCGAGCCTTACTTACAACCGATACTTCTAGTGAGGGGTCTGGTTGATAATTCGTATAGGAAACTTGTTACATGAGGTCAGGGATCAAATTTATGTATCCTTTTAATCTATTCGATGTCAACTACCGCATTTACCTTCACATTGCTCCGGATTCAAATGAAAACGGATAAAAAAGTATCCGTTTGTGCCTTGCGTTCACACTGCTCCACCTTGAAAACGGAGACTTTTGAAAACGCACTTTGAAAACGGAGACTTTTGAAAACGGAGTCTTTTGAAAACGCAAAAACGCAGTGTGAACACCGAAAACGGATACTTTTGAAAACGCTAACAACAACAACAATACAGCAAGATGCTTAGACCGCGCCAATTTAAACAATTTTTCTTAACATGGCTGATTAACTCGAAGTTAGTACACTACTCGGAGGAGTACAAGTGGCAGTGAGTTGTCCAAAAAGTTTTTTAGCAGTCGCGAGTGCTGTAGACCAGTTAGTGGCGTTTTCCTTTTTATCAAGAGCGGAGCAATCTGAACGCGTCTTCTTTTTTTACCGTTATCAAATGTATCCGGAGTAGTGGGAACAGGCAAAACGGATCGATATGAAAACGGATAAAAACGAATACGGAGCAATGTGAACATAGCCTTACACTCATTTGTTTATAAAAAACTGGCTATAAGAAACGAGTACTGGAAAGTCAGAAAAAATTAAGAAACTTCAGTACTCGAAGCAAAAAAATCAAGAAACTATTAAATTGTGATATAACTCAGAACAACGAAATTTGGTAAAATCAAAGAACATGATTACCCTGATGACCTATAAAATAAAAATATACTTCCCACGTCTAAATACAGCGTCAGAACGGAAGCGAATCTCTTGACGTGAAAAAAGGTCACGAACATTTCATAACATCATTCATGACATCATAATTAAGAAACTCTTAACAGTGAGTATTGAATTTCCAGAACATTAAGAAACTGGCGTACTCAACATCGATCTTTGTTTCCTATAAAAAAATGAGTGTGTATCATCTTCAAAATTATCTTTATCGTAGGCATCATCATCAACATCATCGTTGTCGGATCTTGAACTAACGTTTTTCAAAAATTGTTCTAACTCAGTGGTAGAGCGAGGGGGAATCGGACGCTCTCTTTGCAAAAGGGCGTTTTCAGGCGTTCAAGCGGGTGTAGACCCCAATTTTTCCTTGCTCAACTCGCCTTTGACCCCCCCCCCCCACAATCTTACAACCCTGGGCTACGCTACAGTTCTAACTGTCTTTTGACGCCAGTTTCAAAAGGTTCCATTTTTGTCGTTTCATACCTAACTGTATTATTGTTTTTATTCGTTCAAAGTATCTGCACTTTTCAACCCAAGTTTTGAACTCAACGGGAAGCAAAATTTCAAGATCAACTTTTCCCATTGGAGTAGTTTTGGGCTTTCGAATTGAATTAAATTAATGAATTTGCGAAGGGGCTAGTCACATGTCAGCCCCATTGCTTTCGGTTTGTACTCAATTCCAGTTATTTTTGGTGGGTTTTGAACTCTACCACTTGCATGCATGAAAAAGAAACATACACATTAAACGTTCCACGATGATGTTCAAGGTACTATTGCATTACAACTTAATTGAAAATAGCGTTATCTTCAGTCTTAGCGAATTCTTCACGTGGCTATGCGGTTTTAACAAAAATTTTCCACGGGTTGACGGTTTTTGCGAAAATTTCAGACTGTTCTATGGTTTCCGGACCTCCTCCCCCCTCCAAAAATCTTGCCTGAAATGCTGCTCCCTGGGAATACTAATCAAAATCTTGTTTCCTTCATCGCAGTTCTACTGTTTTTTACAGAACTGGAGAGGGGCTAGGTTTAGATTACCTAACTCAATAAATATTCTAACTATATATTTTAGGGCAGTGCAAGAAGCGAGACATCATAGCCCTTATTGAGCTGACTCCAGGTGACCGCTATGCAGGAACCTACGTGTCCAGTTTTGTTGCAAGTCTGAAGAGGCTTTTTGACCCAAAGCCAGAGTGTACAAGACTTGGAGTAATGGTAGTTTGGACCCAAGTTGAAAAGGTCATTGACCTCAAATGCGATTACAGAGGCTGCTTTGCAAATGGTCAACAGGAAATCCGAAGAATATCGAGGCTGTCGGGAAGAACTCAGACTGCCTTTAACAAGAAAATACTCGCCGATGGTTTGCAAGCTGTTGCAAGCCAATTTGTAACGAAAGGCCGCGAAAATGTCGACAAGGTACGTGCAACAATCACCCTCCATATAGCATAATAGCAGAAATAATTTAACTGTTACTGTCAAAACAATATTGTTTTTGTCAAATATGGAAGAGCATCTATGTAAAAAAATCAATCACACTCATATATTTTAAAAAACAGGTTATAAGAAGCGGTAGGCTCAATTTTTCGAAAGTTTAGAAACAACCCTACCCAAATTGAAAAAAGCTAAAAAAAATTTATAATTTGCAGTTTTAATTTTCCAAATTGACACTCAAAACAGTCTTGACATTGAACATCACTGTATATTGCAACACTACACTTGACAGGCAGTTTGCATTCCTTCTCAGTAAATTGCACACTCAAGAAAATTCCATTTGAAAATTTGCTTTGACTTCAACTTGACATTGATGAAGTTCTATGAGCTGATCTCTGAATGTGAGTGAACTATTTACTTTACCTTGTAAGCACGTTTAAAAAATTCATTACCTAAGAAATTTAAGAAACATATAAGAAACTTTTGGTAGCAAAATGGCCAGAAAAATTAAGAAACTGTTTACCAGCACCGGACTTTAGTTTCTTATAAAAAAATACGTGTACCTTCTATTCATCATGCTTTCATGCACAATTGTTTTACATACATCTATGATGAACGTCAGAGGCAAATAGTAATAGACACTCCATTTCCCACCCCACGCAAAGAAAATTGTTTACTACACGAGTGAATCAGGAACGGTCTGGCGTCATAACCGCAGGGTGGCAAGCAAATTCAATAAGCCCGGTTTAGGGCGTGGCGGAAAAATTGAACCACACCCAAAAAAATGTAGCCTTAGAACATGGTTAATTCAATAAAAATTGATAATGAAACAATGTGCTAAACAGCACCATTATATCGATTTTAATTCGTAAATTCGGACCCAGTTGAATCCACACATTTCCTCTCAAAATTTATTTAAGATCTTGTGTTTCAACTCTTTTCGAAGAAGTGCAGATGAATCAGCAAATTGGTCAATGACTTGCTCGTAATCAAGTGGAAAGTTTTCTCTTCGCTTGAAATTATCAATAGCAATAGCAGTTGATTGACTGATAGTGGAGCGCAGTCTTTTCTTAACAATATTAAGCTGGCTGAATAATCTTTCACAGGAAACTTGGGTGCAGCTAAGTGTTATCACACATTTATATGCATTGTAGAGGGAAGGGTATGCTGCTATGTGCATGTTGTATTCATTCATTTTTGTAAGAACCAATAAATTTAGGTTCAGGTTGACTGTTCTTAATCTTTGCAAAATCGGAAGCTAGATTGTTCTTAATTTGTTCTTAAACTATTAGGATATAAGCAGTGCGATAGCTAGCCAGCAAAGTGAGTGCAACAGGCTGCATTTGACGACAAGATTGAACATTCACCGAAAAGCACCCACACATGGCTAAAAAACCTCGTTTTGGGAATAGAATGTTGTTCAAAATCAAATTGTAGCTCAATCTTAGCTTGTTCTTTTTGTTTTCAACTTTGACCAATTTTGATGTTCGTGTCCTTATAAAATTGTTCTTATAAATAAAAAAACGCAGGCACAAAGTTTTGAATGCGTAGGGTATGCACAGTTGGCAAGCTTCTACCCTTTTTGAACAGGGTGTCGATGTCGACTTTAGGGTCCTTTCGTCCTTTCTCTCTTTGCAAATCCCCACCTTGAAAGTCACAGGTTTCTTCTCCATATGTTTCTTCGCTCAGAGCTTGTTCCTTGAATTCATCTTCTTTTTTCTGGATCTCCATTTGCACTAATTGTTGTTTTTATTTGAGTTTTATATGCTGCTGGTAGCAATTTGCAAATGCCAGCAGTTCTTTTCTTGAGCATTTCCAAGCTGACATTCACTAAACGAGAAATCTTGAAAAGAAGGCTCTTTGCTCTCCTGCATCATGGCTCTAGCATTGCTAAATCCTGATATAGATGATATTCTTCGAGGACCTTTTGTCAATCTCCTCCCATCTGAGTTCGAGGCTGTAACCAGATGGTAGTGACGACTACTTATTCTCTCTTTTCTGAATTTCCTGTTTTGAATTTTACATTATTTTCACACATTGGACCCCCCCCCCCCAAATAATTGAAACCTAAGCTTTATATTCTGTATAACGGTGTGCTAAGTGGGAATAAATACAATGGACAACCGTCAACACCCTCCTCCCAATATGAATTTCGCTCTCACAGCACTGTCTCTGATAATTGCTGTTTCATATCATCAAAATATGAATTAAAATTGTGACTTATATCAATACATAACTAAAACATGGATGTTTTTAATCAAGCAATTTTTGTCCATTCCAGGTCAGTTATCCTGGGTACCAGAGCCACATAAATTCGAGAGCGAAAATAGAAGATAAGAGTACACTCCTCCGCTACTCTGCTTGGTATCATGTTAACGCGCTCGAAATGTTGTGGCTCTGGCACCCACGGTACAGGTCAGATTGAACAAATGGCTGAAATAACAGAAACCAGGGTTTGGGTGGTTTGAATTGCTTGTATTGGGACTTTAATCTCAAAGTATTCAGTCTAGGGCATTAAGTCTTTTACATTAAGTTAAAAAGATTTTTCCAAAGCGGGAAGGGCCCGGTAAATGTTTTTTACCCACTTTGTCACCCGAGCCAGACCACCACTGGAGTGAATCCAAACGAGAACGAATGATCAAAACATGTCATATTATATTTGTTTATTATTGGCCTCTTATGTGGACATTTGTAGAAGGAAAAATAACAACAAAACCAACAGGAAACACGAGAGAGCCCTGAAATAGCCTATTATGTTTAACATTCAAACAAATACTGGTAAAACATTACCCTGGGTACCAGACTCATTCTATATAAAATTAGAGTATCTAAAGTGATTCTGGTACCCAGGGTAATAAAAAGTAAAACAACTACCTCCCCTAGCAAAAATCTGCAATATTTCGCCATTGATATGTACAAAACATAATATGTTTTAAATCCACCCTTCATGGAGGAAATATTCTCTCCATTCATGGAGGAAATATTAGACGCGCAAAATTTAAAAGCATTGAGACCAATTATAAAATGTATGGACTTGACATGAGCTCGTATAGATTTAGAGAAATTTGGAACAATATACAATATGAAATCGAATATGCTCAATCTTTGGCAATATGAAAAGGTAAAACAAAAACCTTCTCTGCATTTAAATCTACTTGCTACCTGTGCAGTGCAGGCAGTACATTATTAGTAATGTCGGATTCGTCGATGAATGACAATATTGTCTATATTAACAATTTTATTCTGTTCTTGGCGTGTTGTTAATTTAGTTAGTTGGTTTTAATACGCCTTTTTGTAGCTATTTTTACACACGAATTTAAGATAAAGAATGAATAAAGAGGAGCTTCTCTCAGCAATTCTCCTAAACAATTTTCCATTCTGCGTTGACTTATAATTTTCGTAGAATTCTTGGGGTTTTAATTGTATTTTTTATGTTCTAGCTGCTTCTGCTGGTATTGACAAATGCCCCAACTGCCGGAGCTCCCAAAACTCAAGATGAAATTAAGGACATGCTTGACTTGCGAGTATCGATCCTGGTAGTTGCAGTTGCAGGCGGAAGGAAGGAAAAACTTGGAGAAATCGCGAGCCCTAGCCACTACCAAGTTGATTTCAAATCAATGAGCCAGCTTGTTGCGAATGGTCATTCAGAAATAGCACAACTGATATCACTTCCTCTAGGCCAACCTGGTACATTCATCCATGTTCAGTATTTTATCCTACCCCAAAAAAATGTATTTCATTAAAGTGGGCATGAATTGGTTTCAGATATGTTTTCCTTTCCAGATTTGTGTTTCTAGACAACAGCATTCCAGTATAGAAAACTTAGTTCATAATTGAGCCGTTTGAAACTTACTTTGTTATATTTTATAATTAACAAAGGACATCATTGGGCTCTCCAGTTTTTAAAACACTGCATCAATTTTCAGCAAACATTGTTTCTAAATAGCTCCACAATTTCAATGTTACTAATTTTACCAATAGGGTCCCTATGTCTAATTTTTCCTGCTGGGAAAAGATTGAGACGTTTTTGAAGGTGGTTGTAAAGAATTTGAGAGCAATTGAAGTTTTTTTCAATGTTTACGTCTAAAGTTGAATACCACCCAGCTAATGAGTCCAATGACATTGAAAATCACTAAAGTTAAGAGATCCGCATTTTCAAAGTTTAATTGTCTCGTTCTTTTTAGCAAGTTTCTTATTGAAAAAATGTGTTTACAACAATGACCATCTTTCTTTAAACCTCTTAAAAAAGGACTGCTTCAGCTAAGGATAAGATAGCACGGCTAATGCTTACCAGAGCAAAAAAGGTAGAGTTAGATGGATATCTGACCCCCTATAATGGATCCACCTTAATTCTAAAAGCATACTGCTGTCCGAGATGTTCTTCTGAAAGCAAAGCTGCATGTACGGCTACGGCCCACGAAGAAGCTTTGCGTATCACAGAACTACTCATGGTTATCAATGCCAATTCGATACACTGTTTTCTTGATTTTACTAAAGTAAAGTCACTTTAACTTACATTTCTTTCTTTCTTTTATCAGCAGTTGGCTTTGCAGCGGTTGAAGATCCAAACACTAATAGACTCCTCAAAGGTAATTTTTTTCCTATAACGCCCCTTTGTTAGGTTTTTTCCATTCCAACGTCATTGGCAAAAAGGCCAAAAAAAACCAAATTGATTTTGAGGCAGGAGAACAATAGAATAAATTTTGTTCTCTTTGTTCTAAAAGCCTTAAAAATGTCTTCTGATATTCTTCTTATATAACAATATGAACACAATTCATGAAAATATAGAGTATTAAATTTGATGATTTAGGATGACATGACTGTTACCATTTGGGATGTACTTTTTTAGCATGATTATTGTCAATTCTGAAACTCAATTAGTGTAGCTGTTGGTGCTGTTCATTGCTTAGGGGGCAACTCAAAATTAAGGGTCTGCCCAAAAACGAAAAGTTAAAATTGAAAAAAGGCCAAATTTGGCCAAATTTTCAGATCAGGCCAACTATTTTTCAGCCCAAACGAGTTTCAAAAAAGCTAAATTTCTGAAATTTTTCAGCCATAAAAAAGCAGGTTACCAACACTGCAAAGAATGGTGCATTAGCAATTTTACGCTGATCGAAATCAAGAGCAAAAGGTTTTAAAAATATAAAAAAATGCAAAAATTTGCTTCGATGGTAGTAGAAGTAGTACGTAAATCAGCAGGGAAATATTTCAAAGTTAAAGGAGCACAGTTAGGACTGGGCGTTATGTCTCAGAAAAAAAGAGAATTTGCCCAGAAGTCCTAAGCTCTTGAAACCTCTCAAGAATTAGGCATGTTCCCAGAAGATGAGGGGGCAGGTACCCCGTCATATTCCCCCTCCCCAGTTTTGACGTTCTTGTACATACAGTATGGTTAACTGGGCATTAAATTCTAACAGTACAAAATTTTCAAAGTAAAACAAAAATGCCAAAAATCAGTCAGGTTCAGGGGCGTCGTGGCGAATGAATTCTAGAGGGGGCAAGAAAGAAAAATTTTCCAACAAGATTTATTTGATTAATTATACTCAAATAGAAGCATTTCATGCAAGTGTAAGGGCCAGGGCAGAAAGACTCATAACATTTTGCCTTAGCTGGCTGAAAAGAAATTTAAAATGAACTTTTGTCTTGTCTCTGTTTCTTCATACTTACAGTGAACATCCCTGACACTTATAGCTTAGGACAAGGGTAGAATGAAGCTACTACCTGGTTGCCGCCGAAGGGGGAAATTTTTTAAAATCTATTGCTTCAAATTCGCCGGAAATTGCATTCTTTAAAGCAAATTTTGATAATAAAATTTTATGCTTAAATTGAATATCCACTGGGGAAAGCGATGGTTTTGATTGACTACTTCCTTGTTTTACCCAACGCAACATAACTGCAAAAATTTTCAAATCTGGGTCAAAATTTTCAAAAATCTGGTGTTAGGCACATGATTGGCACTGTCCCAATCTTCAATATCAAATAAAGATATAATTTATGGCCAATATATACCAATTTCTAAAACCAAATTTGGCCCTTGAAGATTCGACTTTTATCTGACAAAGTCTGAGGAGCAAATCACTCTATGGTAGAAACCTGTAAATCCTGAGAAATCATTTTGATTTGTGGAAACATAGTATTTTCTTTACAAAAGTGAATTGACCCTAGAAATTACGATAAGTACTTTGGTACAAGTAATTATTTTGCTAAAAGTTTTAAAATTACCCACTGCTCAAGTCTGGGAATTTTCTGACAAAACAATGATTTTATCCAAAAACCCATGAAATTTTGAAAGCAGAGGGAGCCACGGCCCCCATGCCCCCCCCCCCGGCCACGACGTCCCTGGTCAGGTTTTCAATTGCTGGGCGGCTAGCAAACCAAGTGTAGCACAGAAAACGTTTTTAGCAAGGCCAATTAAAGAAACCATTTTAAAACGCTCAATTGATATAAATGTATTTGAATAACCGATTTGGTGAAGGACTAGAGTGCATGTTCTATCATTTGATAATCAGTGCACATTTCGTACTTTTACCGGATAAGTTTTGTTGTGATTGCCTACGGATGATTATACTCCAATAAACGTAATCTCTACAAGCAAAGATCTTATAATCACTAGCGTCCTTTTATAGCCGGGCTGGATGAGCAATTAATTTTACAGTGCCAATCCAGTATATTGATTGCCTCATCCAAAATCGGTACAACAGCCACATGAATTCGAGCACTGAAATAGAAGAATAGAGCGGAGAAGCGGAGTAGCGTCTTCTCTTTGCAAGACGCTCCTGTCTTACGTCTTATGAATTCGGCTGTTTCAATGATTTTATTGGCTTAAACAAAGCTACTTGTCCTTGATTGGTTTAGAAAAAGCTATTTGTCCCTGATTTGTTTAGACCATGCCACAACCCCTTCGAAGCATGCTACTAGTGCGGACACACTAGCTTTAGTAATAGATTTGCAACAACTCTTTTCCATTTATATTGCAGAGGATGCAGCGAGCACATGTGAAAATATTGTAGACATTGCATTTATCGTGGACAGCTCTGGGAGTGTAAAAAAATACTACAATCAGGAAAAATTTTTTGTCAAAAGAATAGCCACCCGTTTTAATATCATTGAGACTGGCACGCATGGTGGTGTAATCCTGTTCAGTTCTCATGGCTATGTAAAAACACATATTCGCTTTAAAGACTTCCTGACGACTGAAGCTTTCAATGAAGCCGTGCAGAACCTACCATTCTACGGTTACCAGACCCGTATCGACCACGCCTTGGAGCTAGCGCACAGGGAGTTGTATACCGTGGCTGGTGGTAATAGGCCTAATGTGAAAAAACTTCTTTTTCTTATAACTGACGGCAGACAGAATCCTGACAGTATCAATGGCGTAAGGCTGGATCCTGCAAAAGAAGCTGAAAAATTGCATCTTAGCAATGTCCAAATTTATGCTGTCGGGATTGGATCGAAAGTTAATGTTTCTGAATTGGAAGCGATTACGCAAGATCCTACAAAGGTTTACACCGCCAAGGACTTTGAAGAGCTGACAAGCACTGAGTTTGTGACCAAAGTCTCAAAACAATTATGTCTTGCAGCATCTTTAGGTAGGTGATACGACAAAACCTTAAAGGCAATTGATAGATATAAAAGTGGCATAGGCCATCTGTCAGTCAATGAGAGTGTGTGGAAGCACACTCAATGATTGGTCAATTTTTGACTGAAAGATGGCTTATGGCCCTTTAGTAATTGTCGATTGCCTTTAACACAACCTAATTACGAAGCAAAAAGACCATTAAAGGCCGGTTTCCACTGGATTCTCTTTGGTGGCGCGACTGAGCGAATGGACATTGAAGCATGCGCAAATTGAACTTCCTCATTCGCTGCGAATGCGCGACCATTCGCCCATTTGCTGATTCGTTGATTCGCCTTCGCCTAAGTCGCGCGACCAGAGCGAGTCAAGTGGAAACCCGCCTTAAAGCTGGAACACAGGGATGATTTTAATGTACTGTTGATATTTCACTGTTTCCATTACCAATTATCAAACACCCTCGGGATGAGAAAGCATAAATTAGTGGGATTGGGCAGATAATTCGCAGTGGCATAACCTACATTTTCCTAAAGGTTTGTGCCACTCGCAAAAATCTGCGAAGTGGCATAAAATCAGCCAGCTAAAGATACTCTGTAAGCCCCTCGGGGTCCCAGACCATTTATTTTGAGAATTTTGATAACTCTATTTTTGAGCATGTAAATCTATAACTCTATTTGACCATCAACGAATGTAAAAGGGTGATGACAGACTAATTTCTATTCAACTGTTATTGCCAAATCTTTATGAAGAAATACTTGCAACGGGGGTATGTTAGTACCCGCATTGATTAGGCTACTAATCTTATGGCTGGAGATATATTAAGCGATTAGATAAAGGGACCCAACTGAAACTAGGCCAGAGGTTACAGTTTTCCCTCCCTAAAAGTTGATTCCAGTTTTTCGGAATAGGCAGCTACTCAATGGCTCGGTCTTATAAGTAACTGGCCTAGTAGTGAAACGAGGGTATTCAAAGGGGAATGATTCTGATATGGTTTTGATATTGATGCATCGCAGTATCGTGCTGCCAAGATTCGTCATTCATTCTTAAAAAGGGGTAAACATTATTCAGAATATTTCCATTTCCCAACGATCAGCTGTCTCTGTCCCCAACGAGCAAGAAGATTCCATGCTAGATTATTAGTAGTAGATATGTGGTGTGTGTAGTAACGAGTGAACACTTCTAATGATTATACAAGCCCAAATCCTGGAGGGCAAATAGCGGGCATCCTGTGATTGAGTACCGTTATTCGCATGCTCCATGACAGATGACCGGAGGAGACGGTCCAATCAACTTTCACTTGCTAACTGGACCAATATTTTAATTCGGGTAATTTTCATTCACAGTATTCATTTACGAGCAAGTAATAACAGAAATGGATGCTATTTAAAATCACTAACTCCGTACTTTTATAAACAATGTTTGTATTCAAATACATTCGCCTGTAAGCACTGTTGTTTATATTTTAGAGGAAAATACGACGACGATAAACTTTGATAAACCAAAAGGAAACTGCACAACAGACTGTAAGTGTGGTAAGTTTATCGATTTTAGGTATGCCTAACATTAGTTTCAAAATGCTGGACAAGTCTGTTTACAAATAAACATCATAATTGACCAGGAACGAGTGGAGGAGAGAGAGAAATGGCGAAACAATTTTAAGCGGCCATTCTTTTACAAGGGTCCAGCAAACCGATAATGGGTACGAGATTACTGGGTTCTGGGAACCTCTATATTATTGATGTTAGTGAAGTAATTCATACGCAATATACAATTCAAAAGAGTAACAAAATTGCTCAAATGCCAGCCAAAACTTTACAACCAACATTTTTTTTTCAATTGAGAGGTTTGCTTTCAAATTTTTCTCTGGGAAATGTAAATTTATCATGAAGCACTCCATCAGTTTGGCGCTCCATAAAATTTTAGCGGCATGGACCTTGTGGCTCTGGGGGTATGGAGCTATAGCCCCCTAAGAATGCTTATATAATATAGCCCCTTAAAGCAAATTAATTTTTTCAGAATGTTATGCTATGCTATGTTTCCGCTATTCCGTGCCATTTTCAAATTTTACATTACCAAAAACTTATTTGGCAAATGATTTACGGAAAACCTCAGAAACTTTGATCCTTGAGAAGAATTTTTAGAAATTTTATCTTTAGCTGTTTGGCAGGGATTGTAGAAAACCCAAATCCTCTTATTACTGTGTTTTCAAGTTTTTTAAGTTTTAAGTCTTGGGCTCCCGTCCTAAACTATGCCCCACACTTGTAAGATTTACACTAGAATTTTGCCGCTTGATTGAAAAGCCAAGAAAAATTGTTAATCCAGATTACACAAAAACTGGTAGGCTGGGGAACTATAAAAAAACCCCTCTCTTATGTACATAGGCTTTCTCCATATTCTTTAAATACCGGTGATAACACACACCCGTGACAGGTCTTTAAACGAAGAACATGCAGTGACCTGTAAGGTATATATAAAAGTTATTTTTAGACTAGTCGGAGAATGGGGGAATGGTCGCCCGAGAGCGAAATTTATGGGACCAAGTGCTTTCGGTCGATTCGAGGGTGCTGAGTCGTGTGCAGTTACTCAGAAGACGATCTTGAGAAACTCTGAAACGATTTAACTATATTTAGATGATCCGGTTGTTTTTTCCATAATGTTATTTATCAGTTAGTAATAAAAAATCAATTTTGAGCATTTATGGGCAAGAAATATGCTTAATTAACTTTGAGACTTAAACTATTTCCATTTAAAACTGTTTTTTCATTGATTACTTTCATATACGCAAAACGAGACTTCAAACACGAAAAAGAGGCTGATGGCCATCGGATGGTCGAAATCAGCACCCTCGCATTGACCAAAAGCACTTGGTCCCATAAATTTCGCTCTCGGGCGACCATTCCCCTGTGATTCAAGAATAACAATGTTTGGTTTGCTCTTCTTATAATTGAGTTAACAACATCTTTTCCATTAAGGTGGTTGTGGCTGCTGTGGGTCAAAGCCTGTTTATGTCAACATTTTCCAGGGAGGAAATGTAAGTTTTCGCTCAAACACAACTTAATTGGCAAATATATCTTACGAATTTAGTGTAAGACATTGAGTGGTGATTGCAATTAATGCAGTCAAGGTCAAAAATACAATATCAAACCATAGTTTAGGCAACGATTTTAAAGATTTTTTTCTCGGTTTTTCGGCATTTATCAGGTTAGCCCAATGAGATGAATAGAACTCACCACATTGGGTTAGCCAAACGGACAAATTTCTTGATTATGGGTTTTGAAGCAACAGATCATTGACCCAAAATAATAAAACCACGTCACAAAGTAGTACCCAGAAGTATCATTTCAAGAGGTCTTCAAATAGGACGTCAAGAACAGTTGTGCATCGCTAACGCTACCCAAACAGGTGGCTCAAGATATTGAACCCATACTGAAGATATCTTACATTACTACAGTTAATTGCATCCCGTAAATTGACTTGGCCTAGTAAACCGATCCTTGTCTTGCCTACAACAAAATCATACCAAAAACTACTACGTGCCCTTGTACATTATAATAATATACTATATTGAATTATCATAAATAATAATATGATATCAAGAGATATAAGGAAGCCATTGACCTATAAAACCATTTCGTAATAGTCATATAATTCCTTAAAATTTAACCGATTTTCCATTTACAATTGTTCCTGACAAAATGTTCCTCTCGTTTAATATTTTGTTCGAGAATCAGTTGTTCATCAAGTTAAACGATGAGACGAACTGCCCATAATCGGTTGTTGTAGAACTTATGAATTTAAATCTTCGGATAGAACCCCAAGAAGTGCAAAAGTTATCAGAAACTCTTTTTTTATATTAAACAGTCAAAGAACTATGTAAACCAAGGACAAACTGTTGTGCAGTCTGGAAATAGTAACCAAGCTGGACCAAAGGACGAGTCCGGCCCCTTAACTGGCGGACAAGTAAAAGAAATGTCAAACAAAGAAATTCTTGCTTACGTCAAGGTGAGTTCAATCCTTGTTGATTATTCCACCACCTAGATATTTGCCTCGTTTTTGCAACTTGCAACTTGCACAGGTCAACTGTTTCTGAAACTGCATTTTCCGTTTCCAACTTCTCTTGACAATTTTTTTGATGACATTTTAATATGTCAAACAATACACGAAAATGTATTTTCTAAAAGAGCATACATTTTACAAGAGCTTGCTAAAATTGTTTACATTTTACAAGGTAGCAACTAAACGCTTAGGACGCTAGCTTGATGTCACGGTCGTATCTCGAAAACAAATTCAATTTGCTTAACGTGTAGGTAGAATCCATAAGGCATAAGAATAAACTATTTTCTTTTCGATAATCTTAGATTTTCGGCCAATCTGTTTCATAGAATAGAACAAATTGTCTGCTTGGCACTGCTAAAAGATACGGGTGTGGATTCCTGTCATGCATGGCAAAATTACATGGAAAATCCATTACCATTTCTTTTCCCGAATACTAATACTTCCAGCCTCCTTTTCCCCTCAGAACGATGTTGAAAGGAAAAAACGCAGTCCATAACCTTTTTTCCTCTATAGTAAATTAACAATGTTCCTAGAGGGAAAAGGGAGTGGCTGAATTTGCCTTTGAAAACTGGCGTTAGTGTATTATATATTGAAGTTTATTATGTTTACGCAGGATACTGTGACCAATGTTATTGAGTTCTTTTTTCTGCCTAGAAACTGGTTCCTTACTACGATTCTTTGAATGGTAGTTTAAAAGAACTCCTTCAAAGAACAATCGTAAACAGGAGAAAGAAGCGAGCAGTTAAAGGGTAAATCAATTAACTTGATATAATCACAATTTAATTAGTTGATGATTTTCAGCATTGATAGATGATTGGATGTTACTGATTTCGATAACTAATTAAAGTGACAGATAGCAGTGATTGGTAAACTGGCTGACTGGCTGATTATATTGATTTCAATGATTTCAATGACTGATTCCTTGGAGTGATTAATTGATTTCTGAATCTTCACTGTGCCCGGGTAAAAACGTTCCCTTCTAGTGTTGCATAGCTATGAACTATTCTGTACTCAAACCAATACATCAATTTCATTGCAGGTGAAACGGGTAAACTGCCCCAGAAGCTAGACGAAGAACATTGCCAAGAGCAATCAAAGTAACTTAGTGGATAGTATTTGTCTTAGATTAACCTAATGAGCATTTGTTTACTTTCTTGTTTTTTTGGAAACGTTTCACCCTTCACTCTTCACTAACACTGAACAGATAAAAGTCTTCTAAAACATTCAACACGATGATCTTAAAGATTGAATACTGTAAATCGTCGAATAAATGCCATTCTGTAAATTTTCTTCTTTACTACGGTGTACCCATTCGAGAGGGGGCTCAGATTAATTTTTAAAAATCTGTTGATACCTCATATAAAAAAAGGAGTGTAACCAGATCAAAATTTTGAAATTATGCCAAAATTGTCATAAAATTATGCAAGATTTACAAATATTATGCTAAATTTCAAATCAAGGCTATTCTGCTTGTAAAAGAGGCTAGCGCGTGCGCAGAATAGCAAGCGTGGCAAAAATATGTTTGCCAAATAGAATATTAAAACGTTACTTTATAATATGAACAGTAACAGCTAACAAAACCAGTGCAATCAAGTAATCATCAAATATGAATATATGTAGGTAAAAACAATTTTTTTTTACTTTACGATAAATGGTTTTTTGGGAGGACCCATTGAATTTTTTAATGATTTAGAGGGCGCTTACAAGAGGATTTAACGTAATATAATTCGCTGCTTTTGTTGGTCTAAATGACTAGTAAAGATACGATTTTTCAAGGTTTCAGGAAAAAGCGAAAACCTTTTGTAACATACTGTAGGTGCAAGCAAAGTGCCATGCCCTGAGCTTTATGAGAAGAAACCTCGTCATCAATTAGTTACAAAATATGTTTCTAAAAAATGCATGGTACATGGTGCCCTGTTTCTCACATAAACCATTTATCGCATTCCCTTCGTTAAAACATAGTTCTATTTGACTGAAAACAGTCTTTCGTCAAGCAATTCGATGCAATTAATTGGCTGCTAGTTTATTACGTATTCTAACGCCATCAACACCCAATCCCATTTGCCAGGATTTTTATCATGCGCAGGAGTGACGTGCTGTTTGAACCTTCACCTTGCGCGATTTTCAATACCCATGTAAAGACAAGCTTAAACCAATCTCGTTTGAAATTTTCCCTTATGAACAGCCGCTATAAAGCAGACTAGAGCGACTAGTATCCACTTACATGAAGGGTCAGTTTTTCACGATAACTCTGTGACAAAACTGTTTTACATCCAGGACAAAGGTTATCAAAAAGGTGATATTTAAACAGCGAAAACAGGGGAACGAAATGTAAGAGGATTTGTTGCAAAAAAGCCCCTTTCAAAAACAAAACTCAACACGCTGTAACGAAGATCATTTCCTTTCTGGCTCGAGGGCTGTAAGTGTATGAGCACAGACGCTTTTCAACAAAATTATTTGAGATTACCTACGCCTCGGAGTCTATTTGGTTCTTAAAAGGCAGGTCTACTGAGCGCATGTCTGTGACAAATAACCTTTCGATGATGTCTTTGACATAACTATTAACGTATAGGAGAACCACTGTAAATTTAAGTGTAAAGTCCATGGCTACTTTTGATTAAATAGTGCTGACTAAAGTAGCATTGTTCTTCATATCAGTGAACCTAATCTTACATGTATGTACCAACGTTTCAAGCTGTCATGAGCAGGTTATCCAAAAAACGCGAATTAAACTGGACAGTTCTGTGTCCGCCATTTGCTTTATTGAGGTGCCCATGTGATACAGGATACTTACTTATATTGTATTTCTTATAGGACTTTGCAGGGACCTGACTGGGTGTCCGCCTTATAGAGGTGTCCGCCTTAAAGAGGTGTCCCCACCCCCCTGAAAATATACTACCATCCCCTGGAAAGAAGGTGAATGTATACATGGGCTCCGACAAAGGTTTAAAAGTGGGGGGCACGGGAAAATTTAACACCCATAACAAAAGATTTTGAAAAAAACTCTGTTGTTTTGCAAAAAAGTGGGGGGGCCAAGGCCCCCCCCCCTTCGTCGAAGGCCCTGGTATAAGGAAGACAGGAAATGCCTCGTCCAACAGCTTTGAATCAGCAAAGAATTATTTTTTCACCAGTTCGATTTATCTAATAATAATCTTCAATTGCTATAATTTTTACAAATTTTATCACAAACTAATTAGAATTAAGCAAAAATGTTTCCTACTGTTATCTGCCTTCTGCAGACAACCGTTTATTTGTACATAATAATTCAGAACGCCGAAAATTCTTTTTCTAACTCTGATATGAAATAAAGTAGCTGGAAAATATGACTCCCAAGACCCCGACTAAAACTTGGAAGATGCATCCACGCATCAATTAGTTCCATTAAAACCCTTTTTAAAAGTGATAAACGATGTATAAAAGGACTTTATTTCTTTATTTATATAATTGCCTGAGCTGCGATACACAAGGGAAGCAACTTTTTCAACTAACATATCTTGCTAAATCGATGTCATCTGAAAATACATGTAAAACTGATGTTAGGGGGTTGGAGCGTTAATGCGTATGACCGCACTGTTTTAGTTAATAAAGCACAAAAACACTATATAAATTAGCTAATGTCTAACGGCCCTGCGATAAATCTCAAAAAGATATAATAAAATACAAAGGGCGGTCTATCACAACTATTTAGTGTTACTATTTCAAGAAATATTCTAGGAAACGCAATTTACATTAAAGGGGACGAGGTTGCAATGTAAACCAACCTCAGTTGATCCAAAATAGATCAAATTCTTGGCATGGTGTCGAAATGAGAAATAATATAATTGGATTTGAATTGAACACTATTGAGATCTAACACACCCTCGTGAGAAAACCTATTCTTCAGGAGAGAGCTTACTGCTGGAACATAGTAGCCACTTCATTTATTTTACTATGCGGCAATGAATCTGTCACTGCGAGGTAATTAATCCGACTGCTAAGGAAAGCAGATGTGCAAAAACGGAGTTCTTCTTCGAACCCTAGACTATTTGCTAGTCAAAAATCTGATTTTACTGTTTGCGGTAATGCATCACTGTAAATTGATATGAGTATTTAATTATACTCAAATTATAGAGCAGCTGGTAAAAGCCAATGAAACTTGGTCATTTAAAAATATGCTGCTGTTCGCAAAACGAGGAGGGATAGCCTTTGAAACTGCGAAGCCATTTTTATAGAAGGTGACAGAACAGTTTAAGGAGACACTTAAAAGGTTTTGCACCCTTGCATGTGAATGTAAATATAATCTGGTACAGACAGCTATAAATCACAAAGTGACCACTCGATAGGTCGGTTTGATAACCTACAAGCTCATTGTATCAGGTCAAATCCATCATCAGACTTTAAGTAATAGAAACTAAAATACAAAATTTATCATGCAACCAAAGTTGGCGATTTTCGCTTTACCCCGATTACACTTTTTTATGAGAACCAGTAAATTCAAGTTCAGGCTGACTGTTCTTGATTTTTTTCGAAAATCAGAGGCTAGATGGTTCTTAACTTGTTCTTAATCTAATAGGGTGCAAGCAGTGCGAGTGCTAGCTTTTTCGCTCTAGGGTGGTGTTCAGGCCTTATTTGCCAACAAAATGAGTGAGGCAGCCTTAATTTGCTGACAAATTTGAATATTCACCGAAAAAGCTAAACCCACACATGGCTAAAATCCAAGTTTTCGAGATAAAACGTTGTTCAAAGTTGCATTTTGCAGAAGCTCAGCCTCAGCTTGTTCTTAATTTGTTCTTAACTTTCGATCAATTATGAGGCTTGTGTTCTTATAAAATTTTTCTTATACATAAAAGAGTGTAAGGCAAAGGCTATTCGTCGCGTATAATTTCAGATAAAAGACGGATTTCTCCCCACCTCTAAAAAAGCGAAATTATGTTGCAAGAATATGAAAATGCAACAGCATCAGAGCTGGTACCCAATATGTGTAATACACATTATCTCGAGATGCAAGCCCTAGGTCTACCCTTAAAAATTACACGGTTTATTCCCACCATATAACAAAAATCCTATCAAATGCTGAAGTTCCAGGTTAATATCTTGTGGCCTACCTCGTGTTTCCAAGTGAATTTTGATTCCTATAAAAAGCCAACACCTGTTGAAATTTCTGTCTATTGAAGTTCAGGGCTGCAATTGCTTGAAATAGACTATCTGAATTTATCTCGCCTGACATCTTGGTAAGGTACTGTGCCAGGTGAAAGAAATCTAGATTACACAAGGTCTCTTGAAACAATGTCAGGATCCCTACGATTGAAAAAAAATCTACTAACATACAAACACAGTGAAGCGGACAAGAGTAACACAAACCATTGATGTAACCAAACTGCAAGTACAGTAGGTCCCCCAAAGAAAAATCCATGAATTTAAGAACTAAAAAACCCATCGTTACCGCAAAACTTGAAAATAGCATGGAACTATTGTGCTTTTTCAAAGTTAAAATCCTACTGGCTGATCTTCTTTGATTAGGCACGTAGATTTTAAAAACCAGTTTTTACCCCGTTAAACGATAAGGACTGTATACAAAAGGGTTTTTTTGCTGTCAAGAGACACCCTTATCGCAAGGCATCACTGACTAATCTCGTACTCCCCAACACCTTTTAGCTGAGAACCTGATGTAAGAGTCTTTGACCCTGCAATTCCCACGAGCACCCTGAAAACAAACCAAAAAACAGCATGACTCTTGAAAAGGGGTTTTTCTTTGCAAAGGTCTGCTGTAATCAATTTGCGATAGAGATGCAATTTTAGTCATTTCTTGGAAACAATACCAGGCTGAGGCTCATAAAGAACAAATACCCTATTTTCTTACAAGAATACAGCTTATAATAACATTGAGGCTCAAATCGCTAAAAAAATAGAACAACGTAAGAACAACGTAAGAACATAACCAGACTCAAAGGAAAAAAGAGCACCAACCCTCGACAAAAACTATCTGGTTCTTATAAATAGGGAATATAATAGGCATTAATCATGGGTAATAATAATTGCTCCGTTGGGGAAACCTGGCGAAATATATGTTGTCATATCTATTCATACTTATGTTAAATCCCCGAGGCTTGTTATCCGCACTGAATAGTAAAACAGAGCTGCTTAAAATAAAAGCCAAGCTAAAGACTGCTTAAAATAACCGCCAGGTACGGTAAAATTAGCATATATGAAACTCTATCAAGGAGAAAGGAGGAGGATTCTTTAGCTAGGGAAATAGGCAATATTTAGATTTTTCAATTTTTTAAACTGACAATTTAGGACATCAAAAAAAGATAAGCAATATGTATGTGTGCATAGTTGGCCTTGATTAGATTTAAAAACTTTTTTATGTAGCAAACAGATTCGTGCTTGTGTTGCTTATGCTTGAGTTCACTTACCTAACGCAGTTCTAAATAAGAAATCTTCTCCGTCTCTACAGAAGAGATCCCACACACGAGAAGCGATATCTAGTGGAAGTGACTTGCTATACAGCGTAAAAATCCTGTTGAATAGAAATAAATATCTTCAGACAAAAATCGTAACCAGAATGGAAGATACAATCCGAGTTACGTGATTATAATAACAGACTAACGTAGTCATTTAAAAAAGACCGAGAGCTAATTTAATCTACATTTCATGAGCTCCGACACAGGTTGAAAAATTTAAATTCAACACCCATAACAAAAGAATTTGAAAGAAGCTCTATTGTTTCTCAAAAATGTGTGGGGACCATGGCTCCTCGGTCCCCCATTCGTCGAAGGCCCTGCATTACATGGCATTGCAAGGGTACATGCGTACATTTGGTAAAAGATTAGCAGTGTCGTGGTCTTGAATGCCAATTGTAAAAAACTGCCTGATTTGCCCTGTTAGATTTCTAACGAATTTGCTTTTTGGGGCTTTTGCTTTACTCTTCGATATATATTTTTACTCTAATCTCTGTCAGTGTTACCTTGCAGCAACATTTAGAATAAGTACCAGGTTTGTCATTCGCCTTGCGGAGCTTTGTGCAGCAGGTTCCAAAGATAGGAATACAAAGGGTTTCAATACGTCATTACGGGATATCTTAGAACATGGATTGAAGCGGACTGTGCCGACTGAAAAATGCGAATTACCGGACTGTAGGGGCACAAACATTCCAACAATATGAAATTAATCTTGCAACTAACATTTAACCTCAACTTGGCGACTCTCACGTGACAGAGGCGGCCATCAGATCATTCACGTGACAGAGGCGGTCATCAGATCATTGGAAAACCAAGGCTTGAGAGGTTTATTTGATGCAAAGACCTATGGTTGAGATCTGCCGGTGGCACGACGTAAATAATCAATTTGCTTTAATACAAGACAATTTGTAGTGTGAATGAACACCATTTGTGACTGATTTCATTTGTCCTACGCCTAAAGTGCTAAAAAGTCAACTTAATGGACCTACCAGTCAATCAAGTAAATGTCGTGGCTCAATTTTTCCCTTTGGAAATGAGAATGAATTCTGGGTGCACATTCTTCGAGCATGACATCAAATGTACTGAAATACGCTTCCATCTAAAACATTGCAAGCAAACAATTTGAGTCACATCAAAACTTATCTAAGGTTTGGATTAAAGACTTAATAAAGCAAACATTGCTAGACATACTAAAGCGTCTGACCCTGTTCAGAGTATAAAACGTTAGAATAATGATCGCAGTATTAAGTTAGAAAATATACCAAGCAGAAAGAGCAAGCACACATAATAGGTGAGGTTTCCACACATATCACTCACTACCTTATTCCTATAAGAAATGTTACCACTGGAGTCTAAGGGTGAATATGAACTCTTTCTGTTTACAAAATTGGGTTTTCTTCCTTTTTATGGTATATAAATGCAGATATAGAATATTGTGCAGGTATATAAAAAATGCTAAAGATGAAAGCCATAAAATAACAAAAAAAATCAGTTGTCCCCCCTATTGAGCTACGATGGCGCAATAAGAAAATTTAGAAAAGCGTGTTCGTTCAACCGAAAGGTGGCAGAACTCTTAAGCTTAACACTAAGAACATAGTTGGTTTTAGACTAGCTTTTCATAGTCTCATTGCAATGGACGACTCCATCAAAATCTCATCAGAAGCTTCACACTTCCATAGATAGACTTTTTAAACTTTACAACACACTATAAAATAAGTTTAAGTTTCACCAGTGTATAACCTATCAAAACTGACTGTTACTTATCGCAATTAAGGGCAATCTACAGTATGATAACAGTAACGGGATCCTAAAAAGGCACAGTGGGAAGCGTTTGAGTTAACAAATGGTCGAGTTACCGGAGGACTGAAGGTATTGGAAAAGCTTTAGAGAAAATGAAAAAAACAGTTTTTTTGCAAGAAATATCGGGAGTTCGAGTCATTGGGATTACACTGTAGTTGCTTAGTGCTGTTGCAATTGCCCTCAGAGTGCATTTTTGAGTCCTTGCTCTGCTTCCACCTTAAAATTAGCCTGAGATGAGTAGGAGTCACAGTCTGTTTTTTTTACCAAGCAAGGCGCTATCAATTCAAGTAGAAGAAGCGAAGCTTTGTTCGATAAGCCTTGCCTTACTGTGTCTTAAAAACCCTTCTTCAGATGGCAGGTAAAACCAAACAAGGAACAATTCAACATCTATGGTTTGTATGTAGATGACAATAAGATGAAAATACCATAGGCTGGTTGACCATGAAGAAGGCCATTTGACATGGTTTGTGCATTAGGTTTGAAAAGCATATGAAGGCATCCACTGTATCCATATTCAACAATAGCATGGCTGCTATAAAGGACATTCCCTGGACCTGCGCAAATCAAAACAATTTTAGTTATCATAAAAGGACATCCAAAACCCATATGGGCAAAATTGAAGCATCGGTTTTAAAGATACAGGTTAATATGATACCTTCACCCAACTTGATGAATTAAACCATCCCAATCGGTTGACAATTCAGAAAAGAGTAAAAGACAGACAAGAATGTTGAGCTAAGGTGTCTCTGAAGCAGCTACCTATGGACGTAAACCCATCTCCCGAGCGATAAACGTTATATTGGATTAACTGCACAGTTTCTAATAGATATTGCATAAAATTCATCATATTCAATCAACTCAATAGATATTACATCAAGTTATTAATGCTCTTTATGACTTTCAAATATATATATTGAAATAAAATAGGCACCGATCAGAAGGTAAAGTTTTATTGTTTTGAACAAACATTCTCAATAACAAATCCAGTTATAATCCATACGCTGAGGTCGATCCTATAAATTTCTATTTTTATGCCCGACTTCATTCTTCATAATTGTTAACTGCATCACTATGCAAGTCAGAAAAATGAGGGTGGTATCTGGGCGCGTGGTAGGTCTTTTTCGCTAACAAAACCTATGAGAACAGGTTCTGTGCGAGGTTTTCTGATCCTTTACCCTAATCAAAGATCATGGAACTCGTTGCGCATTAAAGAATAAGACTCTAGTTTATATCAACGTTTTGAAGGTAAACTAGATGTGAGAACCATTTTTATTATTAAAGAAACGTTGATTAAAACATTTCAATTCCAAACAATCAACAAAACTAATCAAAAACAAGAAACATGGCCTGTCTCAGGCAATCAAACATGACTGTTCCAAACAAAAAGCAAATAATGAACGTTAAAGACTCATTGCTAACAATGAGCCATTGCGCTACGCAAGCATCCCATAGTGCATTTTCAGACAGCCTGAAACCAGTTATGGTTAATCCGTAGAAGTTTACATCCATTGTTTGGATTGTCGCCTGGATAATTTGCCACCTTCGCAAAGGCTCATTGTTAGCAATGAGTCTTTAATCGTAGAGCTCAATTAATATTTTGTACAGAAAATAAGTCAAACAGATCTTCAAGTCATTACAATATATTTATAATAGAATTAGCTGCAATATGGATGCAAATGAGAGAGAAATATATTATCTGTCCAAAAAGAAATAATGAAAACTTACGTATCCAACATCTGGTCGGTAGCACGTGTATGCACCAAGGAGGTTCTTCAATGAGTCATGGTAGGGTCCTCCCTAATAGAAGTAAAAGCATGTGCGAACTCAAAATCGTGTCATCAAAGTCATGATTTTGATTATGTAGGGATTGCAATATGCTTTTAAAGTTACTCCTGCTAGGCTAAGCTTTACTTGAATTAGAATAACATATTCTGAATATCATAAGAGTAGCTTAGGTAAATACATCTGTGTGCAATTGGAAAATGAGGAAACCTTTCAAAATTGCAGGTGGAAACCACAAGATAACAAAAATCACTACAGACATGTGACAAAATTATATACCCATGCTTTATCTGTTGTTGGTCAGGACAACAACAAATTACAGGTAACATCATGTTTTCCCATCCCAAAATAAGCATGTGTAAGAACTGTTTCTGTTTGAACCTAATAGGACCCAACATGATGATTTTCAGAAAAATTATAATACCTTCAACAAAAAGCAACCATTGCTTTAGCATAAAAATTCTATAGCAAAATTTGACAGCGTTATAATGATATACAATAGCAGATATACAATATATGTTCTTTCTTTAGGCCATACCTTCTGAAAAATGCAAAGGGCTGGAAATGTTCGGGCAACATCCAGTGATATAAGGCCAACTGTATTCTCTTTGCTGACAACCAAAGAGCTCTCACTGTCATGGAGGGTTGCTACAGGCTCTTGAGATTTTTGGTGTGCAAGCTTGTCAACAGCATGTGCTTGGAGTATTTGAAACAATTCTAAAAGGCAAAACTTTTGTGACAAATCAATCTTTACCAAGTCATGGATTTAAATGTCTTTGACAAAATTCATGTTATTATTCAGAAGGGAGACTGCCCTGTATCAATAGAGATGTGACTCAAAGTGGCATAAATAATATCAAATATATATCAGAATAGTTTTGAGCAAAATACAATTTTCAAGTCATTCGCAAGATTACATAGGGGACAAATTACATATGTATTTTGCCTTCCTTCTAAAGCTAAGCAGCTCAATAGCATCCGTATCCTAGAGAACAAGGGCAACACCCTTTTAGGTACCACTGTTGAAAAAGTCTTTCAAAGGATTTTAACAAGAATGTGCAAAAACATTTTACATGAATCAAGGAATTTACAGGCGTTAATTCCGTATAAGTAACTGAAATAGTAACTTTTTTGAGGACAGGCCCTAGGCCTTTTGCCCTTCCTAAACCCCCTCTTGGCACCCCTGGTAATGCCACTTTCTTTACAAATACGACATGTGAAGTAAAACCATCAAATTAACAATGTTGGATCAGTAAACAAATTTTATAAGCTGCTTTAAAATATCAAAATGCCAAACTTTGAGAAATCTTCAAACTTTGAGCTTGAAGATTAAGGATGAAGTTAAAATTGCATATATAGAACAACTGAAAAAATCTCCAATATGCCGAAGTACTTAGATAACCGACTAAAAGTCATACCAAGGAGAGGATCACAAATAATTTGAGATGAAGAATGGCAAATCAAACTACAAGAAACTCAAGAGCATGCATTCACCTGGAGTAATATGCAAATCATTTCCTATTGCCAGCATCCAAACCTTTCCTCTTACTGAAGAAGGTAATCCATTCCACCATAAATCTTTAACCTTTTTAGTATTTTTTCTGAAAAAAAATGAAATATGTAACAAAGAACAGAAGTCGATATTTGTTAGCTTTACCACCATGTTTACTAGATTGAAAAGCTATCTGCCATGAATCATGCAATTTTCAGGTAGCAAGTATACACAAAACTTTTCAGATCAAGATATGCTTAGAAGAAACTGACAGATTGTGATATGACAAAAGAAACTGATGTGACATGCATATGCTTCTGCCTTTCCATTTGACATTTGATTAGTTTCTTGATTTAAAAGCAATCAGCAAGCTCTAACCCCTCGCATGCCCTTGCTTGTTTTTTAATGGTTTCTTATCAAGCAACAAAAATATTCACAACCCAACAAAACCCAATCACAATAGTATATCCAGATGTAAAACATATATCTCTATAAATCACTTTTGAAAAGGTATAGAAACCCTACAATGATGCTATTTAAAAGCTGCCTTAGGAATTTATTGAAACTGATATTAAAAATGAAATTCTCAAACATACACAGCATCCCAGTTGGGGATGACATCTTCTTTCCATATCCTTTGAATAGCAACAATTCCTTTCTCTTGCTGCTTTTGCTGTTTTGTCTTTTTCAACTCTTTGTGCAAATCAGATTCCTCTTTCTTCTTTGCACCTTTTAACATCTCTTCATACAACTGCTTATGACGCTGCTCCTCTCTAGCAGATTTTGGTGGCAGATTTGCAGGACGATTTTCTAAGATCAGTGCAGTTGTGGAAGTTGCCATGACTGGTTTTTTAGCACTTGGCTTTGGCTTGCTGGGTGCCTGATTTTGCGGGCTTGTTGGAACCTTGATTGGCTGGTTCCCAAAGATTTTCCAAGACTTACCTGAATCTTTCCGAAACAATCTAAGAAGGATAAATAAAATATACTTGTTTTCTCAGTCTTATCATAATATATTTAGCCACAATTTCTACCCTATATTATAAATCAATTTCATTTATCAGCTTAAATTATTGAGACTTAATTTGCTGAATGGTGTCAAAGGTCTTTCAAAAAGAAGTTGGCAAGAGATTTATATAATTCATATTAAACATAACCAACATAATAATAATAAAGGACTACCCAATACTTAGAAGGAAGTCTGTGAAATCATTTATACAACAAAAAATCAAAATTGTGGAAACAGTGATTTTTGTCGCATGCACGACTTTTTGTGATTGCTAACATAGATGTGCAGGCGTGCAATGATGTTTTTATGCCCTCAGTTGAAGCCCTAGGGGGAGAGTACTCCCATTATGGCCTGACAGGGGGGTCCGTCCCATTTGAGGGTCTTACCAAATGGCTACCAAATGGCCAATTTTTGATAATAACTGGACTGCTCAGTTTACCTTCCATTTTGTTATAGATAATGAACAAGATTTATCTTTTCTGAAACAACAACAATAAATGAAGAAATATGAAGAAATTTGTCAAATAAGGACCAGGGGAGAACAAAGAAATGGGTGCTACCAAGGAAATAATTTCGGTTTTTATGCTACCGTTGAGGGTTTTTGTCTCAAAATCTACCATTTGAGGGTATATATTTTAAATTTCAGCGTTGGCCCTCTTTGACCCTGACCGGACCCCCCCCAGTCAGGCCATTATGGGAGTACCCTCCCCAGGGTTGAAGTGCACAATTGCACACAAAAATGAAGTCCATTCTACTTTTTGCAATCAATGACCTGACAGGATTATCATAAGCCAATCAAAATCCTTAAAAACCACGCCAAGACGAGCCTGTCCAACACAAAAACAACAGAAAGCTTTCAGATGACAGTCAACATGGCGTTGTAAATAGGCTGGACTTGGCACAGAGAATATTGCGAATGAAATCTTATTCACTCAAGAAGATACCAATTTAAATAATGTTCCAACTACTAACACCGATATCGACTAAGCTGTTAGGGGAAACATCAAGTTTGATACTGAGTGTTTTATAGATCTTGTCAGAAACAAACCCTGTTTGTGGAACACTGGCGCTGGCCTAAGGTCATAAAAAGAGCAAGGCAAAAATCATATCCTATATCCAAGCATATTGATTTGATGACATAGGCCCACATTAAGTCACACGCTCAACAAAAAGCTCTGAGTGCTAATCAGCCTTTGACATTGCCTCTTGAGTTTGAATATCTAGCACTTCTATTTTGTTGAATAATCATAGTTTCCATCACAGTTTCCAACAAACAGGTTTTCTTGAAAAAAAGGATTCCTATGTCAGATTATAGTGAGGAGAGAATTAGTGAAATATCTTCTGCACAGAATGGTATATACAAAATACTTATGTTTTAAACTTTGACATTCAGTAGAACTCTATGAAACATATACTTTAAAATGTAAATTGAAAACCATGACAAATTATTCAAGGACCTGCTCGGCCAAAAGAATAAAACCTCCAGAAAAAAATCATATTCTCCTTAACACAACTATCATTAGCTATTATAGTGTATATACATATGGTTAGAAAATACCTGAATCCTGATTTTGTTTTGGTATCTGTTACAGAAGGTTTCCTCAAATCATCAGTTGAATCAGATGTGGCACTTCCACCCTGTAACCCAGGTCTTGGTGCATATGTGTTCATGTTCTGTTTATTTCCCGGAGAATCAAGGGGTATATCTGTGAAGTCTTTTTCATCAAAACTAGCACTTGCAGCTGAATCAGGACCTAATCTGGTGCTTTTACCACTTACTGAAAACCTTGCTTTTGGCAGAGCACTTTCCATGCCATCTTCAAGATTCGAAAGGGTATCTGAAGCATCATTATCAAGACAATTATTTGTAACCCCACTATTAGGATTTTGACAAGGTATAAGAGTCCTTGGGGAATCTGTTAAATTGTTGCATGAATTTTCATCAGATTCTACACCATGAATCTCTTCATCAGTTAAGTCTAGTCTTTTTAAATCATTCTGAATTGTGTTCAAACTGGCATCTGTAATGCTTGACCCCTGACCACTATCATTTCTTTTATGGTTTGTCATTTTTCTCATTTGGAAGTCCTCCTCATCCGTGTCGATGTCTGAGTGATCTCTTGAAGGAGAAATAAGTACATTAGGATACAAGTTCTTCTCCATCTTGCTTTGCAAGGTTTTATCACAGTTCTCGTTGTATTCCTCATTACGAAAACAATGGTTAGACTCTTCAGCTCTATCTGTCACTTCCCCATTACTGTGCTTATCTATATTTTTAGATAACAATGTACTATTTTCTTCAACAATGCTTCGGTTCAATACATCATCTTCTCCTTGACAAGTTGTACTGCTCTCAGCCAAATACTCTGTCTCTTCAGTAAGTTTGTTATGGGACATACTCTACTTTATGGCTGAAGCCTTTTTATTTAGTTTCCCAATATTCTGTGAAGATGAACTTTAGCTAGGTAATTTGAAGTGCATAATACTGCTTTCAAGCAACACATGCGTAGTAAACACATATAAACAATCCTATAAGTTGTAATACATTGAACTGTATTCGACATATGCGCTGCAAAATTTTTGAAACTTAAACTCGGACAAAGGTTAAACATTTAAATTTGATACCTCAAAAGGCGCTTGCAATCTGCATGCCGTAAAATAGTTCACAGTCCTTCATAAACTTAAATATACCTATAAGGGTATGGCGTTTATCTTACCGTAGAAGCCAGATCTGGATGGCTTTTTGTGATAAGATTCCCTTGCTACATTTATGTGCACATCATTGGAAAGCTCGATGAAAAACGCAATTAAAGGCTTTGTCTAATGAAAGATGGACGTCCAAAGGCGCTTCGCGATTCACATCACACTTACTTCAACTGGGAACGTATAAATTAGCAGTCATTGGCCTAAATCCGTTTTAGGCCCTGTCACTCACTTCACCTTTACAAAAAGCCCTCTTTCTCATGGCTACTACAAGATAGCATTTACATCTGTATTAGAACTGAAAATCCACGATGAAATTTGAAATATCCTGGTCAAATTAAAGGTGACATTGTTGATTTACTTCCGTGGTTTCGGAGTAGTGAAGCCTTGTTCTCAGCAAATGCACCACTGTCGCATCTTACATCGCAGGGGCTGCATTCCCACAGTCTCCATCGCAGCGACCTTTGACAAGTGTTTTCTTCACTTCTTATACACTAATTTTTATAAGAACTCAGTTTAGACTGACACCGAGGGTCATCTTCCCAAAAACATAATAACATCGCAAGAACATGACCAGAGTAGATTTTATCAGCAAATCGAACGTACAAAATACTACGTTTTTTAGTGGTTTAGTGGTTTTTGTTTAGTGGTCTTTGCAACAATTTATAATTTGTGGTTATCCACAGTGGCGGAAATTATGGGGGTTTGAGGGGGGCGGGGGAGGCTTGGGCATAGCTGATAAAAAAGTTGGAACATTTGAACATAGCCAGTTCTAAATAATCAATCAAACAATATCTGACCAAAATCAAAACTGCTTGTGAATTGTATATTTAATTCAATTCCGTAAAGATTAGCCTGAATTTCGATCGGATTTTTCGGAATAAAAGTTATTCTTAAACTTATTTCCCATTGACAGAAACATGACAAAATACATCAAATGAACGTACGACTAGTCAAAAGTGTAATCGGTCGACCTCTTGTATCATCAATTGTGTCTTAGATGATCGATCTTGATATCAAAAATCATAAATGGATTGTTCTTCTTGCTACTTAATTATGGCGTGATCAGCAAAGATTTCTAACGGGTCCCGTCAAAAAATCATCTATTTTTATCAAAATGTGCAGTTTATTTTAAAAAGACATGACCCGAGTTGTTATCTTGTCGGAAAATCATAGGCCTGGGCTCCCCCAAATGAAACCCTGAATTTCCGCCACTGGTTATCCAACTATTACCCTGGATACCAGACTCATTATATATAAAATGAAATAGAGTCGGGTACTCTCTATTTTAGACTCTCTATTTTATTTCATATATAGTGCGTCTGGTACCCAGGGTATCCAACAATAAGAACATCGCACTTCGCATCTTAGCAAGTACTATCTGGTTGCATGTTTGAACCTATACACGGTTTTATGTCCCCTCCAAGGTTCCAAGTGCTTCCTTTTTTAGATCAGTTCCATTTTCAAGCAAAGAGATGACCTCAAAGATTTATATAACCATTATCAAGACATTTGTTTCCTTGCTATTATCATCCAAGGCTAAAAGTGCTAGAGGGCTTGCGCCCAAAACATCTACTCAAATGAGCGTTCTTGGTGAACTTATTTAATGACCTGTGTTTTGAAGTTCTTGCCACTGAATCTGTTGATTCCTGCAACAAATGCAGCCTCAAAGGGACTACTCCAGCATTAAAATTGCTGGTAACATATACAAAAACATCATGAGGCAATTTAGCCTTTTACCGTAAAAATGCCGTAAATCTAGCCGTAAAAAAGATGACAGAAAAATTTTGAGTTGGTGGCTTTAGCAAGTGTCTTTGTCTGAATTTCATTAACCCAGTAATAACTTTATTTCTTTAGGTCAAGGGTGGGTAGCCCTTTTGGAGACTGGGTCATATCCTTCAAACCTTTTCTTTAAGCGAGCCAAAGGTAATAAGAAAAACGAATAAAGTTGTTTGAATAAGATGTTAAAAAGAACAATGAAAATCTTTCATTTAAATTTAGTTCCACTACAATTATGAGCATCTCGTTTATACGATGGATAAGACTGTTACAATCGTAAGCGCAAAAGGAAAAATTGAAAAAACCAGTCAAAATTAGAAAAGGTGTCATTCAGAGTTAGGAGAAAACATCCTAGAAAGGAGATTCAGAATTATGCACCAATCGAAGTGTAGCATCAGCCTTTTAGCTCAGACCATTCACTTAAATGTACTTAAACACAAATCTATCCAATATAGGCCCACAGCACACTAGCAACTGGGACATGAAAATAAGGGACAACCGTGATCCCTGTTCAACTGCCACGAGAGCCCAGTAAGAATCGCTATTGCTTCATTTGTTAACTTTTACCCCAGTACCTCAAAGATTCTGCTATCCTGTCTGAAGCAGAATGAATTCGTAGATGTTAGATAATAAAATTTTGAATTGATGTGTTTCATTCAATGTTTGCGACCCCTTGGAATATCATCTTTACAAGCCAAAAAATTATGATATAATATTTTTCATCTCACGGGCCACAAAAATCCCCCCTTCCCGGGCTGGATTCTGGCCCCCAAGACGTAGGTTGCTCACCCCTGCTTTAGATCATATTTCCCAACTGATTCTCTTTAGAATGTTGTAATCAGAACTCATTTTTCATTTTTCGTTTAAGATTATTTATTTGCGGCAGCCCCGTCAGTCATAATGACTGATTTTCAGGGGACGGTGCCAAAAACTTACAAACTAAAAAACTAAAAACTGGCCATGGCCCCCACATTTTAGCCTTGCCCCCCCACTTTAAAATTCGTGGCGCGGGCCCTGAAGAAGTCTGCCACTGCCCAAATTGTGCAACGAGTGACAGCATGGCTTAGGAAATAGATTGAGAAACCTGATCCAAAAGAATTTTGTGCTAAAACCAAATGAGGAATTTTGTTTATTCTATAGCCTGAAGTTGGCCCATAAAGTCTTTTTGTTAACTGACAAACTCTCAAAACGTTACAATAAGAGAAAAGTCAGCTTTTGAAGGAACAGGAAAATGTTTGTGAACATGAGAAATAAAGATTTGTTCTTTGTATATTCAAGGAATCTTTGAAGTTTGATTATATCGATAATCCATTCCTGCTAAGAAAGAGGAGAAATGCCATAAAACTACAAACGAATACTTCGTGGTAGAAAGGGGAAGGGCAAATATTTTTCTAGACGTTATTATAAATTCTTAATTAGAGTCATTTTTGCTAAATGTACTTCATTCCCGAAAAGGTCAGATTTTCATAAAAAACCAATTGTACCAAAATGGCCTTAAATTTTTTAGTTGATAGTTCTTTTTTTTATATTTCAATGCAGTGCCGTCGGAATGAAATTCATATTGGGGAAGGGGGGCTGCCCATTGTTTTCTTCTCAGTACACCGTTATAAAGGAAACATACTACAGTTTGACAACTATTGGGGGGCACCAGCCCCCTCCCCCCGGTTCCGACGGGCCTGCAATGTTAACGTTTTGTTTTCAAACCGTGCTTCAGTTATTTTTCGCCTCGATGTTATTTTGGTTTTTTATTTGATGTTAAAAAAGTTCGTAATGAGCTATGTTTAAGAGACTATCTTGAAACTTTGCAAGAATTTTCCTATTTCATGTCAACGTTGAAATAGGCAAACCTATGGGACAAAGTGATAAAACCAAGCTTGAAAATATTGCCTCGGGTTTTCCTTTAGTCAAAATCCATTTTAGATGTTTCTTGCTGCCGAACAGTGGCGGCCTTTTCTATTATAAGCAATATCTTGTAGTCAATCGTGCCAGAACCTTTGTCATATGTAAACTTCTTCAAATCAGATATAAGGTGAGATAATAAATTCCATGTCATTTTTACTATTTTCTTCTCAAAGAACTCCACTTTCTTAGAGTTCTTAGGATTGTTGTGAAAAGTTATAATGAGTATATATCTATTGCTATTATACTTGATTTATGAATTTCAATAATTTATGAGTGAGAACTAAAATTTCATGGGAACCCACTCCTGACTGAGATTACTCTTAGAATGCTGCCAGAAGTTTGATAAGGACTTAAAATACATCACTGAAAAAAATGACTTCACGGATACAAATATTAATACATGGACATTTCAAACCTTCACAGATACATGGCCATTTAAAACCCAGAAAAGGTTCAGCAGAATCAGATAAAAAAATAATATTTTTTTCATAAATGAGATAAGATTTTATCAGCACTGCAATTATACCAAAGAACAAAAGTAATACATTAATCCTTGTGTTGATGAAATCAAAATAGCAACCTACAAAATATATTTCTTTATAATTTTTACTTTTACTAATCAAGTATTTTAACTAATTGGATGGAAGCAAATTGGAACAGAAATTATTTGAACTGGACAAATCAACTAATGTTGTCAAGAATCTGAAATTCAAAAATAATTAAAAGACTTAAAAGGCACATCAAGATTGGTCCTAAAATATTTGTTATGTAACAAATCAAACTTCAGAAAATGTACTGCCAATTCAGTGACTTATGATGTGGATCAAAAGATTTGTGAAATAGCATTGGAACAACAAGAGCCTCAGGTTCTGGTCTAAGATCTTTGAAGCTCTGGCATGAAAATTCAGGCTTTTAGAACCTCATGCTATCTAACTACAAATATTTTTAAATCTGAGGAGGAAATGTTGGAAGAGAGGGGTATACAATGGTATATGATGTTATGTCTTTTTGTATTTATAGACAACTAAAATTTAGTGATTACAATCTCATTCTAACCTTTTAGATGAAGAAATTGTTCCACAACAGGGTGTGGATTCACAAAAGGGTGTGGTTTAATAGAAAAAGTGTAGACTCTTAAAAAAAGTTCCTCGACCCACCCCATTTCTGGTCCCATCAGATTCCAAATCCTCGCAACTTGTAATTTGATGATCCTGCTTGACAGTTAGTAATGATAACGAACTAAAAAATATGTGAAAACACGCTAACTGTTTATTTGTTTTGGTGTCAAAAACAGGATTAATGACTAAATATCCTCAAAATGATAACATGTAAAAAACTGCACACTTTTAAAAAGGAGAAAACCTTACAAAGAAGACATAGAAATTATTCTTTAGAATTATTACCCTCTCTATTTCTTGATTTCAACCTTATTAATCTTGCAAAAATGTCATTCAAAAGGGGGAATAAAACACCACATGAACCTCATCAAATATCAATTAAGACAACATAAGGAGTTTTTAATGGAAGTCCTGATAGTCATAATAGTTATGAAAGTAGAAAACATATTTTTTGACCAATATATATTCATGATTAATGACAGTCCATTTTGTGGTGTCTGACTTCCAATGACCCAAAAGTTCAGAAAATAATCTATTGAAGAGAAGTGATGTTTAGAGCAATGACCCAGGCCTTGTACGCTGACTTTACAAAATTATCTACATTGAATGTTCACTAGCGGAGAACATGAGGATAAACAAAAGCTGAAGTTTTGTAAGTTTCAGGCATCTGAAGATATGTTCCTCCAATCTTGGCAAGAAATCTGCTTCTGATCTCTGCAGCAGATGATACTCGTATTGGACTTCGAGCTGTGGTAAATTCATCATCATAACGTTGGCTTGGCCAGGCCAATGGTTCTTTTTCTGTCTCTCTTTCAATAACATCTTTCATTGCTTCCTTCTTTAGTTTGTTAAGCTCTCTATCCCTGGCAGAAAGGTTTAACCCACCTTTTTTAACAGAGTCCCACAAATACAGTAGAACTGAAGACAGCAAAGCTAGGCACAAACATCCACTAAAAAAGACCTCCAGAATCAGATAACCACTTCCATCAGCAATTCTTCCAGCAACAATTGAAACAACACCAAGCCCCAAATTCTGAATTGACTGCATGAAACCATAAGCTGTTCCAAGCTGTTTCTCTGGAATGATCATTGCAACCAGAGGCCACAATGCACATGCAAGAAGAGAATAAGAAACGCCCATAACACTCATTGCTAAATATGGTGTTATAAAGGTAAGAGCCAACAGCACATGGCTTCCCAATGTAAATACTATAGCAATGATTAGCCAAATTAAGTTCCTCCCAGTCTTATCAACCATGATCCCAAGAACTGGTGATGCACCTGCTGAAATTAAGTATACCAGACTGTTGCAAATATTTGCTGCACTTGGGCTTAGTGAAAACTTTGCTTGGAAATACACCAGCCCTAATCCAATGAATGGAAAGACTGCTACATAGTATGTGACACATACTATAAAAATTATCCATGCTGATAAAGGAAAATCTTTCAAATCTGACAAACGAACCTCCTCTCCAGTCTTTGCATCATTTTTTCCAAGGATCCTGCTTGCTCTTTTATCAAAATATGCCATTGTCAGGCCAGCAATCAAAGACAAAACACAAAATAAACCAGCAAAAAGTAAAGAATATCCCAATACTTTGTAACTTTCACCAGCTGGCTCTGGAAATATTTCAGTAAACCTTGAATATATGGGCTGCATAATATTCATGTTGACAGTGCTACCAACTCTTGAAAAACTGAGCTGCAAACCGAAAACCATGTTCAGCTCGTTTCCCTTGAACCATCCAACTGCGTAGGTATTCTGAGCAACTGCTAAGGATTCCCCTCCAATGCCAAATATGAACCTTCCAGCAATCATAACATTGAAATTATTGAAGTAGGCACCTAGTCCAAATACGACTTGGCCAACCATAACAAACATCGAGAATATCAATGTTCCAAGGCGAATGCCAAATACTCTATCAATGAGAAAGCCACCAAAGAAACATAGGACCACATTAGGCCAGGAATACCATGCATATAGATTCATAAATTGCTCTTTGTTCACTTCCATATCCCTTTCGATAATTGATTGTAAAGCTGCCGGGTTGTCGTAGCAGAAGTAGCTCCCAAAACTCAGGAAACAGATAAAGCCTAGGACCATGAAGCGATGTGCAGGTCTGTGAGGGTTACAGCAAGGCAAAGCTGCACACCCTTCCAGCTCATCACTTTCTGAAAACTCAGAGCTTTCACCTTCAATTCCCTGCTTCATTTTGTCTATACTGAAATGAAAAAGCTAGAAAGTTTCCAGCACTAGTATTGAGGTATACAATGACTTATTCTTAGTTCCTCCTCAACTGAAAGTCATGTGAGACGGTGGATGAATGCGCCTTGAACCTTTCTCACAGCCTCAATTCCATTCACTTCTGCCTCATAACGGTGTTACGCGAAGCTTTCCTCGCTCGCTGTTCTAGGACAGAAGACGTTTCATCTATCAAGTTTCAAGTAAAGGTTTGTTATTTTCTCCTGCCAGTGCAAGGGATTTGAAAAATATATGAAATTTGCATTTAAAAGACCTCTAGGTTTTTTAAGAATACTTGAAGAACTATACTACATTATGGAATTCAAGTAAAATCTGAGGTCTGATGAACCAAGAATTGACAAAACAAAGATAAAGTGCACAAAGTGTTACAAATTGAAAAATACCACACAGAGCTCAAAGTTTATTCTCTTTGTATTCAATGCTTAATATCTAATAGAGTTAACAATTTCGCTGGCTCAAAATTATGCTAAAAATGTTAACTTTTGTGAAAATTACGATAGTCATTCTTTAATGGTAGGAAAATGGCATTCAAACATATCTAAAGGTTCCTCTTGTTGTGAGACTTTAGTAAATTTATCACCACTATACCTTTGCCTCAAACTGCTCGGCTCTTGTTTTTCATAACTGCAGTTTTTTGTTTATATTTACATCATATTCGTGTATAGATTTGCATCATTGATGCTGGCAGCTCAAATCAGGATTTATTTTAAAGAATTTTTATCACTGCACATATTCAACAAATTTGAAGATTTGAGTTTTGCCTTTTAAAAATTTTCATGACCACAACAATCAAACTAACTGTATTTGAACCTTTAAAATTACATTAGCTCTCACCAAAGCCTTACAAGAGATTTTGATGAGGAAAAGTAGTCTAGGTTTAGACATGTTTTTTGAGAATAAAGATCTCAAGGGAAAAGATGAAGAGCAAAACAAACTAGATAGCTTCTAGATAATGAACAAATTTCAGAGAGATTTCATAGTTTATGGTGATTGGTACTGTTATGTTCTCATTTTTAATACTGTAATGTTTTTTTTAAATATCAACTGGTAGCTGCTGCAATTTTACTTTTTCAATACCAAATCTTTTTTTTTAGCTTTATCACTGCACAAAATTTGAGCCTATCACTGCACAATTACAATTTATCACTGCACAAATTGGTTATCACTGCACGCTAAAATAAAACCTTAACTCAAATGCCTTTGCTCTCAGGTTGGAGCTGATAGTGTTATGTTGCTCATAGCTACAAGAAACCAAAATCATACATATTTTTTGGTTGAATTCAAGAGCTTTTTGATAACATTATGAATGGAAGTGTATTTATTGCGGCCAGAAATTTCGGCACCAACCGAAGAATTTATACCTTCTGTTCAATATCTGCACTTCTACTTGCAAGCTCCATTTTTGCAAAAAGATCCTTAAAATTTCAAACAGGCTTTTGTAATTAAGCGATTCAAAATGTTTCATTGGTTTTTAGAATCCTTATGCATTTATCTTTTACTGAGTGATATTGAATGTTGTTTTCATTTTTTCATAAGGTAAAGATACAGCTAGAAATGCCTAAAGTGAAACGAAGTCGCAAGCCCCCACCAGATGGATGGGAATTGATAGAACCAACACTGGAAGAACTTGATCAAAAAATGCGAGAAGTTGAGACAGACCCTCATGAAGGAAAACGAAAGGTGGAGTCCTTATGGCCAATTTTCAGAGTGCATCACCAGAAGTCACGCTATATCTACGACTTGTACTACAGAAGAAAGGCTATAAGCAAAGAACTTTATGATTATTGTCTCAAAGAAAACTATGCAGATAAGAACCTCATAGCAAAATGGAAAAAGCAGGGATACGAAAACCTTTGCTGTCTAAGATGCATACAGGCAAGAGACACAAATTTTGGCTCCAACTGCATTTGTCGAGTTCCTAAAAGCAAACTAGAAGAAGGAAAGGTTGTTGAGTGTGTTCATTGTGGATGCAGAGGCTGCTCAGGATAAAGACATAAAACCACTTATCTTTAATGTTTTAAAAAAAAACAGTCCAGCATTAGCTTTACATTTTTTTTGCTACCCACTAGTTATCTGAGACTATTTATCTGTATTTTTATCATAATTAGATAATGGTAAATATTTTATCATTAACTATTACTTTTATTATTTTGTCTTAGGAATGTTTATTGTTGTTATTTACTAACTGATCTTGCGGAAAGTTTACAAGTTTGAGTTTCAACTGAACGGCTAGGAATCCTTTTTTGTGCAGTAAAGTTGTTTGTGATAGAACCCAAACCCAAAGTAAAATGAAGTTGTATTATATGATGATAAAGTTTAAAGTAATATATGAATCCAAATAAGTTGTTTTCTCAACCTGGAGTGGTCTTAAAATAAAGATACAAAAACTTTATGTTTTAAAAGAGGTGGAGCATGTCAGACTTTGAAATCACATGTAAATGAAAAGCCAGATGTCAATAACCAGGGACTTTGACATGAGTTCCAAAATAGAAAGCTGCAGGTAAATTATAGACACACAAAAAACGATTTTTGCAAAATAGAAAAGGTGTCAACCATATATGGATAGTTGAATGCAAAGGATGGATTTATGATCTAAAATGGCCAAGTATTTTATTGGATTTCTTTGAGCTTAGCATTGCATTTAGGATAACCATATACCCATCCTTTCAATGTAGTAGTAGCCCTTCTCCTAAATGTAAAAGAAAAACAAAAAAACAGCAGTAGTAATATAGCAAGATGAGATCATTTCAAAGGGAAAGCTCACATTACATCATAAGTTTATCTTTGCTGATTCAAAGTTTCAAATTGCATCTTGAAGAGAAACTGGGTGTTTATTGTGCTTAAGGCATTAGAATGATCATTCCCAACAGCAAAAAATGATCAAACGAACTCCAATAATTTGACAAGTTGGAAAACCCCTTGTTAAAAAATTCATTGTAAAAACGAGGTGGTTTTTACCGTCTAAGGGTGCTTCATCAGCAAATTTTCAGATTTGGTGGCAAATAAAGGGGGGCTCATCAAATTGTTGGCAAATAGGATTAGAGAACTCCTTCTTGAGCATAACGGCTGAAGAAAAGTAGCGTAATGAGGAAGGAAGGCGGGCGGCCGTGCAAGTCTGGGAAAATTTGGTATCTGAGCAATAAAATTAGTACCTCACGGGCGATGGTTGATGTTTCAGACAAAGCAAAAGTAAAACATTTTAAACGATTGCAAGAAATAGTTTTTAATTCTGAAATGTTCCCAATTCTTGAATGTATTTTGTTTTTAAGCTCATCTAAAGAAACTATTCGAAATATTGTTCAATTTCCGCTCGTTTTTACACAAGGATTTTTTACAGAAAGTCCTTCATGTTTTTTAGATATACCCATAAATAGAAAAACAGACAAATGCTTGAATCCTTAAAAACTAGAGTTGATGGAAACAAGGAAGCAAAAAAGTTGTCTTCAGTAGTTAAACAATTTTTTCCCTCTGAATTTCAGTCGCGCTAGAAAACTTGCCTTTGTTGTCTCTTCCATCAATATCTTCTTTTTCAAATGCCAGACATGCAAGATTGCACTCCCTCTATGTCCGTAAAGAACTTCGCTTAGATGAATCTACCTTTGTTAATGCATAAAACGAGCACAAAAGTCGTTAAGTGTTGATGTGAAGCCGCAGTAACAGCAAAGTATAAAATTAATGAAAATGTTCGAGTCGTTAAAACTTATCTATTTTGCTCCAGGAGTGGCATTGCCACCTCTTGGCTATGGGCCTGGTTTATGTATTATCTGGTCTTTTTCTGTTCTCTAGCGCTTCAAACTTTAGAGAGGGGGACTGTCAGAGACAAAATTCGAGACGATTAAGAAAACGCCCTTATTCTGCTAGTTGGTAAGGTCCCGGAAGAATTTTATTATACAGTATTGCTATAAATCTGCTAACATGGACCTTTCAGCTAAGGAACAGCTGGTGGTGTAATGTTACATTAGCCATTCAAAGTTGCTCACCGCATGTTTAAAATACTGCCATTAATAACTGGCTTTATTTCTTTGAATGTGATTTCCCCAATGAACGGTGAAAAGTTTGTTCTTCTTGATTTCAAAAATAAATTTGTAAGATTTGTATTTTGAATTGAATGTGGAAATAGTGTCATATTGCACCATTTTTTCAACATATCATCCTGTAAGGGTGAAATTGCACTTCTTCAATGATATTATAGTATAATTGCCATCACTGATTAGCACGCTTAGTCAGTAGTGACAAATTTAACGGTAATAGGACTGCTCTACGGACTCCAATAAATTTTTTTCAAGGAACTAGAAAAATAAGAAAACAACGAGAAACACTGAAAGGTGTAGCGAGATATTAAAAATACGAGTTTTTCGTTTATTCATTTTACATTTGCCCCATGCATTTAGGTGTCCTATGATGTTAACTATTTAAACATCTCTAGGACTTGTGAATACACCTTTTCCCTAATAAAATGGCCTAAAATTAATTCATCACAAAAAGCCTTGTCCAAGTCACTTTCACGCATCGAGAACAGTTTATCAACGCCACTTTATCGTAAACAGTTTACTTTGTCTCAACCACGTAGCTGTAGGTGTCGGCTAGGGGGGGGGGGGCAAACTCGAGCAAGAACCACACCTCAGGGGGGGGGCAGGCTTTAAAACAAGAAAACAGATATATAACAAACTGCAAAGAAATTTCAAAGATTTCACATATAAAATAACGCATAAAAATCTTGCTCCAAAAATCTAAACGCTTCTTAGTTTGTTTTCCGACGGGGGGCTAACCTCCTCCGACGGGGGGCTGTAGCCCTCTGCCCCCTCTCTAGCGCCACCACTGGCTATGGCACTGCTGCAGAAACCATAAATGGTGAAACCGTACATTCCCACAAGCCTTAAATATTAGAGTTTTCACTCCATTTTTGAGCCAATCTTCTGGAGCTTCAAAGACAGGAACTAATTAGGGAGAGGTTTATTAGAAAGGAGGCTTATCAGAGAGGAGGCTTATAGAAAATTTTAATCAATTGTTGTTTATCTTGTCCCAATGAAAACATAGTTAATGGTTCTGCTTTCATCTCATCTTCATCACAATCATCAAGGTCAAAGATTTTTAAAAACAAGAGAGATTTTTGGGGGACAACTTTTCGAAGAATCCTCTCCTGTTGATGTTTGAAAAGGAGGTTGATATTGAATTGAATTGTTCTTGTTTTGGCGGTCGTTCTGAAAATGAACAAAATGAAGAAACTTAGAACATATGGAAAACATGGAAGGAGAGAAGTCTTTGTAAAGCGAGACAAATTTAGCGAAATTATCGATGAAAGTTTTTCAAGTTCCCCTGTGAATGTCGCTTTCAATGCTGCTAACGGATGGTGAGAAAGGAACTACCAGCGTCAGCGATCATAATCCTTCACTTATTATTGCGGCCTAAACAAAACATTTGTTCACATTGTTGATATCTCATTAGGACTATAACAGCAAGTTATAATATTGTTTGTTATAATGTAGCTAGGAATATTAGGAATATTAGACTGGGAATATTATCATTTTTTCGTTTCTTTTGTCGGTATAAGTGCAGTTTATTCTTCTTTTGGGAACAGATTTATAAAGGTTTTTATTCCAAATTTGTCTCATACATTTGTTACAGGTGCAGGCCAAAAATTGTTGATTTGTCTGCTGACTTGTTCAACAATTCACTTGATGATGATACACTCAGCTCTGAAGATCACAGCATTTTAAAATATGATGAAAGATCTGGTGCTAAAAATGATGCAGAAAAGTATTATACAGCTTCCACTCCCTGCACTACACAGACCTTTGATGCATCCTCACTTCTTCAAGATTCTTCTTGTAAAAGTTCTCCGGTGTCTAGCAAAATTCACAGAAGTCAAATCTCATTTTTTGTATGTGTACCATTTTATTAAAATTTAACATAAAACTGAAAATTACTGTTTACAAGTCAGTTGTAAAATGCTCACACTTTAGAGGCAGAGCTGTATCAGCTTTTTATCTATTTACTAATTGCCTTCATCAGGCTACTTTTTTAAAAGTTATGTTACTCAGGATGCGGATTAAGTTTCTTTATATCTTACGTAACTCTTTCCTAAGGATTAATTTTTTTTATCTTTTTAAAAATACTTGCTCATTATTATTGCTTTTATATTTTTCTATAATAGGAGGCACTGACACCTTATAGACTTGCAAAACAAATTGATCCTGCTAGCAATAATCAGCTACAACCAGTGTGGATTGAACAGCAATGCACTGCAAAAGAAAAGGTTTTAGCTTTTTGTGGACAGCAATCAATCATCGATTTTTCTGATTATATGGAAAACAAGTTAGTTTCTGAATTTTTCTTTTTTTATTTATTTGTGTTGCAAACAGATATATCGATGGATTATTTGCAAAGTCATTTTGCTATAAAAGCAGGGCCCGGGCCACAAATTCGAAAGTTGGGGCTAAAGCCTCTTTCCCCTTTTACTACAGCATTAAAATTACTTGCTTTGCAAAAAAGTGAGGGGCTATGGCCACCCCAGCCCCCCAGTGGCATAGACCCTGTAAAAGTGGCCTGTCAGTGATTTATGGGTAATTCTTTCAGATCTATAGTTAAGAAAATTGGTGAAGGTGTTTATGGAGAGGTATACGAGACAATTTTTGAAGAGGAGCATTTTGCAATAAAGGTATAAATACTTGAAAATTTATGTTGATCTCCCTCATAAAACTACATAATATATGTTTTTATTAAGCTATCATGAAATAGTTATATACACTGTTTGGTTTTTATTTCTTATAAATCAATCTATCAGAGAAATACCTGTTAACCTTAATCAAAATTATACTTTTGACATACAAGATAATCCATAATTATCAATTTATTATGAATTAGATTTTAGTAACTTAAAGCATGATCAAGCTTTTGTTGCAAACAACAGGATGGCTCAAAATTGCTTGTCAGATTCTCATTCCTAGTGTGACCATTGGCCAACTATATGCTTAGAATGAGAAACATAGTTTCAATTTATCCCTTACGGCATTTATTTGACATAAAGTTTGGGCCATCAACTGGAAGCAGCTGTGATTTTGATATCCTACAATGCAAAATAGAAAACAAATGACCTAAATTGATTATTTTTAGGTAAATAATTGTAAAATCTACATTGTTGTTCTAGCAATGCTAGTGGAAGATCAAATTTTCTTTCTGCAAGTTATCACTGCTGGGAATTTGTTTTGTCTTCCATTTTGCAGATTGTTCCTGTGGAGGGAGACCTAAAAGTAAATGGGCAGACACAAAAAGGTTTCAAGGATATGTTGACAGAAATAGCCATCTCCAAGTGAGATTCCCTATTATTCAACTTTTTCTGTAGAAAGGATTGATAATCCTTTACTCCCCTCCATTCTAGCCAATTAAAGTAACTATATGGCCTATGAAACCATCTACCTCTAAAAAACCTATATTTGTATGTGCGTCTGTGCCTGGATGAAACATTTCTGTTCACCTCTGTTATTTTCTGAATGTTTTATATGTCAAGGATAATGGCTAAGATTACATTGTTGATGCTGTGTTGAAAATTTTAATATGATTCTTGCAATAAGTGAATATAATTTCTTATAAGCCAAAGGCTAAACCAAAGTTGCAAAGATTTTGTTCATCTCTCAAATAATAATTTTTTTATTACTTTAATGCAATGTAAAACATTTACATGAGCTGTGCTCATATATCAAACTTCAAACATGTACTATTGGTCGAACAAGTAGCCTAAGGTTTCTTGCCTAGGTTTTAGCCTAGGTTTTTGCCATGGTTTGAAGCCATGCCATGATGCCATGGACCACTATATTATTCACTGATTTTTTACTCGAATGTTTCAGTTCTGTTTGATATTTTGCATTTTATACCGACAAGGCTTTTCTTGTTTGTATAGCAAAATGTTATTTTTTTCTGGTAGCTAAAGGTCTACTTTTACACGGCTAAAATACTTATCAGCATTTAAAAACAAATTCATACTTTACTTGTATTTTATTAACCATGAAGTTATAACTCAGCATTGTTGTTAAGTTTTATGTAAGATTTGCAGCACTCGAGATTCACACAGATTCACTAGGATTCACACAGATTTATAGGAATTTTTGGTATTATGGACTACTGTTTTCCACTTTAATAGTGTAATATGGCTTTTGCTTGTGGATCACCCATTATTCTGCAATCTTGCATCAGTTTTTTATCCAGTTTGTTTTATTTTGTTGTTTCAATATTTTTCCACATTTGTGGCACAATCTTCCTGGTCATTGTTCTGAATTTAGTTGCCATAAACACCAATTTACTTAATTTATTGTCTTGTCATTAATCTCAATAACGTTTTAATCTTTTAGAGAACTAAGTGCCTTAAATGAGAAGGTGAGAACAGATGTAAAGGGTAAAAGTTATTTTATTTGAAGCAAAATTGTTTATTTTTGTTAACTCGAACTTTAATGAAACTTGACATAGATTCTGATTCCTCTAAAGAAATACTGGGGGGGGGAATATATCATTATCATTTTGTACTGTCAAAGATTTTTATTCTTTATTCTTGATCTATTTTTTTTATAGCTGATATAGCAAAACAGTTCTTGGCAAGTACCCTGTAGATTTAATGCTGTGGATCGATTTCAAACCCCCTGTCCCCTTAGACTGGCAACCCTACCCTTAGAGAAATCAGTTCTCTGATGTTAAAAGAGTTCCATCGTGATACATTACTAAAAGCCATAAACGCACATGATGTGCAATGCAAGTGCTCTGTCAAATGCATCACTGTAGCATGTACCTCTCCTGTAATGGCTTACAATTTTAAAATTTGATTATTGAGTATAAGATCAGTAATGTGGGTAATTCAGTCTCTAACAACTCCAAGCATTTTTTTGATTCAAGAAAAACGGGCTGGTTAGAGATTTTCCCCCTTTTTTCTAAAGATATCTTTACCGCCCCTAGCTTTCAGACAGTCGACAGATACCGAAGTGACTTGCGCCGTCTGTCAACCAGCAATTGGCTAATCATTAAACATGTGAGTGGTATCACCCTAATTGATTGGCCATTTTTGATTTGACAGATGTCTTAAGCCACTTAAAGTATTTGTCGATTGTCTTTAAACTAAGGCTTTCTACAAGTATTTTTATTGGCAGGATGAACATGGGAACCAAATCACCAGCTATATCAGAGTTCATCGGTAAGTATTGCATTTATGATTGTCATTCCAATAACAGATCTCTATTCAATGCCCAAATTGTACAAAATTTCTTAACTTCCTTTCATGAAATTGGAGGAATTTTTAAAGTCTGTCACAACGGAGTGTCTAGATTTTTTGTCGCAATATTCTTCCCAGTGAGTGTCCATGTATTTCATGTATGTGTAAGTTATTTGGGAAAAAGTAAATAATTTTAAGTTAAGAGTCGAACATTGAAGAAATCTCAAAGAAGATGCAATCAAATCTACTTTTATTTAAGAGTGAATTAATAACAACAAGGAATTTAATAAACGATCACTTAAATTATTCTTCAAAAACAATAATGGTATTTTATAGAAAATTCGTTTTTTAATTAGAAGTCTCTCATTGTTTGTCTTAAAATATGCCTTTAATTATCAAGTAGCATCTAAGCGAAATGCAACATACGTACATTTATTTCTTTTAACCCAGAATTTATTGATTCTAATCCCAAATTTGTCTTTTCTTCTCCCTCTAGATAAAGTATGTATGTAAATATTTATTATTCTCTAGTACGGTCTGCTGTAAAGGCTGCTACCCGTCAGAGCTTCTAATGGCATGGCTGACTTGGGACGACGAACAAAAATCAGAGAATGACAACCCTTGTGAGTTTGTTAGTGGCACCAGCCATTACTCATTTTGCTGCCACAGCATCATAATTTTACTTAAAAGCAATACAATGGAATACCTATATAGCGAACCCTGGATATAACAAACTTCCCGGTATAACGAATCAAATTTTAGGTCCCTTCATCATAATTACCCTCGATTTACCGTTTTTTTCATTATATTTTTTCTTCTGTTACTGATTTCTCTGTTCAAGTTGTTTATTTATCACTTTTTCTGTTTTTCCCGAAATCATTATTATTATCGGGAAAACATACTTTTTATGATGTTGGAAATGGAGATGAGGTGCCTGCAAAAGTTAGCTCCGTTTTAAGACTTTATAACATTCCAGTGACCAAAGCAAAAGCATAGAAGACTATAACAGACGTTTGGTTGCACTATGACTCTTTAGGACAAGGTGTCGTTTATAGCCTATTTACGGACAGTCACCCATTTACAGACTGCAAGAAGGTCTCATCTAATGGTGGTGAGCATTTCAACCACATAGGCAAGATGTAAAAGTTATAATTTTTTTATTAACGATGTTAAGGAGGGAGCTGAGTTGTATAATATTCAATCAAATAACTTTCTTAGTTTTTGAAAATTTGATGATTTTGATAGAAGAGTTAAAGAGATGGATACGAAGGGGCCCCTCTTGATCGGGGATCCTTAGTTAACAAACTAATGTGTATTAACTGCGTTTCACCACTGTGTAAACTGAATATTCAGTCTAAATTTTTTTCTATATTAGCAATGTTGAATGAAGATCAAATATTTGTCATATTTGAAACTGAGCTTGGTGGCAAGTCCTTAGAAGATTACAAAAGAATTAATTTTTCTATAGCAAAAAGCATTTTATACCAGGTGAGAGATTCTAAACAATCTTCTAAATTTTTACAGACTTTGTATTCTTGTCGTTTTATTTACAATAGGCCCTAAGTTCTCCTGCCTCAATTCGAGAGTTTTATTTAGTAAGTAGATTCTGATAAAGACGAATATACTGTGCTAACATGTCGTTAAGACGTATTACCTTGATGTTACCAGTTTCAAACAATCTTTGTACAATTTGTCAGATGAATTTTATAGTAGTAGGTTGGGAAATTTTCCCAGCATTGAAAATATCTCATATACAGTCATTGCAAGAAACTGTTTTTCAGATTCACAAATCTTTCTAAAAAAAGTCTTTCCTATATTTCACAATATCTGTCTTACCTCTTGAACCTTATCTCTGGTCTTACCTCTCGGATCTTTCCTCTCAAATATAAGATATGATTGGCCTCCAAAAGGGTGGAGTTCTTTTATTATATCTATGACTTGTTTTTATTTACCATTTCACGACAACTTCACTCGCTTTCCAAAGAACACTGCTTAACTTTATCTTACATATACATCTGCTTCTTGTTTGAAACTACTTCGAGAGACAAACTTTTGTCTTGGGTTTTTATGATCCTGAAAGTATCCGCTCTGAAGCTAACTTTTGCTTCATCTTCCTTTGAAGATCTTTCTTTTTGTTGGCTGATGAAGCTTGAGAAAGTAAATGGAAACAAAGAGTTTATAAGTTTATATGCAAATAATTTTTTGCTCCAAACTACTTCAGATCTATAAATGCTATGGTTTTTGAATTAGACTGGTCTTTCTTATTCGCCCTGCGTCGCTTGGGTATCATATTCTTATCACATTACCCATAATCCGTTAAAATCATACCTCGCTAGCTTCTTACCGCATCCCAATGTCTACGTTTGCCGGTAACATAAACAATGATCTGCTGTTTGCATTATATTAAATTTTTTGTAAGTTGTTTCACTCTCTGGTGTGTAGCACAAGACTAGGTGACCGACTTGCCTCTCACACCAGCAAGTTGACAAGCATAGAATTTCACTTTCACAAAAAGCATAGTATCAAATATTCAGGGCAAATGATAACCGAAATCCATATTTCTGTAAACAATTTCCCATTATGATTAACCTAATTAACTTAATAAGAGCTTTGTCAACTTTAAAGGTAACTGCAGCTTTAGCAGTCGGTGAAAAGGCGTTGAAATTCGAACACCGAGACCTCCACTGGGGAAACTTGCTGATAAGAAGTACAAGAAATTCATCGTTGCCTTTTCATATCGAAAATGAATCTAGGATGATTGAAACTGCTGGGGTACAAGTCGATATTATTGATTTCACTTTGTCAAGGCTTGATAAAGGTAAGAATTTCTTGGAAGTTCTTGTCTTCTTCCACTGAGCAAATTTTCGCAACCTTGATTGCATTCACCACTCTTCTGGTTGAGATTTGTTATCAGTATTCTGGGTAATACACACTTTTTAATTAGAATAAATTGACAAGAAAATTGCGGCTCAAAATTGATGAAATTTATGAATTCATTAAGAATGAAAGCCAGTCTGGCATACACTTCAAGCCTAACAGGTTTAATGACAAAGAAAGAAAATAGCGAAGATCTAAACTTTATTTTCTCGATTCTTACTAAATTTCCATGTTTTGTTGGTTAATAATGACTTAGAATAATTGTTACGCACAGAACAACAGCTTTTTGAGAATATGAAGGCTCGAAATCTGAGGTATTAGTATAGAAAGAATTGTGTATGTTCGCCGCTACATTTCATCAATACAGTGGTGAAAAATCGACATGAATCTTCATTAACTTTTCGTTTATTGTCGACAAACGAGATAAGGGACGCTTATTAAACTGCCTGCTATGTAACAGGTAAGGCCTTATTAATAACATCCAGTTCAGCTTAAACTGCTTGCCCTTTCAGATGATTGCGTTGTTTTCTGTAACTTAGAAGAAGAAGAAGATCTCTTTCAAGGAAGCGGAGATTATCAGTTTGACATCTACAGAATGATGCAAGAAGAAAATAAGTATGTTTGATTCTCTTTCATGTAAGAGATATTTCAATCATTCTCTACTTAATTGTATCAGCATTGAGTCGTTACTCTTTTCTTGGCCAGCTGGACTCTCGATAATAAAAAAGCGACAATTTCAAGGGCTGAATGCATTAGAATGCATTAGAGTTGTCAATCTCTGTCATTTTTTTATTACTGCAAAACGACGAAGGAGAGATGCATACATGTTCTGGATCAAGGAATTTCATGACCCGCTAGCAGCGCATATATCTAGCAATTACCTCTGACATTAAGAACAGCAGTGTCAGTTAAGAGATTTTGAAAACCGAAAGATCTGAGCAATGCAGCAACCTGCTCCTTCTAAATTCCACTTACTATTCTTTCTGGGGAAAATCCTTCCCTTGTTTACATATTGTTTTGTATTCATTTGTTATCTATTCATTTTATATTAATTTGTAATCATTTATTTTTTAAATGTGTTGCTATTTCCATTTGAAAAATTTCCCACACTGACAACACAGTTCATTTTTTTATGTTTGCCATTGCAGCAATCAGTGGACGGATTTTCACCCGCGTACCAACGTCATGTGGATTCATTATCTTGCAGAGAAAATTATCAGCGACAAGCTTAAACGAGGCGTCAAGAAAATATCAAGCTTCTCTCAACGAATACTGACTTATAATTCTGCTTTTGAGCTTTTAAATGACGAGTTTTTTACAACGTAATTTCACGCAAACTAATTTATATGTTAGGACTATTTGTGACAGGAAAGACTTTGGTGACAGGGAATGCCCACCACTTTATAAGAATTATCATCATTGAGCGTTGAAGTAGTTGAAAATTCAGGATTAAGTCTTGAGTTCGAATAAGCGAAAATCAACCAAATCACATGTAGGAATAATGATTAAATACTGAAAACAAAACATTCGTTCAGTTTATATATTGGTGTAAAACGATTGCCTGGCACGTGATAAATCATTGTAAATGTTCCATACACCATATTCGCTCGAGCTAAATTGTAAATGCAAATCAATATCATACCTTTACACAGTATTTGTCCTTTAGTCTCTTTTGAAATATTATCCTCTCTTTTAGCTGAAAAGCGAAAGGACAAGGCATACTATGCAAGCTCTATGGCATATTAAAGATTAATTTTTGCTCTATGCTACTGCTATGCTATACCGCGGGGCTGCACAGCATACTTTGCTCCCTGGGGGTCGTATTTGGTAACACCATTTCGTGCGGGATGATGTTGTATTTTCCTTTTTAAAGATTGACTCTTTTTATCGGGGATCCTTATTTGCAAATGTGCCCCCATTGAATTATGTCAGAGAACGGTATGTTTGTGTGCTTACAGCTTGTGGATGCCTGATATATGCTACAAATGTTCCAGCCACATACGGTCAATTTACCCCTTCGAAAACAAGAATCGAATTTTTTTCAATTGGTTATAACAAATCTTCAATGACTTATACGACTTTAGCTTAGCTCTGAGTTTGTCTTACCTGATTAACAAAACGCTCTAAGAAAGTGGAGCCACAAGAAAATGCCCCATTTGATACCCTATGTAATTACAATCAATTAACAGCTTGAGAAATTACTCGCATTGTGCAAAGCTGTAAGTATACTGTATCTCCAGTGGTTGATACGCTGAAACTCAGAAATGGTCATAGAAAAGCGCTTAAAACAAGCTAAAAGGCCTACTGCAAAGTAATTGTGCCAAACAAACTACTAGAAATCGATTCACAAGCTTCGAAGTCAGTCAAATTCTTTACTGCCATTAAATAAGGGCACTTTCTTGAAATACCATATATAATATTCTTTTCTCACCTGCAACATTAAAGGCCGACGTATTCTTGTTCCACCTAATCTTTCTTCAATAAACAACGCTGTGAAATGATTTGCGCGTCGCCATCCACGCCTTTCAATACAAGCTTACGAAATATTTCCAAAAGTTATTTCTTGCACGTGAAATGGGAATTTCAAAACTTTTATGGATAGGCGTTGTATCGTCTCCGTTTTCACTCTTACCACCCCGTCGTGACTGATTTCTAATTCATAAGTTTATACTCATTTGCATAAGAAGAATGTCATTAAAATTGCAAAGTTGCGAAGCTCGTGCAAGCTTTTTTCACTTCATAAAAAGGTTGCTTGTTCTTGGTATATGGAGATTTTCCATTGAAAATCTTTTATTAGGCCCCATACCTATGCACGTGCAAATGATTTTTGCAATTTAACGTCTCCCTTATGACATTCCTATCCGTAGTCTGGCCGTAAGTGTCATTACAAGATGCAATCTTCATCTTTTTCAATCGAACTTCAGCTAATTCTGTCAAATTTGAAAAAACACTGCTCAAAATTTTACGAACTCAGAAACTACTGAGGAAGATTTTACTACAGACTTACCAGTATCCCATTAAAAAATAGCTCTCTTTTCAGAGTATTATCGCCCTCAAATTATTTCAAGAATAAATTATTCAAATAAATTATTCAAGAAATGATACTATGTACTGTAGAAAGCTTTAATGCATGCATTGAAAATTTAAACAGTCATTAAGTCATTATAACAGTCATTATAACTTGACATTAACACCGAATAATCTGTAAACAGTGTGAATTATAAGTCCATAACAAGTGCCAAACATGCAAATTACAATAAAGAAAATTACGATTCCAGTTAAAATATATTCATGTGGCTTAGAGTGTTTGGAATCGATGGAAGATACCAGAGGAATAATAACGCAGACAGCGACTGCCAAAAACGTGTTCGTGAAAATAAGGGCGTCTTCAATTCCATTTGAGGCAACGGCAACTAAGACCACCATGATACTTGTAAACAAACGGACCAGGCAGCAATGACATTTGTTATCTGCAAATGAAACATTAACAACATTTCATATCATTGTTGAGCTAGCCATGATAGTGGATAAGAAAACGAGAAGAAATTCGTGAAACTTTAGGCCATTTTCTAATAGAACATAAAAGAATGAAAACACGAGGGAAGGTGATAACCTACACAGGGGTACAAGGTCAGCTAGTACCAGTCCTCATAACATCTAGAAACCTTGACTACAACAATAGATTAAATACATAGCAATTATTGTTGTAGTTAAAGGAAATTGGTGAAGTAATTAATAACCATATTCTGGATCTGATAAAGAAGCTGCCTAGCTCAAGCACACCGTAAGAAAACAGCTTCTAGGGCTTATCTTCAGTTAAAATGTCCTATCTAAAATGCCATCTACGTAAAGATGAAAACTTTACATCCGCAGGAATTAAGGATCAAAATTTTGGAAATTCATAGCCTGGTTATCAAAAAACTGGTGATTAAGAGAACTTATAGAATTAATGCTTCTCAGAGTGCCATGCAAAAAATTTTGCAGATTAAAATCAATAAATGTAATGCTGAACTGATATACAACAGAAACAATATATCAAATTAAAATATCCAAAAGAACTTTAGAGCGCCTGAAAGGGAATCCCAAGCGAAAGCTTTCCAAGGTCGACAAAATCCAATTAAGATTTTTTGCTATGGCTATTAGCAACTCAATATATTCTAGAGTGGTTAATGGTAAAAAATGGAAGGTTATCAAAGAAGAAGGGTAAAAAATCAACAATGAAATGAAATTAAATGCCATACCTGACGACAGTCCGTATTTTTCAAAGAATAGGTTCAAGGCATTGATGTTTAGAATATACACGAAACAGAGCTGAAAAACCATGAAACCTTTAACGCTGTGGGTTGATACAGCCTTAAATGTGTTCGGCTGGCTGACGACGGTGCTGTCGATGACGTCATACAAACGGGGGAGAAGGTTTGATCCGAATGCAAAATAAGACATCATTGCAACGACTATTACGAATATGGTCGGTATAAGGAAACCTGCACCAACAACTCGCGCTGCTGAATCAGGGTCTCGCATATCCATTAAAACAGTCGATAGAACTGCATGCAAACCGAAGAATCTTACTAAATTACAAACACTAGTAGAAATCCAAATTGCGTATTCTTGATAACGAATTTCTTTGAAGGTATGTGGGTTTTTTCCCTCTAAGTTGCCAAGAAGTGTGGTCAACAGAAGGCCAGCCACAACAGTCATCGTCAATGTAGGGACTGAAAGCCAGAAGTATCGCTTCGGAGATTTGAACAGGGTCAATGGATACAACAAAAAACCCACCGCTGCTGATATAACTCTGCTTCCCGAAGTTTGAATAAATTTTGTCACGTCTTTATTTGCGGCTGTTAATTCAAGGATGGTTTTGGATATTTCCAGTAAAACGGTTACAGCAGTTAGCATGAGATAAAGTAGATAAATAACAGTAAGGAAAATTGACAGGCAATCTCGCTCGCTCTCGTATTGAGTGACGTATGAAACGAAGTGGTAGGGATGTCTACGCTGGTAATTGACCAAGTTTCTTATGATCAGTTTTGCAGTATAGCCTGTGATTAGCGCCACGACAAAGATGACACCAACGCCAGACCAACCAACGAATCGCATCAAAAAGGGCGTTTCTATGAAAGCCATTCCTAAAAGGTAGCTCATCGTCAAGAACAGTAAAATTTCTGATGATATCAAATCACTGTTATCGCTGCTATCTAAAAAGCTCTGTGAATTTTCCAGTTTATCTGTACTTTCTTCCGAAGAGGATTCTTCTTTATCACCAATCAACGCATGTCCACTAAAGTACCGCCCAGCCTCGTCTGTGAATCCAGCCTCCTTTTGAGATCCAACAGCTGCTGCCTCTTCTCTCGCCATTTGCCTTGAATCAATAGGGTCTTCTGGATCGAAGTCATCTTAGATGAAATATAAAAAAATGACACCTGAGAGCTTTAAAAAGTTTAATAACAGCTATGACAATGGCTAAACATACCAACACATAGCAATACGGAGATCCGTAATGGCAATACGGAGATCCGCAGCCATAAACAGATTTCTTTCACATTATGAAATTAGGGCAGTCCTCTCTTAGTTTAATATCCTATGTAGAGTAGAAGGAACACAATAAACTGTAACTAATTTGATGAAGCCGGTATAAAAAGCTGGATATTAGCAACCGGTTAGGTCAAAATAGAGGCAAATTGCTGTCGAAGAGAAGCTAAAGTTGATTTACTAGGGAAATTTTCAAAATGTAATGCATCTATTTTTCTACAAGCATGTCATTTATGATTAACCCAGTGCTTAAACTGCCCTGAAGCTTGCAAACACGGATCCCAAAAATAAACATTGCAAAATACTTATTTGAAATATTACCAAGAAACTTGCTAATTTTGTCAGACATACTGTGGGCGAACACAGGATGTTACAACGTGAATCAATAAAAAATACGATGAAAAAACAACGGAATTACTCTAAAGTAAGATTTTCCATGAAAAAATGTGGGTACTATCAAACTCCTAGAAACTAATATTCACTAAGACACTTTCAGTATAGAGCAAGATTTTGAAAAGAGTATAAGATCGCTTATTGTTTGCAAATGTAAACAGTATTAGCAAGGCACCTCTGTAAACAGCAGACCCAGACCCTCATTTTGACTTGGTACTTCAGACCAAACACAGCGTATTTCAGGTTAAGATTTAAAGGCACTGCCACTGTCGGCCAACAGAAGTTTCTTTTTGCTTAAAAGACGACGCTCTCTGAGGAAATCCTTGTCATGGGCCTGCAAGATGTTGGCTAACAACTGATTAAAAAAACAAGGAGGCCTAACCTTCAGAAGTAGCTTGAACTCTGTCATATCTGATGATTCTTCTGCCAAAGTTGCTTGATGGGGAGCTCATCACTGCTTCCAGAATTCTCGTTCCCAAAGTTCATAGCCACTGCAAGTTCAGCGATTTTAACTCTTGTCACAATCCCAGCAAACCGAACAGTCAATGTCCTTCAGTATTGTGGTTTTAACTGTTTTGTTTCGCTTTGTTTTGTTTTAGAAAAAATTTACTATGCATCATGTCCCAGCAAAGTCTCAAAGCATGGCTTAAATGCCACAGCAGACCTCTGGGCCGACTAGTTGATTCAGGAGAGGAAGAAATCACCTGTTGCTAAACCGGATGGAGATGCGGCAGAAAAATGAAGGGAACAACCTGTAGTTGCAGGCCTAATAAAGCTGAAGGGGTTTACCTGGGATAGCGATTTCATATATAGACATAGGAGACATGGGGGCTTGAGGGCTGCAGCCCCCACCCCACCCCACCCCAATCAGGCAAAATTGATCGAATGTCAGGCTCATTCAGGTAATTTTAGTTCTAAGCGACGGTTAGCCTCCGCTAAGCTCATGATTTTATAACATAAAACTTTTACCTAGGGGATCATTATCAAAGAAACGTAGCTTCAAGCCGCATAATACACCCCCTGTCTATGTATAGCCAAGCATGTTTGTGTGCAGGAGTGTCGGAATTGAGGGGGTATAAGGGGCATATTGCCCGTTTTGAAAAAATACCCTCCCAATTCTTAGAAGTGCCAACTTCATAACGTTTGGAAAAGTGTCCTTTTCCTGTGACATAGTGCCTCTTCATACCTGTTCCCCTCAAACCTTCGAGGTACATTTAAATCGAGTTGAATTCTAAAAAACCCGAGTGGTTCTTAAATAAGGTATCATTAAAACATAAGACGCCTATTGGCAGGCTTATATCGTTTTCTTACATTTTAATCTTTTACAGTATTCAAAACTGGTAAACAAATCTTGAACAACTAGAAAATTGTCTTGGGACACTCCTAAATTTCAAGAAAGTTTAGTAACAGACAAGATCATCGCAAAGTGAAAATTTCTTCATCGTATTCTTAAATAATTTTTTGAATAGTTTCAAACGCAGCAATGGTTACAAATGCAGTTGCATATTCTTAAAAGATGAAATTGCTTGTCAAATAACAGTATAGTACTACAGCGTGTGTTGTAACAGCGAAGCATATATGGCAAGGTCTCTTATTAGGGCAGACAGAGATGGCGAACAAAATAAAGGAAAAAAATAATAACAAATACTTAAAACACTTTTCAAATGAAAAGGAACCAATAACGCCTAACAACTAAAAATATTGGGGAGCCAAGGCACTCTGAACCCTATCTGTCGAGCTTGCTTGAAGTCGCCCGCTTGCTAACAAAAACGCTGGACCTTCAGCGGTACCTGTTATGCAGTTCTTCGACATAATCAAATAAGAAAAGACGCTACCTTGAAATGCAGGTAGCTGATGTTTCTTTGCAGCAGTACGCAGCTGCAATGCAAAAATAATAATGTTCAGGGCAGATAGTTGTCAAGAGAAATCCATTTGAAAACCATCTTTTGTCATGAAAACACTGTTGTTTTCATATCATATTAGGAAAATTTCGTAAACCCGGCATTTCGAGGGTTGGAATGAAATTGCTTAAAAGACTTGGGGAGCCACAGGGGTGGTGTTAGAGAAAAATTGTTCAAGATGTCGAGGCCTCGAGGAGTGTACAGAATTGCTTCAAGCAAAATACATTTTGTGTCCATCATAAGGAAATTCATGCTCCACCGTTAATAGTCATTGCATGATTTTACCAATCTACTTGAGTATGCGCATTTTGATCAAAATCAGAAAACTGAAGTTTAAGCTCGCTGTTATTCATTTTGCAAAAACGTTGAGACTAGATTGCTCTTAATTAGGGTGTAAGTTCAATAAACTTGCAAACAAAATGGATGAGTTTTATGCCGGTATTAGTATTTTAATAACATCGGCAAAAAAACCTTGCTATGAAAAATATACCTTGCTAAAAATCTTGAATAAAGTTGTTTCTGCAATTCTCTTACGTAAGACTTTAGGTTGTTCTTAATAATGCTTTTAGTTTTGAAAATCTTGTTATTATAACATAATTTAAAATAAACGCAAAAGAGTGTATGCAAGAAGACATGATTAATAGCATCCCATGAAAATCCAACGTTATTTTGGATGTTGACGGTGACGGCCTAAGCCTTCTTGCCCCTTCATGTCACCACTAACGAGAAGTCATTAACTTTGTCACTAAAGGGCTTTGTCACTGTGTCATTATTACTGCAAGACCTTAAGTCACTGATGATGCTCGACTAGAAGTTAAAATGTTTTGAAAAATCTTAAAGAATCCCCAACCCTGTTTTATGACCGTCCTCGACGCGACGTATTGCAGATAACACTGTGGCCACACCGGGAGAAGGTACAGTTGTGAAAGCTTCTAATAAGGTATCTAATTGGATGAAATCTAAATGAACAATGATTTTAGTCCTCCCCCCCCCCATTAATAACAGGACGAATTCAATAATACTTTAATAGATGCCTATTCCGTTTTATAGAAAATTGTTCAATAAAATCGCAATGCAAGAAGAGGGTATGTACGAAACTAGAATATTTATACACTTTATAGCATTATTGTTGTAACCAAAAAGAGTGCATAAATTTCATGACTGTATTACGATAAAGCTAGAAATTGTCAAGAAAGCAAATTTAACTTCATGCAAACTTATATTTGCTGTAAATTCACGCAGATACATGAAAACGATGGAATATACAGGGTACAGTCATTAAAATTCAGCAAAAGCGAATCCTGATAGCCTTCCAGCTTTAACTTTGCACTAACTGAAACAAAACACAACTAATCTAACATGCCTCAAAATTCGGATGAAAAACTGGACCGAATCTAGAATATGGATATTTTCTCTAGTTTTATTTGAAAAGTGTTCCTCTTACATGTCCCTGTAATAAAATATGATGCCCCATTTTTTCCATTCCTGCCGCCCTTATTCACAAATTCCTATGCCCCTGTTTGCAGTATTCCTTTACATACCTTAATTCTCGATGAGGCATACATCGAGCATGCAAAATTTTGATCTACAAGTGGGACATGGTGATAAACTAGACATCCAGGATAACGGATCATTTTGGTCTTGCCTACTCGCAAACCATTTACCCATACAGTCAATGCACCACATTGGACGACAGAAACAGCCTCTGCATTCATTTTCACCGGTCGAGCCACAATTCTTCTGCAGCTTTATATTGGCTGGTGTCAGCATACAGCCGATACAAGGTTCTGGGTCCTAAAATAGGTCAGTTACCACATATTAATCATAAAACATATAAGCTTGACCTTTGGAAAAACGGATTTTGAAATCTAACTTTATTCCTAATCATGAAAAATTATCCAGCTAAATGAATGCTGCAAGAATAAAAACATTTTGGATAAAGTGGTGGGAAACACTAGATCAATCGCCAGAAGCCCAATCGTTTAGTTGGTCAAGACAATGCTTTATGTCGGTCTTTAAAGCACATAGATAGTTACAAGACTTTTTACCCTAGATACCTTGATTCTAAAATAAGGAACTGTTCTAATCCTTGAAAAATACAGATATTTTGAACTGATTCATAAACAAATTTCATAATACAATGGAATTAAAAGAAAAACCAATTGATCCCCAAATGTCTGATGGCAAATAATTATTTTCTGAGAACACCTAAATACACGAGATGTCACGTCTCAGCATACAGGAAGGCAGAAAGCATAATATATGGCTGCTAGAAGCCAAATCGTCTAGCTGTCGATTGAAAAAGCATATCAATGTTATTGCGATTGAGTTTAAGCCCCTCTTACTTTAGATACCTTGGTGGGGAAAAAATTGGATTGGATAAGTCTTAGGCTTTCTGCTATTGACCATATTGGCTCAGGCTAGTACGGGCTGTGAGATTTTTCAGTCGCAGATAAAAGAATTGGGAGGTATTCTTTACACCCCCCCCCCCCCCCGAAAAAAGTAGAAAAGAAAGGTGCGGTTTATTAAAGATTAATTTATTAAATGTTGACAAAAAAGGTCTTAAATTGCCAATAGGATAATGTTTTGCTGTACCAGTATTCTATTGTGTGTGATATTTTAAATAAAATCTAATTTATTGCTTCGCGTTGACCTATAAAATCATAATTTTCTCTACTCTCCGTTGAGCAGTTGATTAATTTCTGTCAATAACTCTGATTTGCTGTGGCTACAACTCTAATGATTCTTGATTTGCTGTGACATCGATTTTGAGAGATGTGGGGGAGTTACGATCAGTTTCTTGCATTTTTAAAAATTAAAGTTTGTCACAATAAGATTGTAGATACAGCTGACACCCAGCATCTGGACCAAAAGCATTCAACAAAGGAAAGAAAATGCATGGAGAATCATGACCTTGCTTGGGGGCAATAGAAATTAGAAGTTTAATTATGTTTTGAATTTAACGACACTTGCCGGCATTTCAGATCCAAGTCTATATCTTCCATTTGCACGAACCTGCTCCTTGAATGCATCCACAAACCTGTCACTCAGCGACTGGTGGATGACAATATTTCTGGCATTTCTGAGTGGAGCCTGGAGACGATCTTTAAGTTCTCCATAATCAAGAGAATTCAGTCTCAATGTAAATGGCTTCACCGCTGGATTGATGCTGTTCACAACAATTGATATGTACTGTGTTGGTTGGTTGGTTTCATGTGAAAATGCAAACTGGTCACTGGCTGCGATTAAAAAACAATTACATTCGTAAATTCTATCATATACGTATATCAAAGGGGGTCTATTATAGGTTTGGGGCTTCACGGCCCCGTCCCTGTTAACTGCTACGTGCTGCCTACGGTTTTCCCACAAATTGAAAGACACGACTGGCTTTTTGACCCCTTGAAATAGGCTCCCATCAAAGGGATACCAGTCAATGCTACTTTGAAAAAAGCTTTTCCCATCCATGAGATATATTGCCTTTGAACTTCGTCTCTACTGTTTTTTTCGCATATCTTGCAACTTTAGCCATGCAAAATCCAGATTTGTAAATATTCAACATGCATAACTTGATGTTTTAAAGCTAGGAATTTAAGTAAAATTGTACTATGAAAAATTAACGATTTTATAAACAACGTTTCGAGCGTAGCCCGTTACCAAGTCAGGGCTATGCTTGAAACGTCGTTAATAAACAGTACTATTTTGCTTAAATTCCTAGCTTTATTCTATTACAATGTAGAGCACGCAAGCTAGTATAAATTAATGTAGTATCAAATGAAGGTGGCAATTCATTAAAAATGCAATTATGCTAGTAAATGAAAACATTTTGCATGTGAGATCCTCAAGACAAGAAACAAAAATAATTTTTCTACTGCTTCTGAATCGTCATCCTAGTCCTCTTTAGATGGATAAGCGAAGCGAGAGCTGGATTTACAAGGATTGTCAAAGCTTTGAATCGAAGATTTAGCCCAACAAGCAAAGGATGGTTGTTTAATTGATAGCATGACAATAGCCTCAATGGTTAGCAAAGGAACAGCAATAAAACCAATCTGGTTGTAGCAAAATTGTCTTTAGAAGCTAACAGTGAGTATACCAAAGAAGGCGAAAACGCCATCAATAGCATCATCAACAGGACATCACAAACAATGAAGAAGGCTTGTAGCAAAACAAATCAAACAAAGCTCTACAAACGTGACAGTACAAGATAGTTTATGGATCCATTGTTAAACGAAACTGCCGCTTCGCAACATCATACTTTCGCGGCAATTTAGACGTTTGATGAAGATGGCCCGGCAATCTAACTAATCTAGCTACGACAAAAGCTAGCTGAAAGAATTCCTGGGAAGTACGGAAACATGCTTCAAGGGACAGGGAAAAGTAAGCCAAAACGACTAACCTACACGGAAGAGCAGAGGCCTGTATCGTGTAGTACAATACCCTACAACCTGGGAAGAGAACATACAGGAATACGGCAGATCCATTGGTTTGAGGCAAAGGGAAAATAGAAATCGTCTCCTTCGTGGAATTGACAAGGAGACGTCCCCCCCCAGCACTACATCCCTGCCGTTAGGGTCGATCAAGTTTCACAAAATATAAAAGGCATTTTGACAAAAAGGCGCAGATGCTCGGGCTATAGCTCTGGAAGAGCTATTTTTATAACTGGCACAGAGTCCAGATATCAAACGCTTTAGTAGCTGTGCGGAAGGCCAATGCATAGCTTGACAAGAGTGTATAAAGTGAGAGGAATGTACCGTTGTGTTGTGAAGATAACTTGATGTTCAAAAGAAAGAATACTGATGCAAAGAACTAGAAAGTCAACAATGGCTTGTAGCAGCGGTAGTATTTCGTGAGCACAACTGTGTTTTCCAATGAAGACGGATAGAAATGTATCCGCCTGGCCTTGCGTTTGCATTGCTCCGCTACTAAACCGGATACATTTGAAAACACGCTTTGAAAATAGAGGAAAAAGAAAACAGATCAAAACGAATTTGCAAATACGGAGCGTAAACACCAAAAGACGGGTAGTTTCAAAAACACAAACAAAGAGGGTTGTATTGCGGAGCAATGTTATTATCGATCATCCTTGCCAGGTGTCTACGCGGATAGCTTTCAAAAGGTTACGTTTTCATATCAATGCAAACAGATCAAAAGATTCCCGCCTACACGGAAAAAAGCGTTATCAAAAGACAACACTCTGATCGATGGGCCGCAAAAATGTAAAAAAATGTTGGATTCTTTATTTGAAAACTTATTTTTATGGAAAGCAGATCGAAATGAAAATAGAGTCAATATGGGAAAGCGTGCGCGACATTTAAAAAATATAAAGTAAAGTCCCTAAAAAAGTTAACTGAAGTTTTGCTCCTTCACAACAAAAATGTCACAACGTACGATTTGAAATCCCCATATGTTGAGCTTAAAGTGGAAATTATAAAAAAATGTGACGACCTTTATGCCAAACTCAAACTTGGAAATAGCGATTTGAAAAAAAATTCAACAATGAAATTACTGATGTTAAAATTAAAGGGGAGAATCATTGACATGCAAATATTTGGTACGTTAAAGAAATATATATAAGTGCCATAAGTGTATAGTACAGGACAGTTCTGAGTTGCAACTTCGAGATTCATGCTTAATGAGATCAATTGGCGACTCTAATACAAGGAATTACATCTCAGGAGAGAGGGCAGTGATGGCAACGGATTAATGTCAGAGTTAGAGCAACTCCTAAGGACTCCCGGGTCTAAGAGCTGCGAAATGGCCCGAAAGGGTTTGATTAGCATAAATAGAAGAAAAAGAAGAAAGTAGAAGAAATAAGAGCAATAATATGTATAGCTTGGAAAGAAAGGTGTCGACCAAAACATTATCTTCAAACATAACAAAATCTTTTATAGAAAGTTACCGAAAGCTGAAAAGGTAAATATATTCTATCTCTCAGAATATCAATTGTTTTGTGCACATGTTATTGAAACTAATAAATATTTTTTGTCCCCAATAAAAATAAGGCTATCTTCGAACCTAATTCAATAAATCTTGGTGTCACAGATCTTTGTGTCACTATCTTGGAACCTAATTCAATAAACCTTTGTGTCATAAACCTTTTGTGCCTTAGGTTTTCAACTAAGGCACAGAATGCGCCCTGTGACTAAGGGTCCATAGACGAATTTATTATTTCTATAGACATTTGATGGCTCGGTTAGGCCATTTAATTCAACCAGAATGAAAGCTAAAAATTGGTAAACGAGCCCAGATAGATATTTTGTGTGCAAATTGTCTGTTATATCAAGAGCCTAATATGATGTGTAAACTTTCAAAGTTGCACATGGGCAACAGTGAGGTAATATGTAAAAATCAATAACTGAATCATTGAATATGTTTTATAAAAATGGCTTAAAAAGAAATTAACAAACTACACAAAATTTCTTTGAATATCCCATACTCCAAATAACTTGATCGGTTTTACCTGCTATACTCAAATGAGAATCCGTTTGTTGAGAGACATAAACTTGGTATGTTGATGTTTTCAGAATCCAAGAATCAGTGACATACACACCACACCCACCAGAAACAGCATAGAATTTATCTATCCTTCGGAATTCAATGTTTATTTGTGCTGCAACTTCCATCCATGTTCTACCATGACTTGCAAGAGCCTAGAATTTTTTAATGGAAATATGACCAGAAACAGACAATCATAAATTTAAGAGAAATTAGCTGTCATTTTCAGGGTTTACAACTATAAACAAATTCAAAAGGATTTTGATTTCAGCTCTGGAAATTTGGCATAAACACTCATTTCCATTATCATGGCATTTCTGCAAACTCCAGCTTTTGTGACTGTAACTATCAAGCTTTCCTATGAAATAAATTATTTTAATTTTTAGCACTAGCAATGATCTTGTTTTATGTATCAATGTGTATCAAACATGATTGTTTTTTCAAAAAATTTTGTATATAGCTAAACAGATGAACTGTTTATGTAGGGCTCAGGGTTCTAGCAATTATTGATTTAACACATATTGTCAAACAGGTAAAGACTTCCTGTGGCTGTTGTAATTGTGTCATTGATTAAAAAGACAGATTGCAATATTTGTTTTTGGAAAGAGTTTAAGTTTTGATGCATTCAGCCATTCATTACTTCATTGTGTCTTGGCTATCTGAACCCAAGTTTATAGAGAGATTATTTTTGTGATCAACAAAGTTTACATTAACAATAGTGCAATTTAGATAATCAGACAATCCTGCATTTAATTTTAATATTTCATTGCAAATAAATGGACAACAAATTTTCTTAGACAGGTTGCCATAAATTATAAGACTAAATGATAAATGATAAATGAGTTTTCTTTAAAGATACCTTACATAGAGGGTGATGTTTCCAATTATTCCATGACCATAACTTTGCTGTAAGGATGCCACAAAAAGCACTGGATAACCCAATCAGCAAAACAATTGATGCAAATTGACCAGACTTAGCAGGGTCCAGTAGATCCACCTTTTCTGATGCAAAAGCAAGTCCAAAATAGTAACCTAATAAAATTATTAAAGTTTTTAAAGAGTGGTAGATAAACCAACCATATATTATGAAAATAGCTTGATAGCTAAGCTAATGGATGTTTCTTTATCGTTGCTTATAAGCAAACAATAAAAGAAGTTTTATCAAAGATTTAATTTGCTGCACTGTCTAGCATTAAGCTGTATCACTTGCAACAATAAATTGCAGCATATGTTAATCACAAAAAATCATTAAAAATTATTGTTTCTGACATACTAGAGAATCTTAGAGAAAAATGAAAAATGTTTAAGGCAGTGTGTATAAACAAGTAGCATGCTATGGGAGAGGTGTAGCTACAATCCCAGACAAAAATAGTTGAGACTTTTCATAAAAACTTATTGTTTTATCATTCCTTTGTAAAATAACTTACACCCCTCCCTCAATTCGATGTTGAATGCATGGTTTTGAAGAAAAAATGCTAGAACTACAAACTCAATATAAAAGTATCTTAGTCTGTAGATTGAACAAAACACAGAACAATCCAATCTATTTCTGCATTTCAGCAGCAGCTTCATATTTTTGCATACAATTACAATCTTAATCGATATACCAAATTAAATACCATAACATTTAGACCTAGCTTAGATTTAGAAGCTTTGTTGCTTTTGCATGCTTGCGTCAATCATGTGCTTAGTAATCTTGAGACAAGATTTTTATTTCCTATCTACAAAAACATATGACCTTACATGCCATGCACTCTATGTAATGATAAAAACTGTCTTGTCATAGCACACACTGAATTTTGAGGACCTCTAACTTGAGAATTCTCGAGAAGGACAATTTTATATTTTTTTGCCAGAAACGTTGCAATGTAAGAGCAAACATTATTCTTATTAATTCATCATAATATGATGGTTGGGCACTTGGCAGTAGCGTGTAGTACACTATTCATTTGATAGACATTGATGCGTGGTTCCCATTTCAAGGCAGGAAGCTTTTGGCAGGAAGAACTATACCACTAAAAAATACCTTCCACGTCATCAAATGTCACCATACCCTCGGTCCTCCTCGCTCGGCTGCTTCAACCTTTTTGGATAAACCTTTGAACTAAATAAAGTCCAATCATTCAAACTAACCGGAAAAAGGAGAGTCCTACCTAATGGAATAAAAGAATGAACAAGTACAGTGGCGGTGGTTCTTCTGACATGATACAATATAAAGTCGAAGTCTTCACTGCCCAGATACGATGAGAACATGGTTTGAACAGTTAGGCCAGCTGTCTCGAACTCCTTAGGAGACAAGATAAAACAGATTGCAATTACAGTATACACCAGTGTAAAGAATATCTCCGGCTCCATGATTTACAGCCTATTCTGAATTCAATGGGCGTATGTAGCCGACTCTTGAAAGATAAAAATGATACAAATTCTTGATGAATCAATATTTCGCGTGGCTACCATTTCCCATGTCGAACAAGTTGTTGTCGTTTTGTCTCGTTTCCAAGCATCGAATGCGTAATGTGGAGATGTTGTAAATGTTATATGTTTACCATTTATTTTCTTTCTATCAATTTGTCATAGAATTCTAAGAAGACTGCTCTGGGCGTAGCGGATTCAAAACTTTTTACAGGGGCTTGTTATATGGATCAAGGTTTGCCTGGTTAGGGGTGCTGCACTGCAGCCCTCCGAGTCCCTTTTGCCCCCTACGGACTCCCGCTTTGATTTTTTTCGTCTCGCGCTCTGAAAAAATTATGTACCTAGTTTCTAGCGAAGGTCACTATTAACACCTAGCACAGGGCAGGTGAAACGTATTTGAAAGTGGAAGGACCAAAATATTAAAATTGTGGATAGGTCTAGTGGAAGGCGCCATTTTTTGTCGAAAAGAAAATTTTAGAAATCCGGTAGTTCAGGGATGGTCAAAAACTGCATGTTTTATAGATTTTGACCATATCCGAAATAATATTGTCAAGCTTTCTTTCATCATTATATCTCATAATTTATCTATATTCTTATGTTGACATCAAGTAGGAAAGATCTTGAAAATTTTCAGAGTAACCATTTTAGTGCAGCGAGTATAATGTTTTACATTAAGTGAGGACACAAAATAAGTTTGAGAAGAGACATAGATAAAACACAGTTTGCAATAACACATGAACATAAGCCAGTCAACAGAAGAACTGTATGAATTCAAAGGGAAATATCAAGCAAATTCGTAAAGGTGGGGTATCATTTTGTCAAACTTTGTGAAGACTCTGATTGTGAAACTTTTTAGGACCCACTGTAGATTTGGAAAAACTTTCAAACTGGGCTGTTCAAACGGATTTTCGATAGAATCTATCATAACGCCTAAAGTTTCAAAGTACGGCATGCTTTGCCCTTTTTCAAGTATACCTCTAACATTGAATATTTAATATTCCTTCAAAGCTTTCAGACTGGGAAGCTTTCTTGACGATAGTTTCAGAAAAAAAATCTGCTTATTCCTCGCTTCTCGTGTTCTCAAAAATTTCTTTCCTAGCAGTTTCCTTCAGTTTATAGCTGATATTCTTCTCTATTTCCGTAAGAAGTTTGTCTGTTAAAAAATAGACTTTGTGAGCAAGGGTCAGGTTCAGGCCAAACAAAAAACGAATTTCCGGCACCAAGCTATCTGGCTTTGGCATCCGATCTATATCCTAAAGGTGCTACAATGGCTTTGGTGGTCACTTTTTACAAGGCTACAAGGCTACAATACAACGTTTAACATACGACTTGGATAATGATACGCCTTTTTCAATCAAATTCTCATGATCTAGTCTTCTCAGGGGCGGGTCCAGAGGAAACTTGAAAGAGGGGCAGTTGGTAGTGGGGGCGCTGAACATTTTCAAAAATTGGTGACGAGAGTAGGCTGTATACAATAATTTCATATCAATTTTCAGAATAAACAACATATCTTTGAGGTAATCCTTGAAGCAAATTAACCTATCTTTCTCAGAAACTTTTTCACCTGATTCTTATTCTTCAAAAGGGGCGCACAATTTCCGAAAAAGGGGCGCCAGTTTTGCTTCAACCCATCGAGGAAGGGGTAACTGCCCCTAGCTGCCCCCCTTAAATCCGCCACTGAGTCTTCTAAATAATTTAATGGTGAAGCCGAATTGAAGACTACAGTTTGTTTCTACTTTTGCCTAAAAAAATTTGCTTTGTTCTGCAGAAAATGGGGTGCATGACCATGCAGAGTGTATAGTGCAGTTTAAACAAAGATGTTACACTCTTATTTGCTATAAGAACAATATGATATCTTCCGAGGCTCAATGCTTTTATTTTAAATAATTTAAGAATGATTCAAAATTGATTTTTTACAACCATATTCTATAAATTAGCCTGTATCCATTTTTATTGGCTTGGTTGTTAAAATCTGCCCTGTTTCGCAATATAAAAGAAAACATTAAAAGATACATCTCTCTCAGGTTTTTGGCGAATCAAGCTTCGATGATCAAGTGTGTTCTTATTATAAAAAAAGAGTGTACTTGTGAATGTGAAGTGAAAGCAGGAAGGGGTTATTGCCCTGGAGACGTCACTGAGCCCCATTAAAAAGTTAGTGTCCTCTTCTTAAGAAAACTATTTACATTCGATTTGCTACTTACAATATCTGCGAGGCGCTATATTAGGTCAAGAGCATTAAATAATGCCATTTACTCGGAAAACGTTAGGTTTGAAAAACAAAAAGGAAGGCTGGATGCTTCCCCTTCTTGTGTATCATTTCAATTAAATTTAAAAACGAAAGGGAAAGGGAGTTTGCAAGCGGAAACATTATTTTAACAAAAGAAGAAAATCGACCTTGTTTCTTCGATATCATCGTTTCTGTAGGGAGAAGTAGTTTACTTACCATGTGCGCATATGTTGGTCCGGAAAATGCATGTTTGGGTTGGCCCGAGTTTTGTATAACACTTTCATTGTCAATGACGACATGCGGGTTTGAAATATCATAAAAGCGTACACAAAACCAACCGAGCAAAACCACTGGAACAACATGGAAGAAAGATACGCAAATGACCTATGTCTACTTTTTACCTTTTCTAAACTTATTTGATCAAGAAGCGCTGTTATTCTATGGACTTTCCGTTTGATCAAGATCACATTCAAGCTGGAAACTTTAATTGGCTTTCCTGTACAGGGCGGTCCCCCGATGATTGAAGTGTTTCAATGAGTATAGTTCGACTGTGTTTCTTGGCTGTGAAGTTTTTTGGTACTTGCTGATCCTTGCTGATCCGAGTTGAATCGAAAACTGTACACAAAAAGCCTAAGCGAAACGAAAATTGATATCTGATCTTTGCGAAAATTTCGGTATCAAAATATCTTCTTTTATCTTACCGTGGTTAGTGTATATGCATGGTTAGAGTTGGTTGGGTTTTAGGCTAGGCCAGTTTCAAAATTATCTTGTCGACTGCTCAGTCCACAAGTTGAAAAAGGTCGAGTTATTGCGTCTCGAGTTTGTGAAACCAAAGGAAATTGAAGCAGACTATAAACGTTAATGCTTGCGGTTAAATCGTATTGTTGACAAATGACGTGCTGTTTTGAGCCAGGAAATATGTGGTATACCTGATCTGAACTGGGTTCTCTGTGATCCGACTGACCTGCTTGAGGAAGGGCGAGAAGGAGCAGTCGAAAATAATAAAAGCAGACGGCCGACGAAGATGAGTGACTACTTGAGAAAAGGATATCTACTGAAATGCCCGCAAAAAGGCAGAGCCTTCAAGGTAAATATTTTGTATGATATGGTAAATTTTGTTGGCGTGTTGGTTTCAAACAGATCATGATGTCTGGCGCTGAAAACAAACTCAAATGACATTGCTAATTTTTTTGTTCTCAGCATAATCAAATTAGTTGCTCGATCTTTCCTAGATCAAAAGTTCTTTGAGTTAATCGTGACTGCAAAGTCTTTCGTTGTATGCGTGTCTGCGCCAATTTTGGGTCCCATTTCAGGTCTTGATTCTAGTATACTGCTAGTAAATTTGTCAATTAATTTTATGCTTTCCGTTTAAAATTGCCTCATTTTGGTACCAACCTTAGCAGACCTTTCTCTGTACTTATTTGTTTTATCTCTGTGGCCAGGAATCTTATAGTAGAGACGCTAAACATGTCAGCAAATTTCCTAACTTCTTGAATTTTGAAGAGCTGAAAACATGTGAAATGGTAGAAATATTTAGGATCATAGGAAATAAGACAATTTTTGCAAACAATAGCCAAAATCAAGAAATTATATCCATAAAGCCAATAAACATTTTTTTGTTACATTTAATTTTCACGGAGAAAGGAAAGCTAACCGTATTTTGGAAAGTTGTTTATCAGGCAGCCATATTCTCAGGCTTACTAGAAGTTTGTTTTTCTACACACCATGGGGCTGAGTGTTTTCAGCTGATTATAGATGGGGTTCCAAAATTAGGTTTGTTTGATGTGGGAAAAGATCATGATTTGCTTACTTTCTAAGGCTTATCACTGTGCCTGCTGTGATCTGGTATGTGAACATCTTTTCAGCATTCACATATCAGGATTCCTAAGAGGAGCTTTCATCACTGTCTATAGTTCTTTTAAAAATTATTTCTGGCCTTTGTTTTTTGGGCATGCAAATACAATACCTGCCTAGATAATTATAAGTTTTACAGAAAAGGATTAAATGAAAGAATGCAGAAAGCATATTTCTTCCCAGAATGACACGAAATACCACACAAATACAGGATATATGTATGACCCACAGCATATTTTTGCATAAGCAGTGGCATAATTGAAAACAATAAGAAATGAATGACCAGGTAGCCCACCATCTTGACTTGCATCAAATCCCAAATCTTGTTGGTAACTGGCAAAGATATAAAACGAAAATCCACTGCATACAATATGTTTTTGATTAAAAATCACAGAAAACTTTGTGCTGAATTAACAAACAATAACATTAACACTTCATGATATGATTGTCAGTCCTGATAAGATTTTAAGCATTGGTATAAAGAGATTTAATATTCTTGATACAGGATACATTTATTTAAATACAGCCTTACAGGTCTTGGGTATGTTATGAAGGTATGAAAACATTTGTTGTAGTCACAACCTGCTAAGTGGGCAACTATTAGGTGATCTTTTTAAATTGATAGTTGGTGATGAATAAGACATACAAGTTCTTTTATAAATGTTTGTTGCCTTGTTCTTTTATAAAGATTCTTGGTAACTTGTTAATTTAATGTGACTTTTTTGCATTATGTTAAACATTTTGTCAGTTGGGTGTCTTAGGCAATAGCATTATTTTTCCACAATTATCTGTGCATTTCAATATATAATTTTGGATATGAATTGCCTTTTTCTGTTCTTTTATTACATTAGGAGAGTAGGACCAGTTTTATTTTTATAAGCCCATTGTGTTTGTTTCAGTTTTACGAAGATATTAACACAAGATGTTTCTTTGTATTGGTCCAGGCTCCCACCTCAAATAACAATCTTTCGAAATTATCCTTTTGTTTGTAAGAAAATTTTAGGACACATTTTTTCTTATCAATGTTGGGTGGTTGTTTCTGCCTCACCTGTACAAAAATAAGGCAAATTAAAAAATAAGCTTTGTTTGAAACAATTGTAAAATTGGCAATTCAGTTTTACAGTTCTAAATCCAGTATTGAAGGAAAAGATTTTTCTTAGTTATCTGCAATAATATATGTGTATTTACTTGTTAGAACCTTTTTTCCTGACACCTTGTGTAACTTTTGAGTAAACAAAGATTGTTTAAAGGCAAAGATAGACGGTTAAGTGTAATTTTTGAATTGATATATGTTAGTGTTCCAAACTCAGGCAGGTGTTTGAGGCGATCAAATTATAGAGGGGGCCATAAGGGCCAATTTGTGACAGTTGGAACTTAATGAGAGAAACAGTGACCTGTTGAGGCAGGTTTATTTCTAGGAACTTTCCATTTTTATTTTAAAAAAATCAATATAATTTAGCCCCTCCATCTTAACAGTATAGCATTAAATACAGGGCACATTTCTCACTATGTCTAACAGTGGGTGGTGGCTCAAATTAGCTAGGGGGCACCAGCCTTTTTGGCACCCCCTAGAGTTATGCCCATTGGCTGGCAAAATGTGATTGAAAATACGGGGGAGGGGGCAATTATATCATTGTTCAGGGGTTTCATGAAGGCCCCTGCCGTGGTTGGCAGATAGAAACATTTTAAAAGCATACATGTGTCTTGATTGAGCCTTAATGTCTTTTTGAAGGTCGTTTTTGTATAAAGTTTGTTTTATTTTGTTTTTCACTAACAATTTTGTGGTTTTTCATAAAATTTCTTAGCAGTTCCTATGCTTTTAAAAGCACTTTTTAATTTTGCATCTATCATTTTACAAGCATTTAGTAAAAACCTTTTTTTTTCTCATCGAGTACCTGTCCGATTAACTCATTAAGAAATTTTACTTGTCTGGATTTTCTTCAAGGAACCCGTATTGTTTTGTAATAGCGGGCTGGTAAATCGGCGCCGTTGCTGTGGCCATGTTTTCATGTCATTTTCTTTAGACTGTAATTACTACCAGCCCATTTATTGAATTTTAAACGAACTCGTTGTTCCAATACGTTGGTTTTCTGACGTCATAACAGGTTTTGTAATGCGAACTTTTCAAGTAGGACCATGCTGAAAACTCGTTATATTGTTTCATCTGGCTTTTATGTGCAGCGCCACCATATCACACGTATATACATGGTTTTCCTTGCTTAAGCAGGTGTAAGAAACCTTGGAAATTGAACTTCTGACTGGCAATTACTTGATGTAATTAGATCTATTTCTTAGTTTCAAATATTCTACGTATAACCAAGATAAATGCTGAATCCCATGGTTTGCTGGTATAATGAATTTTCATTTGTGGTTTCAATCAGTTTGATCGCATCCTAGTAATTTTATCATAAGTCTTTTTATGAATATCTTAAGCCAACTTTGAGTATTGTTTGATAGCTCTTCTTTATCAGAATCCAATCCGAATCACTTAAAATTTATATTCTACAGAAATGGAACTCTCGATGGTTTGTACTGTACGGCAACAGCCCTCGTGGAAGGGTGCGGCTTGAGTACTACGACAACGAGAAAGCTTGGCAACAAGAACGTGGAAAACGAATAATACCGCTTGTGCACTGTGTCAGCATAAAACCTGTTTGGAACAAAGACTATAACAATGTTTTAGAAATCGTCACATCGGACAAAACATTTTACTTGGGAGCAGGAAATAAGGATGAAGAAAAAGCTTGGTTCAAGTCTCTTTGCAAGGTCGTTTTTGGCAACGCAAATAGAAATAGTATCGTTCAAGTGTTAGACCGGCCTGATCCTTTTGATGTTGGTTACAACAGTCTTGATCGAGGGACAGATACCGAAAGCAACCTTTCAAGGTGTCAAAGCAGTGCCTTAGGGCATAGTTCCCCACAACTGTCGAAGATTATGGGGAGTCGAGAGAAACTTGGCCTGAATACAACTGGTACAAGTGATTTGAATATTACTATAAGCAGCACAGATACGATTCCAAGAAACGCAATTTCATCGATGAGTGGGGAGATATCAAGTTTGGTTTCTTTTGAGTCTGGTTTTGATGATGCAGCGAGCGTTGTCTCAAGTGTTACTGAAGGTAAATTAAAATTATTTTAGCTCTTACGTTCGCGCGTTGGTAATACTTTGTCGATTTTCATATCACGTGTCTAAAACGTGTTGTTAAATTAAAGATCATGTAGTCAGAAGTCGAGAGTTCTAAAAAATCTATTATTTTGTATCTAGACTTATAAGTCTATAATTATCAAATCTGCGGTGTCCCCACTTCAGTCGTTGCGTTGAGCCTACTTTCTGCTTGCTTGCATATGCTCAGGCATAGATCTGGCTTTTCTTCTCCCTCTTTGTATTTTTGATTATAGAAAACGCTAGAAATATTTGAGCAATAGAGCACTTTGAGCAATATGTGTACTTTTTGAGCAAATGGTTGATCATCTTTAATAAAAGAATTCTCTGAATTTTTTTTCGTCTTATTTTCAAGCTATACACAGATTCTATGTAACTGTAAGACCAACTATTGCATCACAAGAAGCAGGCATGACGGGACACTACATGTTGCAAATCACTCCAACAATGCTAACATTGCTAGAAACTGGAACTGATAACCTCATAGCCGAGTGGCAAATTCAGCATTTGCGTAGGTATGGTCGTGGCAGGACAAAATTTTCCTTCGAAGCAGGAGACAAGTGCCAAACAGGAATCGGTGTTTATACATTCAGTACAATGGAAGGCGATCAAATTTTCCACTTGGTTCATATGTATGCTGAGAGGCTTTCATCACTTCAGAGAAAAGATCAAAAGGAAAAGCGTATCTCTTTGCCAGCTGACACTTTTAAACCTCTAAGTGAGACAAGGCTAAGAGCAAAGTCTGAAGGCAAACTTGTAGACAGCACAGATGATGTGTCTGTTCAAGTATTAACCGATAGTTTAGGGCACATCTCCACTAACATTAAGTCTGCTTCATCAACTCAGAATCCTTTCCCGTCAAAAAACAGGGCTTGCACTCTTGATGTGATAAAAGATCACGAAGGGGGAGAGAAAACGAATCATTTGTATGGATCCCAAAGGCCAAGGTCTAATACCGATATTTCAATTGAAAAAGAGGCTGTAAGACGTATACTTGGATCTCAAGACAATAACCCCATTGGAGAATCAACTGAAAGCTTGTTGCAAAATCCGGCCAACTACGATTACAGGAATGGTTTAGAAGCAACGAAATCACAACCAGTTGATGTAGGTCACAAGATAAGGTTGGATAATGAGGAACGCCCGAACAAAGAAGAAAATATTGATGTTAGTTGTGAAAGGAACAGTGAATTTAATGAGAATAAGTTTCAGGAGGAAAAGTTGAGCACTGTGACGGATTATGCACAAAACGAGCTTACAGGTATTGAGAGCAAAACCGGAAAAGATGAATTTCAGGACGAAGAACCAAGGAATATTGAAATGACAGAATCAAAAGCTCCTGCTGATACATTGCTAAATAAAGAGCAAGCTAATATTGATAATATAAACGGAGATACACAAGCATTTGATAAAAACGAAAATGAACCTATTTTCCATACAAATACCGAAATTGAAAATATAAGTGTGGACGAATTGACATTCGATAAAGGAGTACCTTACCAGGTTGATGGGCCATCTAGCGACATTAAAACAGACACAGAAAATACTCAGGCTTCCACGTATGAGAAAAAAAGCGAGCTGAATGAAGAAGATGCCAGACTGAGATCTTCCAAAAGACAAAGATCAAGAAAACTTGCACAGAGGAACAAAAGCTTTGAATTCGGATCAATGTCAGAGAAAACCTGTGACAGCAAAAAACATTCTGGTTCATTTTCGTCATTTGATTATCGCAAATACAGGGAGAATAACGAACCTGTCTATAAAATCGGTAAGTTTATGTTTGTAGACTGCTTGTTTATTAATGCCAGACAAGACTCTTTATCTTGTAGCAGTAATAACTAAGTTTTTTGTTCTCAGTTGATTTTCTTCAACTGATTTTGAATTCGTATGTTTACTTCAAGATATCAAAACAGTAATTCCTCACAATGGAACTCAAAAAATAAATACAAGATAAACGCACAAAAAAATCACAAAAGAAAAGGATTCATTTTTATTCAAAATTAATTTCTTCAATGTGCAGTTTTGATTTTTATTTGGTCTGAGCTTTTATGACTTCAAATAAATTTTTTTTAGAAATGTTTCTAGTAATTTTTTAGAGCATTGATATTCGATTTTTGATATGGTATCATGTTCTGATTTTACAAGTAATAAATTATTTTTTATTGATCCTGGAAACCTAATATCGCTCAAAGAAGACAGTGTACAATTTATTTTCTGTTTTTATAAAGGTGCTGTAGGGTTTAAGTTTTATGTCTCGGCTTTGATTGTAGAGAATTAATTTTTTCATTGATATATTTTTTATTTTGCGTTTAAAATCCAAACCCGACAATTTGACTGCCTGATAATGCGATTTGGGAAAATGTTTCATCTTTCAAAATTATGCATGTATTGACCAACTTTCAATGTCTTGAACTTTTGAGAACAAATATTGGTTAAGCAGACGTTGATTGTGGCTATCGATGTCATCTCATGCCGTTACCGCAATTGACCAATTAAGCGCTCAGGACTCAAATAAACGCCCAGTCCGAATAAGCGCCTAAAAATTAGACAAAAATGTTCTTATCAGTCCCCTTGTATTCAACTAAACTCTTGTATTCGAATAAGCGCCCGTCGTTATAGTTTCAAAAATTTAACAAGCGCCTAAAATTATTCTGAATTCCTCGCATTAAGTTCGCGAGGTCAGGTGGTTCCATTAAACATATTTTGAACAACACATGGATGTTTTTCCCTGCACTTATTGGGAAAAATTGCATCATGTCTATGATCAAACTTTCCCCAGGGTATTCTCGTTAAGCCCCGGTCAAACGAACTGAACATTTCACTGAGCAACACTCAACATTGGCAAACCTTGCTCAGCTCTGCTCAGCGTGCTGCTCAGTGCAGGGTGGTCAAACAAACTGAACATTGCACCCAACAATTCAATTAACAAAGAATGATCAATGCGAGTGCCTACGCAATGAGAAATGAAAATTTTGCATAAAACTATTGCAAATCAAAAGGTATTCTTAATGTTGTCGAAATGGCGAGCTTTCATGACGCAATTAAATGGTTTTATTGAGCACAAGGTCAACAAAAACCCTCAATGTTTTTGAATTCACCGCGCGAGCTAGGCATGCGCGAATTGAGCAAAGTTCAGTTGGATGGTCAAACGAACTGAGCACCGCTCAACAACACCCCGAACAAAAGAAATGTTTAATGACTCTCTCAACATTTTTTGTCGCCGTCAAACATCTCTGAATAGGACTGAGCAAGACTGAGCAGGGCTGAGCAAAGCTGAGCAAGTGGTCAAACGAACTGAACTTTTTACTGAGCAGGCATGTTGAGCGTTGCTCAGTGAATTGTTCAGTTCGTTTGACCGGGGCTTTACGCGCGGTGAAAGATTTTTGAAAATCTTCAAGTCAACTTTGGCTTGGAATATTAAGTACAGAAAGAGGAATTGTCACAAGATAATGTATCCTTCCTATATAGGTTACTTTTTGCATTCTCTGTATTACACTGTGGTATTCGGAGTTATTTAGAGTAAGGCGTTTATTAGATGAGGCGTTTATAAAAAAGAAGCTTCTATGGTATAGTACTTTGTTGTTAAACACGTTATTTGAGTAGGTGATGATTGAAGCAACAGAATTGGTAGTTGCAGTCGTGTTTTATGAAATTTGTAGTTTTGCAGGTAAATGTAAGACATAACTATTGTCGTCATTTATTTCAGAAAATGGACCAAGGAAATTACAGAGATTTGCATCTGTAAAGAAAACTGTTGAAATGTACGAGAAAATTTCTTCAGCTGCAACTGAGGCCAGACACAAGAGTTACACTCTATGGAAAAGAAAGTCGTTGAGATCAAGTCAGAAACCAGAAATATCTAAGCGGACAAATGATTCGAATATGTTACAGGAATTGTAAGATCTTATTTATCTTGACACCAGTCTTTGGTGTCAGATGGTGTGCGGGTTTCCATCCAAACTTACACAATTTAGGTATATATATAAATATAGATTATGCATTGACATGAAGCTCTTCGTTGTATTTTTAGCAATTTCCTCCTTTTCCAAGATATCTTCCAACTGTCAAAAAATACGTCCGTTTAATCCCAACTTCAAAACTAACAACTTGTAGAATCAGCTGTTAAAATCCACTGAGAGTAGTTATTTTTTTACATGAATTCAAATGAAAGTTTGTCTTTTTTAAGCACACCATTCCGTATTGTGACACCAAAGCAATTTTTTCTCACAGTTATGCAGTCTTTTGTATAATATATGTTGTCTTTCATTCCTCTCTGAACATTTCATTCCCTTCAAGCTTGAGACAGTTAATGTTCTGTTATAATGTGCCTTCTTAATATTTTAAAGAAACGTTAATATATTTTGTGGAGATTAGATAAAAATGTCTTATTTTAGAGGGAATATTCTGGTATATTTAACCCTAAGAAAGCCGTTATCGAAGCCAAGTTTTGTGTCACCAGGAAGTCGTTTTGACCACAATATTATCTCGAATGAACAATGCGGTAAGGTTGTATGATAATCCAATTTAATCGAAAATTGGGAAGTGACTCTCGTAGTTTATGAGACAATGTTTATCGTTGACTATGTCCTTCCGTAGGGTACTTTCTAGAAGTACCAAGTAATTTGCTTCAATTTATGCTCTGCATATTTGATACGTAAAATTCATACCATTTAAAATCTATACCGCATTGCTTTCATTCTTTAATTTATTTCCTAAGTACTGTGATATGTTTGTCTCCTCAGTTTGTGCACCAAAAGATGCATTATGTCTTTAGAGACATCCTTTTTAATGGCTCCTGCGCTTTCCCCGACAATCATACCGCCATCTACCTCTTCTTAAAGATTACGTTCAATTGGTTGTGGGTTATTGCACCCCGCATCCATTCATGCTTTTGTTGATATAGCATAGTTCGTTAGATTGTTGACTCTGTTCATGTAGTTGTGAATTAAAGTGGTTGAAATTTAAGCAGTTCTCGTTGCATTTGATTTATTGCTGCCGACGAAGCAATAATAGGGGTTTTGACTTTTATTTTAGAGTATCCATGACAATTAGCTTTATATATAAAGATAGGTGACACTTAATGTACAAAATTAGACGCTAGGCAAATAGAAATTGTAGTAAGGGAAGAGTTTACTATGTATGCTGCTTATTGAATCTTAGTTCATTGACATTGTTAGAAGCCTTGTGAAATTATGTATGAAGAAAAATCTTGATAGCAAGTTAAAAGTTAAAAGCAGTTTTCCTTCAAATACATCTCTTTATGTTAATCTAACTGGCTGCAAATGCAGCTAAAAGATGGCTTCTTGCGTTGATGCTACTTTGAAAGAAACTCATGTCGTATGTAGCAATATTAAGTTACAGTTCCACCACTAATAAAAACAACTGTTGTGATCTGTAGCGTTGGGAAGGGCAATTGTTTCAAGGGCAACGTAAAATCTTTAGGTGCATGCATCTAATGCTGTGATTCTCTGAAAGCTAAATGGCTCCTGAATGGAGCATTTGTCAATGTAAGAGAGAATGTCGAGCACTGAAGGTGCGCAGGATACTTAAAAAGTGAGGAGAAGATCATCATGTCTAGACCTTGTCTTAACTTTCCATTATTTTATGACGGTAGGCAAGTTGCTTAGGCCACTTAAAATGGTTTCCACCAATGCTAGTTCATTTTTAAGGCTGTGTCAAACTTTTTCATTTCGGTGTAAGTGTTATCGTTTCCCAAGTCTGATTTTTTCAGCCTATGCTTTGTTTCAAGAAAGATGAATTTCTATCGGAATGTAAGATAATTTGAAATCGGATTTGTCGATATCTGTTATTCCATCTTTCAGGGAGTATCCTATAGACGCTTTTCCTGGAGTTTCAAATAGCGCTGTCTGAATTTACAAGACCGTGATTAGTGGATAAGATGACACAGTATTAGGCCTTTCTCGCATATTAAGCCTCTCGGTAAAGTCAAATATTATCGGGCTTAACCGCGTATTCTAGAGAATTAGCATGATGACCGTGAAGTTTGTAAGGAGAGTTTACGAGGAGATCTCAGATCACAGACTTAAACAGAGAGTAGCTAAAAACATTTTTTCGAAACTACGATAGTTAATTGCAAGATACTTTTTCTTGGGTGCAAAGGTGTGGAACGATCAATGGCGTAACGCAGTGGAGAGGATTACATGTTAGTTTGATAACCAAAGGCCCCCGATCGAAAGGGACCTCAAAATTATTGTCATATCAATTTGCTTAAAACTTCCTTCAAGCCCAGCTTATTTTCAAAAATTTTAAAATTTCCTTTTCAAAAATTTTAAAAGTTCTTTAACTGAAGCTTCTATATATCTTTTTCTGTTTAACACCATTATGTCATTTTCTAGCAATCCGTAGATAGTCTCAATTTTTTGCCCAAGGACCAAGGGTGTTTCCGTTAAGCCAATGGGAACGATACTCCAAATTTATTGAAGCGAAATCAAATCGACCACCCTTCCAACTGACAGCAAGAATAACCTATCGATGAGATAGTAAAGCAAAATTTGCAAAACTCCCCCAAACATGAACTATTGGAACATCAAATTCATCTCTTCTTACAATTAGTATTAGTAGTTTTGCACAACTATTACCCTTTATATTTGAAACGTCTGAAGAAAATAAACTGAAATGAAAATATGTAGCTGTTAATTGCATTAGAAAAGAAACAGAGCAAAATATTGATCAAAAGAAAAGTAGTAATTCGTAATTAGCATGGTCTTTCACCAGGAAAAAAACTTTGATAATTGCAATCATCTTGTTCTGGGTCTGTTATTGTTATTTTTCATACTAGTAAAGAAATGTGCTGGTGAATGTAAAAAACGAATAGTTTAGCTATCAAGAAAGGTGGAGAAACAGGAAGCCTAAAGGACACTTTGAGCCATCCGCTTTTCGAATACTCTATATCAAATCAAATATCTAATATTTAATCTCTAATAAAGAATCTAATCAACTAGATCTTCATTGAATCAAACGTCGCTACCACGTAATTACTATTTTCTTGGGTACAGAATTTTTTATCCTGTGAAATGGTCAAGTCTCTCTTGCCTGATTGAATTAAGAAATTCCAAAAAATTGTGCCAAAAGCTGTCTCAACGAATTCAGAAAGTAAATATTTCTACATATTCTTTCCACATTAACTGAACCACTTGTCAATCAAGCTATGACATTCAGGGTAAAATGACTTTAGTAACTGTAAGCAAAGGGTGTCACGGGTAAAAAAATGGGCATGCCTGCCATCCAGGTGTTTCTTATTGATACTTCCAAGGAATTCTGGTCAAGTCATAATAGTGGTGTTGTAAACCTTCTTTGGGTTAGAGTTTGGTACTAAACAAAGGCTGAATGTGTAGATTAATTTCAGTACACGAGTTAAAATATGTTTTCTATAATATGGTAAAATTTCTGTGTATATTGACCAAGAATGAATTGATTATTTATCTATTTGTGTATGTGTATGTATAATGTTTGAATGATTCGCCATACTAATTGTATATAAAAGTTTTAAAAGTTAAAAAGGATATAATACAATGATTTAGTTCAAAAACCAAAGATAAACGCCCCTAATTTCAGTGGCAGGGACAGCATCAAAATATCAAGCTGACCTTAAGTCCATAAATAGAAGACCTTGAAAATAAAAGTTATCTTTTCTTAATCTAAATCAAACGAGAGAAGCATGAAAAAGCTGGGAATTGTCTCTAGAACACAAAGTCTGGCAAAGTGTCTATCGTTCTTCCGGACAATACTCTGAAGCAGTGAAAGCCTTTCTCAGAAAACCTGAAAATATAGTGGGCTTTGGGTGTTGTCCGTGTGACCAGTGCCGCCGAGAGGGGCAAAGACCTCGAGATCTGGGGGCCTCATAAAATACTGAGTTCCATTTCATCAAACGTAGCAGAAGATTGCTCAAAAATAACAAATCGTTTTAAATGACTGCAAGAAATGATGGCAAGAAATATTCTGAAAAGCATTTTAAGCTAATCTGAAGGGCAAGGTTGCAAAAAACATCTGCTTGCTCGATTCCCAGGAGCCCTCTCCTTATAGTTACCTTCATCGTTGCTTTATTTGAGAAAATATACTGCTTTTTGCTTGTTTGGCTTGAATGTATTTTTTCTGCATCACATAGCTGCCAAAGGTGGTAAGCCCCTATAGCTTGAGAGGCCTTGCAGCTGCTCATATTGCATACAATGAGCTGCTTATTCTTACTGGTTACTTTTTTGAAATGTTTTTCAGCTTACTTGATGGAGCATGCGTGCTCATTACATTCTTGTGTTCATCAATTTGTATAAAATTCGCTGCCAGGCTTGATCAGTGCTTCCAAGCCTTTTTATCAAGCAGAGACATCGTTCCACAGCACTCTAGAACGGTTGCTGTCTGGCCGCACTTATCCCTCCATGATGCGCCAATTGCTGTAGTTAACATACTTAAGGGCTTAGTCATCTAGTAGTTGTATGGGTTGGCTAATTACATACTCCAATTAATTTGACGGAGCCCAATGAGGTTCATTGACAGAGGCGAATAAAGTTAAAGTTTCTTGTTTGAATAAACCTGACTCATAAGAAATAAACAAGATTGTGTTGGAAATCTACAAATATTTTTGACAGTTGTTGTTAATTATAATTAAGGCTATAAAGCATGCACCATTATAATCACTAACAATGGTAAAAACTTGGAGCACAGCACCATATAATGTTCGGACGGCAGGGGTGCTGTATCTTCAAGGTACATAAAGTGTGCCAAGTTATTTTGGCAGTGGAAGCTGGCTTTCCTAACGACATTAAAATAAACATACGTGTTACCTGTGATTCACTATTGACCATTGCAGTCTTCGAAATGTGGCCATTGGGTCTCTGGGTCAAACCAAAGTAACCCTAGACAAGGGTATGGAATCTTCTCTTTTCTTCTGGACGCACACGTTGCAATATTATCACCCGCAAACTTTTTCATCATTACGCTGTTCGCCAGCGAAAATAAAAGGTCCTGCGTACAATTTCTTGTTGCCACAGCTGTAGCTGGGAGCGCCTCAACGTAGCATTGGCTATAGACTTCTTAGTTTATCTGTTTACCTATTTTAATTCCAATCAGTATTAAGCCACCAGGATTTGCAATGTTTATTGCCTGCCTTGAATTTGCCCTGATTTCTTTCAAATCATACAGTGCACCAGCTATTGGTTTTTAAGTCTATTGGGGCAAACAATTTGTGTATCTTGAAACCTCTTTCTTTGGGTGCACTCCAGGGACACGATCTTTTTGATGTATTCAACGCGTAGACTGTGACCAGAACATGTCGCTAATTACTTGACCAACATTCAATTGGGTCCCAACTGTAGTGATGTTCTTCAATTGACGTCCTTCCTCGCAACACCGTTGAGAATTCAAAATTATATAATATCATAACTGGGTTTGAACATCATAAAGCTGGATTTTTCAAATCTAATTCGTTTTGTCTTTTTCTTCTTAGTACACTAGCTAACATGTTTCTTTTAAAACTTACGTTTGTAGCTTTAAATTAATAGCATAATAAAGGATTAAAAAAAAAGGCCAAGTAAATGAGAGTAGAAAGCTGTAGCTGACAAATTTGTAACGAACTAATTTAGTTGCAAAATAACTGGAAAAAAAAAAATTTCAGGGTTGACTAAAATTCCTTTTTGCTCTTGACCAAGCTATTGCTGGGTCTTTTTCAATTTTCAAAAAGTTCCAAACTTGCAACAAAATACTGAAATTGACAGCTTGAGAAGGTTGAACATCATAGGCTATATATATAAAGAGACATTCTGCAAAACATTAGAAGCCTCTAGGTTACGTGAGGGGAGGGTGTAGCCAGGGTAAAAACCTCAGGGTCATTGAAAATTTCACACCTATAGAGGAGAATGGGTGAATATGGGACATTTGTGTTAGAAAGCTCGTAGCTTTATAACCTCTAGATGGAGAATATAAAATTGAACGGAATCAACTCATATTTCTTGAAGTCAAGAGAAGTGTTCACTTTGTCATAGCTAACAAACCAAAATGTTGAAAACCTTCCACTGCATACTTATTCTTCTTTACGTGCTATCACTCATGGTTGTAGAGGAGCATATTTCGGCCCTTCAGTTTATTGATTACTTAATTTGTTCAGCTGAAAATAAAAATAATGGATATTAGAAATGCTCCTCCGCAACCACAGTCAATACTCGAGAACCTTACAACTTGACCTCAGCCTAACGAAATGTGGTAATGAATTTTTCGCAGTTTTTCAAACGTAACTAAACTCAGCAAAAGATCAAGTCATTGTCTCTTGGTTTTAACGTGTCGCGACGTGTTTACAGCAGAACAAGTGCTACCAGCCCTTCAAGAGATGGCTCTTTAGTATAGATTAACTTTTGGCAAAAAATGCCAAGTATTAAGTAATAAATTACCAGTTAAGTCTCTTTTTATACCATTTTAGCCCTTCACTTTTTTTAGACCCTCCACTTTTCTCAACGCTCCGCGGTGTCTGCACTCACTGATCGCATTGGAGCTTGGCGGCCTTGCTGCGATCGTAAACCTTTCTTCACCGCTGAACGCCAAGGCATTTTTCAACACTGTCAATGGTGGGGCAATTGCCCGCCTCTTTGTATCCCACTACTGAAGAGAAAAGTACAGCCTCTAAATACCTGTATCTAGTAGCAATGAATAACCCAACAATGCTAATAGTACAAGTAATCCCTATGTCCAGCATGGATACAACGAATTCAAGCCTAGTAAAGAATCATTTTTGCATGTTACCGATGAACAGTATAAAGTTTTGCCCAAATAGTTAGAAATCCTAATGAGGTCATCAGGCAACAAAATCATTAGTACCTGAAGAGACAAATGCGTTGATGACAGGTTGCCTCTATATACCCGTATACAACTATATGTACCGGATTTGTTAAAGATTTTCACGGTATATCTTCATTAAAGGGCCCATGCCACGAATTTCAAAGTGAGGGGCCAAGTTCTATAAGTCGAACTTGAATTTAGTGCTTCAAAACAGGGCCTCTTTGGAAATAATTTTGCTTACCAGAAAGTAGGGGGCTTGGCCCCTCCAGCCCCCTCCATCCCTCTCCATCCTGTTGGCATGGGCCTTGGAAATTCTTGCAAGGTTGCCAGATATACCAAATTGTCCAGGTTCATCTTAATATAAATCACAAATCCCCATTCTCCTGTTTATTTAAATATACACTCTTTTTTTTATAAGAACATTTTTATAAGAACACGAGCCTCAAAACTGGTCAAAAGTTAAAAACAAATTAAGAACAAGCTGAGGCTGAGCTTCTGCCAAATGCAATTTTGAACAACGTTTTTTCTCAAAATCGAGGATTTTTAGCGATGTGTGGGTGCTTTTTCGGCGAATTTTCAAATTTGTCAGCAAATTAAGGCTGTCTCACTCACTTTGTTGGCAAATGAGGCCGGAACACCTCCTAAGAGCGAAAAAGCTAGCAATAGCACTGCTTACACCCTCTTAATTTAAGAACAAATTAAGAACAATCCAGCCTCAGATTTTCGAAAAAATTAAGAACAGTCAGCCTTAACTTAAATTTACTGGTTCTTATAAAAAAAGTGTATAAATATAGATTTATGTTTGTTAAATACATATGTGTATATACCATATTTATCTTGCGTAGCCTTATATAAACTAATTTCTGCTACAATATTAAAAACGTTGTGAACCAAATTCTTGTAAAAGCCTTTATATTTCAGTTTTAATTAGCCTATTTTTGTTGTTCGGTGTGATCTTGCTTTTCTTTACAAATACAATCATTGCAACTTTGCTTTACCGATAATCCATTATCATAGCAAGATTAAAGTTGCAAAGTTTTTATAACCTGATGAAACAAATGTATTAATAATTACAATTGATGTTTAAATGGATGAACCATTCAATAAACAGCGCAGGATATACATATCAGCAGACACACTGCCTGAAAAAACAGAATTGAGCAAAAAGTTAGTTTTTAATTAATTTCAATCAATGGAGGAGTTATCAGTGAATTTCTGGCGTTTGGATCAGTTTACCAGCGTGTACGCAAGCTGAAGTTTGGCAAAGGTAAAGGTATTTCTAGGTAATCCACCCAATTTGTTTTTTAGCAGGTGCAGCGACGTTGCAGCGACAGTGCTTTTCATCTAGATATTGATGAATAAAATATCTGTTGACAGAAATTAATATCTGTATGCACAGGCACGTATCATCCTAAATATTGATTATCATTCCTCAAACGCCTATAAAACATCTCTCGAGGACATCGACTCGACAGCTGATGGCAATTTCTCAACAGAAGGTAAGTGCACTCGAATAGCTTTAATATGAATGCGTCAGTTTTTGATAAAGTATTTCTATTTTTAAATCAATTTGCAAGACAGCTGTTACGTTATTCTCTTTAATAAAGAAGGTCATTGTGATAAGAATTTTGCAAACGAGGACTTCGCATCAATCGCTTTTTGGGCCTTTTTTGGGTACCTGGACAAAGTAGGTAATTTCGTTTTTTTGCTCAAAAAATTTTAGTTATTCCTAAAGAAACTATTTGCATATCTTGGCTCTTTGTCAGTACCAGTATCTGCCATTCTGCAGAGAGAGTATGGCATTTCTCGACTATATCTCGCACGTGCACATTGATTTGAAGAAACGTTACAAACCATATCTTACAATTTACTGTAGGATGTTTTGATATATTGTATTGAGTCTTTAGATACTTCTTCAACCATTGACAGAAATTATGCTGGTAAAGGGTTTCCTTGCAACCCAAGAGCCTTTAGATGAAATAGCCTGCCTACTTCAATAATTATAATCTAAATACTTTATGCATTATTCTTGCAAAATAAATGATCTATTTCAAAGATTAAGAGTTGATGATTCTATAAATTACTCTTGCCCCCTCCATCTCCAATTTACAATCCTGTTGTTGTAAAAGTATGCGGTAGATAACAACAAAGAACACCCTAACCCAGACTTCAATACGTCACAGTTGTTGCCAAATCGGCTACACTGATACCTGGGGTACCAGAGCCACAATATTTCGAGTGCGGAAATGGAAATCTAAAGCTATTGCTGCGCTATATCCGTAAGTGTTAATGTCTAAAACTAAATGGGTAAAAGAAATGCAGGTATACGATTGTGACTGGAGTTTGGTCGGTTTAAAAAAGTTTCTCCGATTTAGAGTTTTCACGTAAGTAGCTAGAATCGATAAAAGAGATAATGTGTACGATTGTGATATTATGGTTGAGGTTCATTCAATGTTCTATCGCTGATTCACATCGCCACATCATACACTCATTTTTTTTTAGAAAATTGACGTTTTTATTAGTATGTGCTTAGATGAAGGAAGTGTACTTTATTCTTTTGAAAAAATTATTCTTATGAAAAATTAGAGTGAATAACATACCCTACCTAATTGAAAGAGGTCTCATTTCAAATCATTTAGGCAGGGGAAGTTTTTTAAGCAATCTAGCAAACAGGGTAACCGAGAATTTTTCTTTTGATATGTGAACCTGGTGGGTCTTTGACTCGAAATCTGTCAGGGATACTAAAATTAGGGGGCTGATGGTCACGTGATCAATCATTTCATTGTTCTCGGTCATAGAACATAGCCAATGGTATCGTTCGAAAGAATATTAAAAAATGAACGAAAAATCATTAGAACCTTTGTTGTAAAATAGATCTGTCAAAAGATATGACCTTTTAAATCATGCGAAAATGACGTCATCAAGCGAGTGTAAAATCTTTACCATGTCTCTTCTCGCTTATTTTTCATTGTTTTGACAAGTGCGAAATCTCAAAATGGTTCAGGATTATTTTGATCACTTGAAAAATATAATTTATTGAGATTAATTCAGTGAGATTAAGAAGGATATAGTAAACAGCGAACGAAACAATTCAAAATACAGCACTAGAAAGAGTACAATCAATTATTTACAACGCAACACGACATCACCTCACTCTTCTTTGTGGTCGAGAGTTCGACGTTTCGTAAAGTTCTTCTTCTGCTGTGGAATGTCGATATTTCCTCCAAAGACTACCCCATTTACTCCAGAATCTCAAACAAAACGTCAGGCAACGAGCCCTTGACCTCACTGTTTCGACAGGGCTCAACAAATTAAAAAAGCAAAGCAAAATAGGAAAGAAAGACAAGAAAATTCTGTACTAAATTTTCTACACACTTTACGCGCAGTTAATGATGTTCTGAAGTACGCTACAACTGAACAATCAAATTATTTACACATATACTGAACAGTAATGACCTGGGGACAGAGTCCTGTGGAACCCCTGTGATTTTAAGTGACACAAGGTTTCAAACTTTGATACTTGAAGAAAGAAAATAAAGATTTCTGTGCTATTTCCATAAGATTTTAGCCTTTGATTATAAATTCGTCATTGCCGGAAAAAACAATGATGATTTCTATTTAATATTTACAGGCCAGGCAGTGACACATGAAAAGGAGACTGATGACCAACATGAAAGGGACACTGGTGACAACGATTGTTCTTTTGG